CATCAAAGAATAATACCACCAATAGACGGGAGTGGAAACAATCTCCTTATATGGCAATGATACTTCTTTTCTGTGCGACCATGTCGACGGGGCGGCATTTCCGACCCGTCGCACTGAGAAAGGGAATAAATTCTAGCGAAATCAAAATCTCGTCGTCGGGGTGGATCTTCCGAACTTTGACCCTTTAGCTTCATACCAGGCTCAGTCAAACTGCCAAACTGACTGACCCACACCCTTGCAAAACGACCGATTTTTGCCCATTCGGGGGGGGGGGGGGATATAATTCTTGTCCGTTCTCCTGTGGTTCTGATCGGTCTCGTTGGTGAGACAGAGGTTCATGTAGTAATATAACCAGTTCACTTCTTGTGTTTTGTTTTGGTCGGAGAGTATGACAATTTGATGTTTTTTTGTCTTTGTTGAATTCCACAGGAAACTCAGGTTCCTTCTCTATGCGAGGCTGGATTTAAGAAGGAGAATATATCCACCGCTCTTCTACCCATCTCACCGCCCAAAGAGTGCCGCTACTATGCCTTTAACCACATGATCACACCGACCATCATCAAGGCATAGTGTTTGAAACCCAACAGTAGCCATAACCAAATGATTTGGCCAATTGTTTATGTTTCTTTCGTTTTTTATTCTCATTATAGACCACATAGTTCAATCAAATTACTTACAAGTTAGGGATGGATTCTCGCGGAAAATATTGATAAATATTTGTGAGTAAATGGATGCTTAAGGGTAATTAATCAATTATTAAATCAATTATATAATTTTTATTTTCAATGAAATTCTGACAGTTCAGTGAGGCGATTTCGTGTACAAAATAAGTACTCAATACGCCGCTGGAATTCTGTTCAAGGAAGAAAATGTTGACATATGACCTGGCTATTCATGTCATATTGATATTTTTTTCTAGACCATCTGAATTGAATGGCAAATGAACAAGCCATATGGTTAGATTAAAGTTCGAAATATTTCTCAACTGGGAGATGTGAGTTGATCTTGCAGTTCACTCGGCTCTCTGTCTACGCCTTAGTTCACACTGACTTTGTGGGCACCCGGTTCGAAACTTGGTCGTAAATAATTGTACTGTACATGATAAATACATGTCTGTCAGAACCCAATTACACAATCATACATACACGCACACAACCAAACGGGGGATTCATTTCGAAATTTAGGAATACCTTTTATAGGATACATACTTTCTGTTCAAAAACATTGAAACGGGTCACTTGTTTTTCACCAAAGCTTTCTAGCATGACTAGACTACAATAAAATTGTATATATATAAAAAGAAATGTATTCAGAAAAATCTATTCAGATCCGAAACGAAATTCCTTCTTCCAGACGTAAATATCTTGCGTTCGATATGCGTCTGCAAACACCCAATTACACCCAACCCCACCCACACACAGAAATATCATGAGGTGTATGCTGTGGGCAACGACTGTACTCATTTTAGAGGGATATTTGTGTTAGATCACAAACTATGCTACTTATCACAATGTTACCATTTCCGAGGCATCAGTACCTCGAGAACTTCCAAATCTTGAAATATCAGAATATTGTTTACAACCATGTCACCCCTTCCTATATTCACTCAATTATACCCTATTACATCGAAACTACCCAAAACAAGACTTTGAAATGTCACGGTGTGGATTGCGCTCATTGTCGTGTAATTAAACATTTGCACACGTAAGAATAGGGTATACAAAAAAGAAGAAACGGAATGAAGAAATTCCAGTACTGTTTATTGTTTTCAGGTTCAATTGTTGTTAAAGTTTGGGGATTGTGTAAATTGATTCTTTGGCTAGATTGGGATTATAGATAGCATCTTGGATAAAATTTTCTATTTATAATAGGTAGGCCATAATAGGTAGGTTTCGTTGCCTTTTTATATTGTTTTGTTTTGTTGAGAATTTTTTCTGATTAAAGTGTTGTGTAAGTATACAAACGTCTGTCGTCTAATCATGCTTAATATGTTTCGTAGATGATACAATAATGATAGTAGTTTGCCAGCCATTTTTTCCCCTCTTAATATTGAGACTTTTGAGACTACTGTCCTGTGGGTGTTTCACAGAGACTAAGATTGACTTTACGTTGGACTTAACTATGGCAGGCCATTCATGCCACTGGTTGCTCTCACCAATGGTCTCTCAATTGGGATCTTTACATAATATTTTTTCCTTCATTAATGAATTATAAAAAAATGTAAATTCTGTAGATTTGTGACCATGATTTGAACGTCTCTTGAGAGACCAATGCCAGTAAATGGTGAGAGCAAACAATGGCATGAACAGCCTGTCGTAGTTAAGTCCAACTTAAAGTCGATCTTAGTCTTTGTGAAACCAGGGTATGTGAGTTTAAAGGTACTATGTCCCTTTTGCAGCCAACCTCAAATGCTGTAGAACTTTGCAGGAATTATGAATATGTCATGTATGTCCTATCTGTGAAATTTAAACGTTAGCAGTGTCCTCATTTTCAAATTATGCAAGGAAACCCGTTTACTTGCTAGACTTCACTGTCAGACACTATTGAGTGACTGACTGGCTTTTTTTCTTCTTTGGTAATAACATAATGTACATGAACAGAGTTGTAAAGGGTACATGAGCATTTGTCTACATCAATAACCCACTTCTTGTGATGGCCAAGATTAAACTGAATGAATCTTTGCGCAGTGTAAAACATATGACCATTCAGTACAATTGTCTGAAAATCAAGACTATTACTTTTGGGCTCTATAGCCCTAAAGTCGATTTGACAACTAATAGTCATTATTTTCCCACTTGAAGTCATTTTCAAGTCGCACCTTTTTTAGGGAAGTTCTAAATTAGTATTATCTTTTAAATGCAGTTGGAATTTATCTTTTTAATTTTTTGGCCTGCAAATGGGACATAGTACCTTTAAAGTGAAACACCCCCTGGTCTGTTACCCTGGACAACTACGCCCGGACATCTACCAGAGGACAACTTCCACTCGAACAGCTACCCCGTAATGTAATTACCGCCTATAGGTACTTGCCTCTGGGTAGTTTTCCAAGTGGTAGTTCTCCGGGTAAATTTTCCTAGGGTGTAGATGTCCCAAAGGCAGTAATACGAGGCAAGTTGTCTAGGGAAGACATTCTGATATGGAAAATGATCACTTAGGGAATTCAGACAGAGATAGAAGAGAAGAGAGAGAGTAAAAAGAGTGGAATAGAAAAGAGGCAGTTAAAGAGAAAACACAAAAGAGGGTAAGAAAGAGTTTAAAAAGGAGGAAGAGAACTTCAGAGAAGAAAGGAGTGTGAAAGAAGAACAAAAAGGGAAACGGTGAGTGAGAGTGGAGGTACATGTATAACGGAGAGAGAGAGAGAGAGAGAGAGAGAGAGAGAGGGGGGGGGGGGGGTGTGTGGGGATATTCGAGAATTAACATTTTCCCTTAAAGAAGAATGTCAAAATTGCATGTTGGGGTAAAACCCTTTTTTTTAAAGTCAATGAAATATGGAATTACAAAAACAACACAGGACTGCAAATAATTCAGTATACTGTCTTTTATTATGTCTAAAAACAAAAGATGAAAAATCGACCTCATCACGATATCTAAAGAAAAGTGAATAAGCTTTAGAGGTATCAAATTGAATATCAAACGACTTTGAAAGACGAGGATAATTGCACTTTCCGTTTCATCAATACTGGCTAAGCGATTTACACGAAAATTGCATAGTTGTCATGATTATGTACACAGAGTTTGAGTCTACATCTACAATGCAAAAACATACGTAGTTCATGAGAGCATCGATTACCACATTTCAGATGAAAAATAATGAACAAAGTATTTTATACAGTATGACTGCGTTTTGCACCCTGTTTTACATGGAGCTACTCTCGATGTTAGACATTCAAGTAATTTTTTCTTCGAAAGACATTGGACTTTTTCACGAAAACCGTATCTATTGCATGTGGTACTATCTATTACAATCTCCATATATCAAAATGAACAAATAACATTCTATTTACACTGGGTATATCTTTACATAATTATTTCTGAACACATTACACTGACACCTACATATAAAATCTATAAATACTAAAAATCCTGATTACTCATCTACAATATACACATTAGTCGCTTCATAAGGATATTCACCTATTTACAAAATTAAGCGGCTATACTGTTGTGATAATTATTAAACGCCGTTATTTCATTTTCTCGTATTGCCGTTAATAACAATTTTTTTTTTAATCATCATCATGTTTTCTATTCTGATCCTTATCTTTCTTTTGTAATCTCTTTGTAACCATCTGATTAATTCATAATCTTTTTTCATTCTGATCGTAATCCTCATAATTATATACAAAGTAAATTGGTCAGGAATCTATTAACAGCCAACTTGTCAGCCCTTCATCCAAGTGTAGATGAAGAAGAAGCAAAACTCCCCAGGCTTATATCATTGCCATTTATTACTTCGTTTGAACAGTCGACGTAATACTAGTTAAAGGAATTATGGGTATTCCCCCTTGTGTGTTTACAAACGCACTGAGAAAAGAGAGTACGATTTCTCTACAAATACATAATCGCTACAAATCCCTTTGCCTGAAACTTTTTCTATCTTTTAAGTAATTTAAAATTGATTTATGTGCAGTCACATTTCATTGAAAGTGTACCTTAAGCACTGCCCTTGCATAAATAAAGCACAAGTAAACATGTTTAAAGATGTCTCCTTATTAAGACACGTTCTAATGCCTCACGCTGATAAGTATCATTTGATGAAGGAATAAGTAATGCATACGAAATTTAATTGTATAAGCCAGTTTACGGTTGCAGTCTGAGCATGAGCAGATAAAGGTCATTTGTACCAAAAAGGTAAAACCCACAGAGATGAATACTGGATATGCACTCATGAAAGTTATGTAACATTATTCATTTATGCACCAACGGTACATTCTAAGATACGCAGGTGGAAGTATTCCTTTCAATATGGCAAACAAAAGGTATTCATGAAGCACATCTAGGACTTCGGCAGTTATTATTCTAAGATGCTCAAAGTGGAACGTCTCCATGTGTAAAAGATCTGTGGATATTTGGGGTCATTTGTACCATGTGCTATCTATAAACTCCCTTATTATCTGGTAACTTAGAAGGCGATGTTTAGACGACGAATGTAGCAGTAGTTTATTAATTGGGAGTTTTCCATATTCCTGTATCTGGTTACTTAGGAGGCGATGTTTAACGGCGAATGTAGCAGTACTTAACTGGCGGTATTCCATATTCCTGTATCTGGTTACTTATAGGAGGCGACGTTTAGACGGCGAATGTAGCAGTAGTTTGTTGAATGTTGGTATTCCATATTCCTGTATCTGGTTACCACCAGGAGGCGGTGTTTAGGCGGCGAATGTAGCAGTAGTTTGTTGAATGTTGGTATTCCATATTCCTGTATCTGGTTACCACCAGGAGGCGGTGTTTAGGCGGCGAATGTAGCAGTAGTTTGTTGACTGGTGGTATTCCATATTCCTGTACCTGATTACTCATAGGAGGCGATGTTTAGCCGGCGAATGTAGCAGTAGTTTGTTGACTGATTGACTGGTTTTACTCCATATACCTGTATCTGGTTACTTATGGGAGGCGATGTTTAGACGGCGAATGTAGCAGTAGTTTGTTGACTGGTGGTACTACCAGAAGGATGGGAACTGGGCTCTGGTTTGAGGCTGGCGTCCGTCTGTTAGAAAAATAAAGACACAGGATAGGGCCAAGGAGAGAGACAAAATAGGAGTTAGGGGATGAATAAATAAACAAATCATGTCATAGAACAATTACAGATGCTGCATTAGAACATTCAAGTTTGCTTACAAGTGCCAGAATGAAGGAATATCTGGTCACAACACGATTGAAACGAAACGACCTATCTAATTAGATAACATACCATCATTGTAGCCGAACAAAACTTAGCTCTTGTGTGAAAGAGATGGAGCCATTTAATATCTAACCAAGACGAGTTATTCCCATGGTTGTGTAATGAAATGTGGGTAAATATCTATGTTATGCAAAGTCGAGATAATTTATTGAGTGCAGACAGTGGCGTAGCGAGACTCCGCCCATTCAGGGGGCTCTCACATTGAAAATGAAATGCGAATGAACAATGCTACTGATTACGGGGGGGGGGGGGGGTCATTCAAGGTCCTCGTCCTCTCTTTCTTTTTGTCCCTTTCCCTCTTTTCTAAAAAAATCAGACCGGTAGATCTGTAGTTTCGCATAGATAGTTTATGGCTTACATTATTACAATTGAGTTATTGAACTAATTATGCATGTACAGGGACAGGGGTGTCGCTAAACCAGAGTGTAAGGTTTTGTGACGACCCCCCCCCCCCCCGATAAATGTTATCGGGAAAATGTAGTCGGTGATTGATGAAAATTAAAGTATTATCATTATCTGCGATATTTTATATGACATGTATAGGGAATCCTTTTCATTTGCTTATTTTTTCCTAGATTAAGTTATAAAATCTATACCTTCTATTAGTGATTATAGTGAGCAATGTACATTATCATAGGATGATTTGAATGGAGGTGTGACCCTATATAGGAGCCTACCTTAATACCTTGCATCTCTACGTTGTTTTTGCCATTATTACCCACTTCCTTGCTTGTTCTCTTCCAGCTGAGGCCCTTGGCAGCGGCTCCGGCCTGGACCGCCTTCTCCGTCGGCGGAATGGTCCGCTCCTCTTTGCTCTTTCTACTGGCCTCACGGTTACTCTGGCGGGTCTGCCAATTCTGGTTTATCTGCTCGCATTTATCCTGTTTTTTGTCATTTTGTTACGACACATTTCAAATCAAATCAAGGAGAGTTATTTCAAATTGCAAATGGTTGACATGAGCAAACAATAATATTGTAATGATTATCAAATTGGTTATCATTTTTTAGAAGTGTTATTATTGGGCGCACCTAAAGCTTTTTAGTTTTCCATGCATTTTCACGGTTGCTCTTCTTTTCGTTCTTTTTGTAAATCTTTCTTGTTGTTTCTACGAAAAGTTGTATATTTGAATGGCATCTTGTTCAATGGATATAAGTGAAGAAAGGTTCCCTAAATAAATAATTCGTTTTAGTCCAACAACAAGCACAAACCTTGTGAACACGATGTTCAAAGATTTTCGATGGTGTTCTTTATGTCAAACTTCTACTGGTTATTTAACATTATACAATTTGCTTATGAAAACAGAGCAAACATTTTCTGCCCAGCTCCTCCATAATAATTCTAAACAAGAGGAACATATTACCGAAGAAAGAATATATACCTCGTATATAGCTAGAGGCGCGTGACTACTATGATAAATTCATCGCTAAAATACATTGAGGTTGGATTTTTTTTAAAACATTTTGGTACCCCCCAAAATAATAATTACCATGTACTCGGCAGTTATCTTCGTCATCCTGTTAGTTGTCTTACATTTCTGTGGAAATATACAATCAGAGAGAAACAATGATTACAATTATGATGACTGAATCTCATTGTACCAACGACTTCAAAATACAGAAGAGTGATTTCGTAAAGGTTTGCTACATTAACACTATCAATTGAGTGAGAGAGTAATGTCGATATTATTTACTTTGGAGAATTACGATTAAGAAAAGTAACTCTTCTTCTGAATCTAAAATAGATAAAATGGGAGTTTATATGAATTTGAATTGTTCATTTAAATTGATATGCGTTTACGGGAATCAATACACACGGAGGGGTAGGGCTTGTTCCCAATCCGATATTGAATTAAGTACATGTATCCTACCCTTGAAAATTGATTAATTAATTTATCCTGTCTTAATTTAATATTACATAATGTCTCCATGATCGTGTAACATGTGGTGAATTCACATTATATTTGATAAGTAATCGGGAAGAAAGGAGAAACAAAAATAGAGATCATTTCCTTTCATACTGTCAACTACACTGCACGTGGTCTTTACGTTCATTAGGTATTCGAATGTTATTACGTCATGGAGTAATATTCCCTCCAGGTATGATATTACCATGACCCCCATCCTGTCCGAACGTGAGATGATAATTGTCTTAATATTAAATATGTATATCTCCACACTTTTCTAGTACCTTCGTTGACAAATTTTCCAATCGGGAGATTTTCTTTACTTTTTTTAAATTACAGGATCTTTCAACTTTTCTCCTTTTTTTTTTTTATTTCTTCACATTTCATTTTGCTTTGTTTGTTTGATAGTTTTGAGTTGCATTGCCTGGCGGACAAATTATGTCTTTCTGTCGACGGCATTATCTGCCATTTTTAGCGACGCCCCCTTGAGTAAAGGGTAATTTGTTTGTTGGCATATAGAACACATGACTATATCGGTATACACATGCACTCCCACACAGCTATGGATATGATTCGATTTATAGAGCAGATTCGGGAGACGAGTCTTTTTAGTTTCACGATCTATCATCGGCTGCGAGATTACAGCATGACGAATTTCCCTTTTGAAGAAATTCCTTCTTAATTATCCCTTTCCCGCGTAAATTCCCGTACATCAGCTTAACTTCCTGTCTCTCCATCCCTCGCCCTTCACCATGCATGCAGACTGCAGGAGGATGGTTGTGCTAATGATAGCATGGCTTGCATGATATGATCATGGACCTACTGATCTCCTTCGCCATTCTTTGGATCTGGTTCTACACGTACAGGGTAGATTATAATTATAGAGCCCCTTATTTCTTATTCTCAATACCTTCATCTCTGTTTGCAGAGTTCGACAAGACTAGATAATTATATAGGTTAAGCATTATTCGATTATTTAATCTTTCTTCACCAACAAGATCAACCCTAATACTCTTTGCAGGATAAAATCCTTCCTAATACTTACGGTTTTTGAAATTTTGATCGAAAAACTGAAATGTAGGGTACTATTTATGAATCATAATTATCATTACACAATGGAGTATCGGTAAAAATAATTACATGCAACCAAGCATTTCCAAATATAATATATTAGTGTAGCTTGATAATTTCTCCATTAAAATTACTTAACATCTGTTCCAGTGAGGACATTCCATCTAAGCTTTAATCATATTTTCTGAGCAATTTTCCCACTTTAGAGCAATTTTTACTACTTTTTCGCAAAAAACTCCGCAACGTTCTCGATTTCATCCGCGCCATTTTTTCCTCATTACCGCTCTCTGCAGTGCCTTACGGCGAAATCCCAAATCTATATAATATTTGTTTAACAATCTTTAAATTCATCCTCCATTTAGACACCATCATCCGTATCATCACCCCCACCGACCACTGAAAACAGCGTCAGCATTACCATGACTACCATATTCTGTGCTTTCTCCTCATCGTCCTTACCCTGATAAGGCTTGAGATGATGAAGCCGATAGTGATGTTGAACACCATGCCGGCGAGGACGATGATGGAGATGAAGTCGAACCATTTAGCCCAGTCTTTCTCCTTATCGGGGTCGTTGATCTCGACGACGGCCGATAGAGCATTCTGACCGACCACCAGGCATTGGAAGATGAGACACGATAGCACGTACTTGTCCTGTGGTTATGACGAATACAAAATTTTTTTAAAATGTGAGTAGCCCCGTGTGCCCATCGAATGACGAAAGGGGGGGGGGGAGAAGTTGTGAAAAGGGAAGAAATGGCGAGGGAAGGGTAGCATGAAAGAAATGGCATGAAACATTCAACACCCTTCCTCAAATGTTTAGCCTTGTTACTTTGAATTTCTATCTATCGCGTACCTGCGTAAGTACGACGCCCCAAAACGATACGAGTGCCCCCGGAGCTAATATTTAAAATGAACGCGACATGAATGGTGCAAGACGGTCATATTATTTTTTAACAGAAGAGTTTCGTGTACAAAAAAATTAAACAGATGAAACTGGCGGCCAACTATGGTAACCAAAACTTATATTGTAATCAAAGTCGAGCTAGGTTGTGGATCGCGCTTTTCAATTGTGAATATTTTTTTAGAAAAAATCCAGTATTCCTGCTTGAAAATGGCCAAGATCATTTAACTAAATAAAAGTCAAGAATGCTACTCACCAGCATGGTTAGATAAGATATGAGTGGTAGAGATTGACTGACGACATACTTGAAGGCTACAGCCGTCAGAAGGAGAGTCACCGTCACACTGAGTCTGTCGGCCGGAGCACCTCGTTCTACTACGAACGACGTGAAAGTTAAGATGACGATCAGAAGCTAGAATTAATTTAAAAAGGCAGAGAACCAATGATAATAGAAATGATAATAACAAATTTAAAAAGGCTGAATGTGTACAACAAGTCTAGATTACAACCATTGATTAAAATATAAAAGTTGTTTAAATTTTTTTTTTTAGGGGGAGAGGGTCATCTTTCAAATTTGTTGGCACCCCCTCCCTTGATGAGACACAACAGTTAATTGACTCCCTCTTTTTTGTGGAGGGGAAGGGGGGTAGGGCGGGCGGGCGGTGTATCATCATTATTAAAATGCCGGCTAATAATGTCCCATCGAATATTTCCCTTTCCGTTGACGACACTGAATTTTCGATTCCGCCCAGCCCTACCCACTCGCCCTCTTTTCCAAATCGAGAAAAGTTAGAATCTCGAGACTCTCCAAAATTCCTTTCATCGGCATCTGATGGAAATTATTGCTTGCCGAAAGGAAATTTGAGTGGGAGGGAGAGATTCATTGACCCTCAAACCCCTAAACCCTCTTGTAACAACCAAGTTTTTATACTCAAGTTACAACAACGAGACCAACACCAGACCGACAACTGATCGAATAAAGAATGGCATTACCCTGAATAGGCATGAATCGGTCGGTTTGACGGTGACATTTTACGATAATTATGTATGCCTATAGTTCATTTCGATTGATTTTTTTTCATTTTTAATCCCACGTTTAGATATAAAATATTTTGAATGTATTTTGTGTTCTAGTACCACTGAAATGAATTGGAAGTCATCAATGGCAACTTCTTCATTGTGGGATACCTCAGTCACACCAGCTAAACCATCCACATCGACCGATCCTTGGCCATTGGGGGATATAATGTTCTTTTCCTCTCTCTGTTGTCGGTGTCGTGTCTGTTTAACTGATTTGACCGTGGTATAATACCCTTGTCACACCGCCAAACCGACGCCACATCGACCGATTCTTGGCTATTTGAGGAATGGCACTTTTGTGTTTGGTCTGTCGTCAGTCTCATTAGTGTGGCTGGGCTTGGGGTATACACGAGAAGACTGGCACTGCTTACCATAATGAGGGCGATATTCCAGATATAGAAGCCAGGTCTTCGCTGCACATGCGTGGTGATGTGATAGATGGGATAAGATCTATGTGCTCCCGTCAAAGCTTTATCCTCTTCAATAGGTTGAGCTAATACGTGTTTCCATAGCTTCCACTGGTGACCAGCTGAAATCAATTTGAAAATATGACGATTATAAAACATGAAAATGACTTGTATGACTAATAGTATTATAGTAAACTAGATAAAACATCGAGGGCAATATTCACCAAAAATGACAAACAAATTAAAGATATGTTAAATCCGGATTACTTAATCATCTCAGAGCGTTTGCCGAAATGAAAAATACATAAATGGAGAGGGTGATTTTATTGGACCCTTTCTCTCTTCTTTGCCAATCGCATTTACATTAGATCCATGCAGACTTTAATCAGGAGGTTTATAGTCAATCAATATTGAATATTACGTTCAAATATAACAATTTTAATTAAATTAGTGCACAATACTCCAATACTTATTTTCATCGCAAAGTTCCCACCCATTTAGGAATGCATATCTCGTCGTAGCCTATCGTCGCAAACATCTCTTTCTTTTGTTGACAAAGTTTTAGTAGCTATTCCACCTCAACATCTATCAATGTTACTGAACTGTTCTGACTGATTTATTGATCTGTTTTCACCTGGCAATTTTTGTCTATTTTTTTTATTATCGGAAAACAATAATTTCCATTTATATTTATTCTATAAAAAGCTTCTTTTGTGTTGGGATATTCAGATTTTTGAAATGATCGCATAGGGAGGGTGGAGGGGGGGGGGGGGCTGAGCTTTGACAGAGTCTATGTTCCATTTTTTTTTCAAAAACAAGTTTTCATAAACTGTCTAGTCGACATGAAAGATGACGTACAACATAGTAATGACCTTCAAACATGTTACTCTCCCAGGCACTGTCCATACACACAAATCACATCTAAGAATACTTAAGGATTGACGTCACTATTCAAGATGGACGACGCAACAGGATATATCACTTTCAACATACCCTTCGATCTTTTCCTCTACAGACCTCAAGCTCAATTACAAAATTCAGGGGCGATGGGTTCGCGAGACAAACTCTTTAACTCATCTAGTCCCAAAGCATTAAAATCAGTGCTAAGTTTGGTGCCAGGAATCCACTCCAGCAAGTAATGACTTAAACAAATGTCGACCTCTAGACAAGAAAAGTGGATGACTTAATACACTCCAAAAAGAAAAACAAATATCAGAATGTTCTGTATGCCAAACAGAACTTTTTTCAGGAACTATATTGTCGAATACAGACAATGTTCAACAGCTGTATTTTGGAAATGATAATGTTTTTAAAGGGAGCGTGTTTAATATTTCTTTAATCATACATGGAAAATACACCTTCTGGACTGTATAGCACTGTCGATGGAGGTTGGACTTTGTGAGGGCTAGTGCCATGAGGACTAGCAGAGACGTATGATGACACACTTTAATGCAATGAGCCATCATCATCATCGTCGTCGTCGTCGTCATCATGATCCTCATCATCATCCTTCTGCATTATCAAAGTAATATGAAGTTCTTACCTGTGAAGGTGTCGAGTCTGATACTGTCCTTGATGTTCATATCCTTCACAAACTCAACATCTTCAACGGGCCAGTCAGACATCAACTTAATCGTCAAATCCTGATCGAAAAAACAAAATCAAAGGACATCGAGAAAAAATAAGTGAAGTTAGATAAACATGAATTTAAATATTAGATCAATAGCTTTAGATAGGTATAGTATTGCCTTGTACAATTTGTAGATAAACAGGTGGATATATATTTTTGGAACACCGACGTTTAGGACATCGATTTTCTTATCAACATGCAAGATAGGTTTTAAGAAGATTTACTGTCAGAAAATGTCCAACAGTTGTCACAATGATAGGAAATCTCGAAAGAAAATGGTGCTGAAATCTTCAGGGTTTCATTTGGAAAAACAAGACATTTAAGCTCATTTTGCAGACACTTAATTCATAAGCTAAAATAAAGGAATGACAATATTGAAGGTCAGAAGAGGATCGAGAAGTGATGCACGAAAATAGTTAGCAAAAGGAGGAGACAGAGGAATATATGGAAAGAATAAACGTAAACCGCAAGGAAAAAAAAATTATATTTATGATTGTCTAACCTGGCAGTCGAAAGGGAAATCCTTGAGCTGCATGCTGCACTTGAATGTCCCCTTCATCCTGATAGAGAGACGAACATCCGGGATACCATCGGGGTCATCATCGTCATTTGGCATGATGTAATGGTTGGTTTGCATCTTATCGATGTTCACTGCATTGAAGAAGTAGATTCGAGGATCCCAGTGCTCGTCCCAGTTCACATCCTGAATATGGAGGTTAATAAAGGAGATGAACATGATGAGAAGGAAGATGATGTCGATGACGATTAGGATAGAGGAAGTTGTTAATATTATAATTTTAGTTTTTTGGAAAGCGAATTTTGCGACGGTGACGACATTCCGCTGAAAATTGTGTGGATTTAGTCGGGGGGATGCGATAACGTATTTTCGACAAGATGTGCTATCGTACTATATTTTAGGCAATAGAACGGGTAGGCTAAAATAGTTATTCATTGACGTATTTATTTATTTATTTATTGATTGATTAGTCAGTAATAATAATATTCATTCTATTATCTACATTACGCCCGTGAATATCAAGAGGTTGCAAATAATAACCATCGCGAAAACTTCTAGAGTTGGAGCAAGCAACACTTGGGAGTTTTTGTGTGTGTCAGGTCTTTTATATCGACTAAAGTAAGTTTTGGAAACCGACACTTCACATTATGATACTTCTATGAAATATTTGCATATGTTCATATTGAAATTGAGAGTAACCATGATAAACTCACCTCTCTCTTCATGCCTTTGACCTTTGGTTCCTTCCACGTGACACTCAGATAGATCTCTGCAGTGAACAGCTGGGCCACTGTGTCAATGTCACCTACAGTGATGATGTTACATCGAATCCTTGCAAACACCTAAACAGAACAAATAAACTATGGTATAATCTTTAAGTAAATGATTTCTAAGGGGGCTAGTGCATTGAATTGAGTTCGAACCCGGGACCTTCCAGTTGCGACACCACTGTTCTACATGTACCACTGAGCCATAACTTCATAATGCATATTGTATTCTCACTTCGGTATTATAATGTAGACAAAGTATCAGGATTGTAATTATATATCATCGCGATAACATAATTATGTTGATTTTAAAAATAATTACTTCACCACCTGAAGTACTTATGCTCAACTATTCTTTGTGTATACTTTTCCTTCACACAGACCGCCTGTTTCCCTTTTGTTGAGTACCTAATTATGTTTTACACCTACCTATATATATTTAATTTATTCCTGGAGACCAGCCCTTGATAGGTCAATGGCCTCTGTTGGCTTCACCCCAGTCTCAAGTATTACTTCTAGGTGCTCTAAATTCTTTGAATATTGTTATGCTATTTCCTTGTTTTGTTTTGTTGTGTTAATCAGATATTGTATGTATATTGTTATATGTTTTTTTTATGAGAAGTGGACATAAATGAAATGAAATGAAATGAAAAATACTCACTGGTGTTCCTTATCATGTTAAATGTTTACCTATGTCCATCAATGCCCTTGAGCTGGCCTGAATAGATATCTTTCATTGAATGAAATAGTATTTAAACTATTTATATCAAATAAACTAGGAAATATAAACCCAAGTTCATTGCAAACCAATCATCATGATTATACTTATGACAGATGACATTTTGTGAGACGGTTTTCTGCATCCGACAGTCTTTATCTCCGAGTAAATCCTGATCATTTCAATATTTATGTCGCTTCTTCTAATTTTGTCGCGCGGCTGCTTGGGCCAGATAGCACTTCCAGTCTGACGTACTTCTGGATATTCTTGGCATTCAGACTTTATTTCCAGTTTTGTTGAGTGTATTATAACGAAGGTGTCGTCTAGTGATCCATTCATATTTTGGTGAGAGCACAATATTGTTTATGTTTTTGATCATGTTTTCATTTTCATACAATGAGTTTCCATCAAGTACTGTGAAATGTTAACGTTTGTGAGGTTGGCCTTTCAATATAGCTTTTTGACTCCGAAATATAGGCCTACAGAAATTGCCTTTTAGATTGGAAATCAAAGAAGTATAATTGCAAGGTTTTAAAATGTGAAATTACAACATAAGAATATAGATTCGCCAGAAATGAACTCCACAACCCCTGAAATCTTCTTGCAGACAATTTTTCTATAAAATGTATAATCAAATCAGTTTTCCGTATTGCTGAAGCCAAAAAGTGAATTTCAAATGTTGTCGAAAAATCACCACAGTGAGCCAAATTCATGAATCACGATAAGTCATTTCCAAACTATATTGATAGTTTCATGATTCCTGGGAAAATCCAAACCCTGCAGTTGTGCAGTTTGCTTCAGGATTATTCTTTTCGACTCGGTGCAACCACAACCTCCTAATTCCATCATCTCTGTGGCTCATGTCAAATCACACTATCCCCTGCAGATAGAGCTTCTTTTCGCAGGTGCTGAAAAGGGGTTTATTTAACCAGTCCCGAAGTTGTTAGTTATTAATTCAGTCGAAGGAAGTAGCAAGTAGCAAGTACCAGCTCACAACTTTGCATTAGGTCTTGACCTCTCCAAACTGCACTATATATCGTATAGTCATTGGAAGAAAATCATTGACCTTGCATGAACGTTGGACATAATTATTGACCTACTTAAGGTTGAGCTATGAAATATTTATTGCTCATTCTTTCGAAATTCAGAAATTCATGCTAGGTCTATAATAGAGCATCAAATAGAAGGAAAAAATATTCATGTTTCTTTAAATTCTGAAATCGCCATCAATTAGACATTGATCAATCAATTACATATCCCTTTTCATCCTTGAATCTTAAGTGAGTTACCGTTATGGGAACACTGATTATTTCATACGTTAAAATGCTAAAACTTATATTGATATGAATACTACTAAACTGATGTCAATCCATCTTGTTTTGTTTCGTGATTTGCCTTGATAGTCGCCCCCACCTGAAGGATATAAAATCGAGGCACATGCCTGAGTTGGGGGCACACGCAGTCACGTACAATATATAAACGCTTAGTAATTTATGACAGGTATAAATGAAAACATGCTATAGCACTATAACTTTATAGCACGTCACCTTCATTCATCAATTTTGATTTTTAAATCATACCTTAAATGGTTGATATACTCCATAGCAAGGGAAATTGAGAATATGGCAATGCGCCATGATAATTATTTTCATAATTTTGAACAAGGAAATAGATCTATCATAACTTCTAAACAGCCAAATTGATTATTATGGTACTAATATATCGTTTATGATAACCATCAGCATACTTTCTCGATGGCACTATTTTAGTGATACTTATCTCAAAGATCTAATTTTGGTACCCTCTTTCTTGTTTTACTTGTCTACCATGGCCATGCTTATGATAAAAGTTGGAAATTCTCCAAGTCGTTGATTCACATAGGCCTAAACATAAAAACCGCAAATGTGTTTGCTTATTTTAGTTGTATATTCTTTGTAAAGCGCTCAGTGACCTTTGTATTAAGTTCTTCACAAATATGATTGATTTGGTCTATATACCAAGGTTAGGTTTATAAGTCTTGATAATATTTTTCCTGTGGGCCCATCAATAATTATAATCCCAACAATGCCAGGTACTCATTTAATACACATGGATCAAGAGGGGCAATGTGGGCAAAAAACCTTATTCAAGGATATATAAGAAGAGATCGAACCCAGAACTTGTCATAATGAGTGTCAAGAGCCTTTACCAATATACCACAGTAAGTTCTCCGGCATATTATAACAATTATCAGTACTGTTTCTACTGCATGCACTTTCTTTAACTATAGTGAAAAGCCTCATCTAATAGAGATCATACAAATATCAACAAAATGAAGTTTGCACATTCTATTTTATTTTAAATTTTGAATGATAAAGCATGTAGGTCAGTCCTTTTCGATAACAAACGCTTAAAGGTGATCCTTAAAAAAAAAGATGATATCTTGATGAATAACTAACTGTGTCTTAAAGCTAACTCGTCCCGGAAAGCTTGCACAATATAAAACACTGAAAGCAAACGCAATCATCCAAATAATACCCTCTAATATAATAATGAGAGCATTGATACAAGTCGATCTCAAACGCTTAGAAGCAAATCCGAAGTTCTTCACAAACTTGTTGGAACAAAATGTAAAGACGAGGATGAATCATTGTATCTATGGATTAACATACAGATCAGTGTGCGTGTTGACATGATTCGCTAGGTCTGGCAGGCTTTTCCAAAACTGAGTGAGGATTGAGAGAGAGAGAGTGGGAGACAGAGAGAGCGAGAGAGGCTAAGATAGGATGTAAGAGACAGAGATCATGCTGTTTTGATGAAATATCGAAAATGTAGAATGTTCTTGCACCGGAATTAATTCATCAAAGAACTGGTATTAGAGCCATAACCAAGCACGTGAATCACCCGTAGTATTGGTGCACGCCTTAAGAGGGATCATCAACAGAGCCCACGACTCTGGACCCGTATTCCCAGTATATCTTCAGAATTAAGCATTTTAAAAGATGAAATGGCTTGAAATATAGGTTGTGAGAAACTCTACAGATGGGTTCACGATCTAAAAGTTTTGATAAATATTCAGCGTCAGAATTACTTTAGGTCAGTTCACTCTGTTTTCAAAAGCCTTTCTAGAGCTTTGCCAAAAATACATGACTACATGTATACGCATTTTACATCTAGCCATTATTTTCAAGCACCTGACTTTGTTATTATAGATATTTCAAAATCGTGATATTCGCATTATACTTATTTGGATGAGTTAGTTGTCCTTGGGTATGTTTAGCACTAATCAAACTTTTAACTTACTGATTTGGTAAATTCGGTAAAAGTTAGGCAAAGCAAAACCGTATTATTCTAACCTTTCATACACGTCGGTTTATATCAGCTTGTGTTTTTACCTCATTTGAAAAACCAATTTAGATATTGTTTTCGTCAAATTTTGGATAAAACAACAACAGCAACATCTATACAAAAAAGGGTTTGCACATTGGTAACGTTTCCTCGATGGTATCTGTTCCTGACCTTTGAAAACAACTGTATAAAGGAGAAAAACAATAGATCAAAGATTGCCAACTCTGAACTATTTACAGACACTGCGTCCTTGTTACTGTCTGTCAAGTTACCTTTCATAACTCTCACCTTTAACAGGGTCTCTCGTCTTATTTAATATTTAACAAAGGAGAGTAGCTCAGTTTTATGTCAAATGATAATTCAATTATATATCCTATTAAAAGAATATCCCCTTTCTGTGTGATGTTATAAGGTGAGCCGAATTGAGGTGCTGATGCCTGCAAGGGGTCCCTGGTGGGTCTCTGGTGGGTGTGTCAAGGGGTCTCGTTTCACTTATCTCGGGCACTCATTGCTTTCCTGTAACTCGACAACCCACTGAATTGGTGTCAAGTCACCGATATTAGGAGCGATGTTTGTGAATGAGCTCCATATAGTAACTTAAAAATAGGTTAATCTGACACCTATTATTTTGATAATAGTATTGAGGTGTAATTTTCTTAATCGCGCGGGTGTTTAAGGTGCAGTTAAAACATTTATCGTTTATTGGAATACAAGAAGACGGGTGGAGTGTGTGCATGAGTGTGTAGGCGTGCGTGCGTATGTGTGTGTGTGAGAGAGAGACAAACAGGGGGAAAGGCGGAAAGAGAACTTTAAAGAGAGTTCAAGATCAAGAGAGAGAGAGAGAGAGAGAGATAGGGATCAATCGACAATGCAACACAGATAAGTCAACAACAACAAAACTAAACGGAGGGGAAAAGTGACATTATGGACAATAGCTAAAAACTCAATGGTCATAAAGTATAATAAATGACGACACCTGTAGCCATGATCATAATAAGATGGTGGAAATTGACATCACTATAATATATTCATTTTTGTTTACACCCAAAAAGAATTATAGTGAATGTTTAAAGAAAGGATGATAAGTGGAGAATTTGCATTGAGAATGCAGCTGTCCTGCTCTATGATATACTTCGTCCTTTTTGCGGTTTATTGCTGTGGTTCCAGCAACCAGGGTAAACAGGAACACACCATAATACAAACCATCCGCCCTATCTCTATACACCTACCCAAAGGATATAAGGGGGGCAAATCTTTACCCATCGCCTAACCACAATATCCTAGTGCGCTCTTCAAAATGCCACCTAATTATCAATGTACAAGGCGATTAAAAAGCAATGTATCCCTTGATCACGACGTGTTGTGGGGGCGTTCTAGGAAAAACCTTTATATAAATAGAAATATGCAAAAAACGGACAACGAGTTTAATTTCGGGTTAAATTTTATTTAAATTCATATAACAAGCACGTTACTTTTTGATTGGTGCAATAATACTTCAACAAGATCTGGATTAAATGTTAAAAGAAGTAGGACATGTGGGAAGACTTCAAGATGGTTAACAAAACATTTAAAGTTCGTGACTTTTAAGGAATACTGTAACAGCAAAACGGATATTGTCATGATTTCAATTTGAAACATTGATCTATTCTGTACCTACAGTTACTCAGACATTTAATTTTAAGCTTTAATAGTTTGTCTTTGATGGATTTGAATATTGTCTGGGAAATGAAATTCACTTAAATTGTATCTTATAATGTGAAAGAGGATGTCATTTAAGACACACTCCTGCAAAGATTTTCCTCCAAAAAATGTGTCTGAAGACAAATATTAATAAAAGAATACATAATTTGGGTTTCCTTGTGTACGCAAGAAGCCTAAATTTTGTACTCTTTCATCAATATTCGACTTCACAAACATTTTTTTTTTAAATCCTTGCAAAAAATTGTCTTAGATTACATCCTCTTTTACATTATGATACAATTAAAGTGAAATTTCGCCATCAAAAGTTATGTTTGAGGCTCCCAACACTTTAGAGGGGCTTTAAGCTTCCGTACTTTCTTACAGACTATATTAAGGACCGCCTCCTAAGGCTAATAAGTTCCTTAGAATGCATTTGACTCTGCACGGGAATCCTCTTCTTAATCTGTTCGGACAACGAGGGCGAAAACAGCGTTCTCATCGTTCTGCCCAGGATTGTCTGGTCCTAATTAATACTCCTGTGGTTTCGTTAATCAGACCAAGAACCAGCTGGGTATCCCATAAGACCGAATGACCCTACCTATCGGGCCAAGTCAAAGAACATTCCACGCAGCTGATGTATTCAGTATTCATTAGGCACGAAATTGACCTCTTCCATCATTTAAGAATGTAGTTATTATGATTATTATTCTTATGATATGTTATTACTGTCCAGTATATTACTGTATATGAATTACATGTAAGCCTATTAGCTGGTATACAAGCTATTTGTCTGTAAAGGTGTGGATGACGGTGTCGGTAAAATTTCTTTATAATGTTTTGAAACAAGTTTGATTGCATTTTTCATATTCATCCACATCATCCGTCAAAATTATTTGTCAAAAGCTATTCATTTTTCTATTCATTGTCGATCCGTAATGCGTAAAAAACATTTTGCTATGGTTAATGCAGCAGTAGAAATAGCAGGAGATGCAGATAGGCAAATTGAAGACATTGTGATAGCTTTCCTATATGAGTTTTTAGAGTTCTGCCCCGTTTTTACCCTAAAAGTTAAAAAAAAAATCCCAGCCTTAATTACAGGCGCCGCTTTCTCTCCCCCACAAGGATATGCCGTCTTCCCGCGCTTCCATCTTTTGGCGGGAAAACTTTGCACTGGGTGATAGATCCCAAAGTTCGACATCCTCTCCCAAGTTTGGGCGAGAAGCTCAAGATTTAGGCAGTGGGTTTAGGCGGAGGACGTGAGTCAAGAGTGATAATATCAGTTGAGGAAAGTTGTCGCCCTGCTTGAAAGGTACCCGTTTTAGAGATGTTTGAGGATCGAGGGTTTTACCCACTCCCAGGGATCGGAGAAGGATGTGGCGTAGAGATTGTAAGGTGTAGCTGTCTCCTCCTAACTTTTCACAACAACTCTCAACGCGATTTGATATGATATGGAATATATTAGATTATTGCTTATCTCGTTTTCAAAACCCGATTTCGATAATCTCTTTAATAAGCTCAATTGAACGAAATTGTAAATAAAAATACATCATATTCCATTAACTGTGATGCTAAAAAAAGAAATATATCTACCTACTTTTTTTTAACCTTCGAGTACTCATAGTTCTTAATTTATCTTCTTTTTTCCCTTTTCCCTTTCTCATTTATTCTTTATTTTTCCTCCCCCTTCTTCTTTTTCTCATCCTCCTTCATCTTCATCTTCTTTATCTTATTCATCTCCTCTTCTTCTTTTAGACTCTAAATTGTTACTATATCCCGACAACAAATATCATGGAATCATAAAAAAGCGTCTTTTTGGAGGGAGTAAAATATAGTGATATATATAATCATGGTATTAAGATAAAGTAGTCTTTTTTATACGATACCTTTTGTTTGTCTTCTCTTGGTGCGTAATACTCCTCCGAGTCCCCTGGTCGTCCATTCACCTCAATCTGCTTGAGGGTCATCTGGATCTTATCCATGCTCTGCAGCATGGTGTCCAACTTCTCTGCACTTTGATCACCCGACATCTTAAATTTCTTCCACACCCTAAAGAGCTCCTGGCAAGCTAGACCACTATCACCGGTCGATTTGAGGGCAGAAGTAGAGAGCATGCGAGGCGGTAGACGAAGCCGTGTACGACCGCCGATGTTGGTGCGAAGAACGAAAGGCTGAGGTAGGCTGTTGCGTCTCGAATCGTTCTGCCTGCGAGGGGAGACAGAGTACAAGTCCATGAACGCGGAAACACACACCCTCTGGCAATGACAACCTAGGCGAGCCTTACATAACGAGAAAGAAAGAAAGCAGATATCCTTGGAAATTCGCCTCTTCCCCTTCCTCTTTTCCTAAGCCCTAATAATTTACGAAAAGACAGTCTCGCGACGGGGTTCGAGCGTGTTGCCAAACTTGAGTTGTGCCAACGCTCAACATTTGCTAACATCGCTTACCCTGCCGTTGTTGTGTAGAGGGAGGAGTTTGCGTCATGTCTCTCCCTCTCTGCGAAACGGTTGACGGAGATCAGTTAATTGGCAGAATCCGGCTGAGAGGTAAGGGTAATGGGAAGGGGGTTCGGAAGAGGGAAGGGGACGTGATGTCATAGGACTAGATTGCGAGGTACGTGTTGTTTGGATGCATAGAACATAGTGAGGCGAACTTGTCATTTGATTAAAATAGATTACCTGCAAATAAACAGATGTATGTCCATTGTTCTCACACCTCAACTTGATATTTTTGTGTTCATTTCGAGGACTAATTTGGCATCTTTAAAAGGTCAGTAGTGGCCCAATACTAAGATATTAAAAAAAATTCCATATTGGCAGAAACACAATTGTGCTAATTTTAGGTCACTCATCGAATTGAGATTCAATTTTAGATTGGAACATCTTATTTTGTTCCGAATAATCCAAGACACTTTGATGATATCTTACTGACCTATTTCATCGATATCGTATCTAATTTTCTGTGTGTGATATATTTCTAAATCGGATTCACGAAATCAAATTGCGAAATTTATTGATAAAACGTTTGATTGAACATTTTACGAGAGTGCCAACAGAAGAGGTATATATTACATGTAGTTCCCAACTCATTGATTGCTTTGAAGATCCAGGTACACTGCTACCCGAGTGAATGTCCATATAAGGTCACTTGCACACTCCAAGAATACCCTATTTCCAAGACGAAATGGGACATCCAGAAACTTTCGTTGTGGCTCAACCATGTTTGATAATGTAAAAGGTCAAATCATTACGTCTTCCTCCCCCTTGAAAAAAATACTGATTAAAAAGAAAAGCGTCCTTGATACATTTTCACTATAATGTATGAAATATTTCATATTTCAACCAAAATATTGGTGAATGATGTGAAAATGCACCTGGAAAATTGTTATTCTTTAAAAATTTATTGTAAAAAGAACTGCGGTGTCACTTTCTTCATCTTCTTTGGTATCTAAAAATCTAATATTAATGATAAATGTCATGTCATTTGTTTATGTTCTATAAATGAATTCTACAATTAGAAAGATGACGACACTTACACCAAAGTTAGGAAATTGTAAGAAATCGCTATTTCATTTACATTCTTCTTTTTATTTCATGTAAGATTAAAAGTATACTTACACGATGGAAACTACTTTCGAAAAGTCAATCTATAAAGCAATTTCATTTGGATTGTGGCTGTTGTGCGCCACCTATTGAGATTTGCGAACGTGGCAAGGACGTATTACGTAATCCCAACTTGATTTCTATTGGATATAAAATGGGGGATATTGAAATTGACCCTGAATTTAATTGTCGAAAATAGTCGCCACCGCATTATTTCATACTTGTACCCATCGTCCTTGAGATGTGTGATTTATTTAAGTTATATAGAAAAATTGATAAAACATATAGGTCTGATCCCCCTCTCCTCCCCCCCCCCCAAAAAAAAAAAAAAAAAAAAAAAAAATCTGACGACCGGGAAGAAATAATAGTCGACCGTAAAATTGTATTGTAAAAAATAGTAGATTATCTTTTGAGTGATTTAGGAACCAGTTGGTTTAATTTATTATTACCTTGAACGAATAAATTTGTTTTATTATTTGATAAATGGAGAGATGTACAATATTGAATTGAAACATGTCATAACAATATTTAGTATGTTATGTAGTATGTACCATTTGTATTACTGTGTACTGCTTATTGCCAGCACATCAAGTATTGTATACTAATGATAATTTGTCAATCTGCTTTGAGAATTATGAATAAATTTAATTTGAAGAAAAAAAGAAGAATTATAAAGTGGTGCTATTGATTCATCATTCATTAAACACTGTTGAAGGTGTGGTAAGACTTGACCTTCACGTTCTTCGCGTTGAAGTTGTTTCTATTTGTGGATGGTTTCCTTTTCAGATTATATCAGTATCCGAAGGCGGATGAGAATAACTGGTCAAGCGGGGACAACTCTTTAATATGCTAATGAACCGGCAATATGAGCCCTACTATATTACTGAATGACAATTTGACAAACGCTTGTCGATCAATGGAAAGTGGGGGAAAACGCCTCGAAAATCTTCCGATTGTTCTTTTAATTCTTGGAACAATGTTTAGATCGTTCTATAACAATTGTGCAAACGTCATGTATTATGGTTATCTACAAATTTAGAGAATTTATATGAACACAATTTACATGATTTGTTTAAAGAAATTTTCCTTAAAACTGTATTGGTTATGTAAATTTTAATTTACATATATTATCTTTTGTCCAGGCATTCTTGTCTTATATGTAAGTACAGTGAAGATAATATCTATGCTCAACCATTCTAAATGTCACTCCAATGTTACTCTCCCTTTTCGTCATTCTGTTCCTGTTCATCTCTCTCTCTCTCTCTCTGTCTTTGTCTCTCTTTCTCTCTCCCCCTCTCTCTCTCCCCTCTCTATCTCCCCCTCCCCCCTCCCCCCTCTCTCTCTCTCTCTCTCTCTCTCTCTCTCTCCATTTTCGCCCCCCATTCGTTAATGCCACTCTCCACCCAGGCGAAGAAAATGGATACCTGGTCCCTGTCTTACAAAGAGTTGATACCAATCGTAACTTATTTGCGATTGGTACCAATCGCAAATATGTACATAAGGGATAGGAGACTGCAAACTTGCGATTGATTGGAGGACTTGCGATCTCTTAGAATTAAAGACAGGGCCAAGGTAGGAAAAAATATTTTGAATGGTTTAGCGCCTCATCTTGGTAGCTCGGCTTAATACGGGGACACTGATAGTATGCTAATGAAGTATTTTGTATATCCTAAAGGGGGAAAGCGCTTTATAAATCCAACTATCATTATTCTTATTGAATATACGATCGTTCTAAGGGGGAAAAGAGGTCTGAAAGTAGAGACTGTTGGACTATACCTCCGCGAAATGTCAAATTGGAATAGGGGGTAGATCCGGAGAAATGGAGAGGGGGGAAATTCGGTCCTATATGTGCCACAAGGATAGGAGATAGATAACAGGGTCGCTATTAGGGAGTGCGTCATCCACTAGGTTTTCAAATTAGCTAAAGCAAGATTGTGGGGTCTCAAACAAATCGTGGGTAACCTATACCCCGCTTTAAGGGAATGCTTATACTAGTGAACACAAGTCAATCAGCGTGGTGGATTCAAAAAATGAAAATAATGCTCTCAATCTGGCAAAAAGTGAATCATATATTTTAAATTTTGATTAAACAATACATCTGATCTAATGTCACTTTAAATACTTTATTCGAGAGTGATGAATAATGTAAATATAATGGATATCAAAGCGAAAATTACAATAATGCTAGAACAATTTCTAGATTTTACAATGCGTTACTTCAAATTTGATGAGATGTTTAATACGCAAGTAAAGGCTATGAAATAATGTGGATTCAACCTTTCTATAGAGAAACAAAACAAATGTAAGAATTAAGTAACACCTTAATCATTGGGAGTATCAGACAAATTAGCAAATTTCAGAAAAATTAGCAAATATCAGAAAAAGGAAGGCTTTTAAAGAATACATCAAGTACAATCGAAATATTGATTCAGCACTTCATTGACCAGAAACAAACATTCAATTACTACACGAATAAAAGAATCCATTTATTTACCTCTTTACCTTAATGTGTACCATAATGTACCTTGAATTCAAGACAAATGTTATCCTAAATCTTCAAATTCTAGGATAAAGGCAAACTCAGTGATATATATGAAATGCGTATTGTAAAAGGACGTCCTTACACATCCGTTATTGATTCAAATTGAGTGGACTTGCAGATATTGATGATGGTATTGACAGCATTGACAAAGAAAACAAATTAATAGGGTCTATATATTTTTGTTATAACTTGAAAATAACGTAAATATAAGAGGTAAATATATATTTATAGCTATTGCATTTATACCGTTGATAGCCAAAATGAAACTTTGCTTTGAAGGTATTCTTATGAAATTGCAACGGTACGATATGTTTTTTTTTTAACTTAGAACTGTATTAACTGTAATTCTACGAGAGTAGATGGACTAAACATGATTCTTCCCCTTTTTTAGAACAAATATATACACAAATCTCGGATCGGCATAGAAAGAATTGCTATAAAGTTTTCTCTCTTAACGAATATATAACCCAAATAATGATTGTGATAATGAATCAATTAGTTTTCAACTTGTATCGTAATATAAAAGATACACATGATCAATATGTTTACACGTTTTGAATACAATTTTAAAAGAGAAATGCCTATTATAGGACAATAAAATTGTATAAGCATGAAAGTTGTGAATACCTGTATTTAACTTTGATCATTGTCAATCATTGTTTAAATTTTAGATACGACAAGAACTTTATATATATAAAAGATATACATGGTTACATGTTTTAATAACATTCTTTAAGAGATGTGGAATTATATCAAATTTTATTTGTTAAACTCGACTGGTATTGTCAGCAAGAAAACATGATGAAGAGATGTAGATTGTTGCTATGGTAACTGAAGTTTGTTGCATGTCAATAACAGAAAGTTTAAAGAAAATACATCGTTACAAATATTGCTTAGACAACAAACACAACGTATCAGTCTACAATGATTGGGACTGATTGAGCTTTTATACTTTCTTCAAAAACTACAAGTGCTACAATTTTGTGAATTGTCATTGAATTATATTGAAATCCACATTTCTTTTGACAAAATACGGCATTTATGTTTGACGATATTAAAGGTCAATACATCAAACATTGCAAAGCTGGAGGCTAACACGAAACAGGCAGCTAGGGCTTATGTTGGGTACGCTAGCAACAAACTTTTTAAATTTCGAGTGGTTTTAGTTGTTCACACTCAGCATTGCATCGTCAAACGAGTCCGTTCGACCACCGCGATCATTATCATCATTGAACAGTTGCTCGGGTGCGACCTCCAGGCCGGCCACCGATCGGAAATAGGTCACCATTCTCTTCTGACGTCGTAACATGACGATGAGTGCGGCAACGATCACGATGAAGGCTGCAATTCCGACTGTTATGCCCACGATAGCGCCGACGTTCATGGACTTCCCTGATCACAAAAGGGCAAGAAAACGATGGAAATGGACTTGATTTACGTTAGCCCTTATCTGTCTTTTCTAATAATCCTACTTGAAATGTCACGTAAATATAACATCAATACAAACACTTCTTCATCGTGGGCTGATGAAGAACGAGTTGGTTTGTAAATTCTTAAATACAAATATACATGGGTGATAATTTCAATTAATTTTCTGACCATGCTAGTAATAAAAGCCCCGTGTAAACGAGGGAAAGAGATTCTGCAACTCTCTTCAAACTTCACGTGCGTTCTATTTAAATTAAGAATTATCAGAATTTGTGCTTACCTTTCGGCTCTACTTCATTGGGTGGTGTTGTTTGGTATATAGGACTTCCTATAATATAGGAAAAATGCAAGCATGTATTAACTATTATCATAACACGGAGGGCTTGTATGTATTACAAGAACCGTAACAGTTATACAAAGTTAATATATCTGAAGAAATCCAATAACAAATAGCTATAACAAATACATGTACTTACAAATTCAAACACGAATGTTATACAAAAAAACAAGTGTTTAAATGACTGATCTACGAGGAAGAACTTTTATTTTTAAATTGATCAACGTTCCAATAAACATATCTATTAGATGGCAATTTCCATGAACATTTTCTATAGCAACGCATTGTGTAGCCACTTTCTTTACTGGGGATGAGGTTGTTCAACGAGGAAATACTGGCTTCTATTGGGCTTCTATTGCAACAATACAACAAGTACAATCAGGATCATGGACTTCCAAAATGAGGCATTATATTTGTTATCGATTCCATTTCAAACGAAGAACACAAGATTAATTTCATTTAAAGTCCCTCTGCACTAGTTTGGCCAGGAGGGGTAAGACCTCCCTGCATGGTCACTGACAGGTGGTTATCTCATCAAATCAGCTCTCAATCAACATAAGAAACGGAGGGGATCATGGGGGACCAACGGTCACCAAGTATGCATTGACTGCTATATAGAGGGCGCAAGTAGCTATAAGTAGTGCAGTGGGGCTTTAAAGAAAGAATTCCTTGGTGATTACCTGTGGTGTACTTGCAGACGAAAGGCCACTTCTCTAGACAGTAGAGGTCGTTCCACTGCCCCACGTGCCCACCACTGGTGTACATCTGGGTACACTCTTCGTCCTGTTCGTCCCCGTTGGTCCCGCTGGGTTCTCCAGGGCCCCATGAAACATACTCATAGGGGCTCTCATCTGCCCAACTAAAACCTACATACAGGATAATGACAACGATAAGGATAATAGTGTTGGCGGTGCATGGTCATTCACAGTACCAATTTTGCTACTGACAACAAATTTCTGTCGGAGGTGTTAATCGACTTAATATATATTGAAGTGATTATAATAAACAGTCGCAATAGTAATACCAGTTTGTCATAGTAATTATAGTGATACAATAGTGATGCGATCGTGATTATGATGGTGATGATGATGATGATGACGTTTATTGAATACACATCATAATGAAATGATGAAATTTCGATGTATTTTGTGCATTTTCATTACGGTATGAAATTCATACCAAAAAAATCTGATCTGGCATCTTTGAATATTCGTACTTTGGTGTAAGAAACTATTTATCTTGATTCTTGTTTCCAAAGATTATTGTATACCTATGACAAGATAATCAAAGTTGGCGCTTACAAATTGCGTACATCCGGAGATGTCCCAATTTCAATCGGCTTTAAATGATCGGAAGTGACCTTAGATTACCTTACCCAGTGGCGGATCCAGGGGGGGGGGGCCCGGGGGGCCCGGGGGGCCCGGGCCCCCCCCCCTTGAGAAAAAAATCATGTGAAATCACGTGATTTTTACCTTTTTTTTGGGTTGGGCCCCCCCCCCCCTGGCGCTCAAGGGGGGGGGGTGCAAATCGAATTTTTTTTGAGGATCAAAAAAAAAAAAATGTGCTCACTACCCCCCCCCCCCCCCCCACTGAACGAATTTTTGGCCGGCGCGTTTTTCAAATTTTCGGGAGCAAAAAAAAAAAAAAAAAAAAAAAAAAAAATTGTGCTCTGTACCCCCCCCCCCCCCCCCCCCCCCCCACTGAGCGATTTTTCGGCCGGCGCGATTTTGAAATTTTCGGGAGCAAAAAAAAAAAAAGTTGGGCCCCCTCCCCTAAGAAATCCTGGATCCGCGCCTGACCTTACCTGACCTTAAGTAACCTTAAATGACCTAAAAAAAAAAATCGAATGTCAAGTCAAAAATCTCGTTCAATACTTCTACCAATATAAAATTTAAAAAGAGTTTTGTGAATGATCCTTACCAAAGTTATTGATGTTGTTCAACCCGATCCACACACTGTAGTAATCACCCTGAGTAAGAGAGATAACGAAATCCCTCTCCCTATCACTATGGATGCTAACTAGGCTGGATCGGTCTTCCTGACAGACATAGAGGGCAGCAGACCAAGGTACGATAAACTCCTCTTCAAGATAGGCTTTGTAGCATGCACTTCCATGGACAGACCAGTCACTGCCGGGGCAATCTTCGGGTGTGAGTGTAGGCTGCTGGGGTGGTATACCACCTAACCATTAAAGGCAAATGACAAAAAAAAATGAAGAGTTTCGCTGAGTCGTGGTTCCAACATGTAAATATACTGAATCATTAATAACAATATGAAATGGGTGCCATACATGTACAACAAGTAGGGTTAGGATTAATTCAGGTCTATTTTTTTTTAGGTGTACTTGATTATATTTCTGCATTTGTCAACATAAAAGAAAGTAATATTCAAACTAGGTACATGTATATTACATGAATTAATAAGTTAAAATACATATATATAAATCACATTATGATCAATTAACTAATTTTGAAGCTAGAAGTTGAATGCTGTACAAACAAAATGATGGAACAATTATTATTGGGCATGTGTCACATCATGGACCTACTAAGAAGTAGGTCTATGGTCACATGCTACAACATTTCCAGTATAATGGCTCTTTAAAGCCACACTGTCCTGCTTGTAGTTACTTGCTCCCTCTATATAGAAAACAATGCCTAAACGGTGACCATTGGTCCCCCTGGTAAGCTTTAAGACGACTTGTCAAACTCTTTACCTTGAGTAAACTTGCATAAGGCGCCATATGTGCTAGTGCATGAGACATCATCCCACGAACCACTGTTACTGACCCCAGCATTGACTACCACACACTTCTCTTCCGGATTAAGGGAAGGCTGTCCCGATGCCCAGCCGGTGTAGACCACGGGCCACGTGTCATCCCAGCCGTACGTAGAGTTATTAGTCTGGAAGAAGCAAGGAAGGAAATTGTTCATGTCAAAATGGACATCAAAGAGGGAAACATGAATTTGACTTCAATAATCTTAACTTATTAATATTAGTACTATACTAAAGTGTACAGTCACGTCATGGAGCATAAAATACAAACTATAAATGCAATATTGTTGTTTTGTGTGTACTTCATGATAATATTCTTCTTTCTGGAAAATTAATGTTCGTGAGCACTCCTTCAGAACAGTTCATCTTCAAGACAGTTCCACCAGGGCCGTATGGACTCCCTTAGAAACAATAGCACGATGTTTGCAAGGATATCACATAAGTCTTGTAGTTGTCTTAGAAGAAGACGAAACACGCCATTATACTAATGCTAAGATCGTCACCATCATTATCTTTGCCATAATCAGCATGATTAATGCAACCGTCAGTATTACCAAAACTATCTACACAGACTTACGGATATCCATTTACACAGGAATCATTATTGAAGAATGTATTATATTTTGTAAGATAAGTACCGTATATACTTGTATATACATTTCCCGTATCAAGACATGAAAATAATTAGGAATGTGAATATCGTGAATGTGAATGTGAACACCATCATCAAAACTGTATATCATTAACAATGCCCGCTATAATCAGAAGTACGTATTTAAATCCTTAAACCATGATCTTTAAACAGCTGACGCTCCCACACCGGCTACCACACAACCCCGACCGGTGTGATGAAGGGTATCAGTTACGGACATGGAGGTACATGTAAGGAGGAGGTGCATGAGACTCCTCTAATCCTAGCCAATTATTATTATCTTTCTTGGCTTAAAGGGGCTACACCATTGAATAAAATTCCTTTGGTTTACATACTACATTACGGTCCGCCCTTCGAATCAGCTGCTATCGACTATTAAAACATCACCATCGGAAATGATGGGCCAGACTCTTCTATTCTCTTTTTGTTCACAACCTTTATAGATCTTAACCCGCAAAACATTATTGAAAGATAACCCATATTGTTAAGTATCCCACTTCTGATAATATCTGAATAAAATAAAATATCCGTCCGGCTAATGGGGGACACTACCGAATCCGCCGAGGGGCCTCATCGGTCGTAACACCGGCTACATACTCACCTGGGTCAGTCCAATGTACATGGGTGAATCGATGCCAGCATTACTCATCATCAAGCCGATTTCACGGTCCTCGTAGATGGAGTTTATGGATGCGAGGGTGGAACCCAAATCATCAGACTCACACATCCTGAGAGAGAGAGGGAGAGAGAGAGAGAGAGAGAGAGAGAAATTGACATCGAAGGTGTAGTGTTTAAAAAGGCAAAAAAAATTGGAGTGAATCAAATACCATGTAAACACTTTAGGCTTTTGTTTTAGACAGAGATAAATTTTTAGGGATGATTATCTTATTAAGGTTTCTAAGGACATGATCTCCAAGACTTTTAAGTTTTAAGGTACATTTCAAATAGGTAATTGGCAATGCTATTGAAATGTCCAAAAGTTGATTTTTCGACAGTCTATGCGATCATGTTAAATGTACAAGGAGTGATAAAATAAAAATACATTGAAAATTAAGAAGACTAGTACTTAAACATCATTATGAAAGACGTCAAAGAATCCTTCTTGTATAATGATTCGAAATGTTATCAACGTACGTCTTAGCTTGTTCCCTCGTATACGATCCATTGTAGAGTTTGTAGCAAGCGTTGCCATAGTGATGGTAGGAGCCACACAGCGAGAGAGTAGGAGCAGGAGGGGTCCCTTGTGAATCTATTTAAATCAGAAATTAGAATTCACTCTATTGCGATTACTATCAATGATCATTGAGAATTGGTAACAATAACATTATAGGCCTTCGTCGAAGAAGACCTCGCGCTGATCCCTACCCCCCCCCCCCCGCTCTCATTCTCTCTATTTATCTCCCTCCCTCCCTGCATCTTTCCTCTATCTTTTTGTTTTTTTATCTCCCTCTCTTCTCTTCTAATCTCTCTGTCTCTGTATTTCTGTCTGTCTCTCTGTCTCTATCTATCGCTCTCTCTTTCTCCTCCCTCTCTCTCCTCTCTCTCTCTCTCCCTCTCTTCTCTCTCTTCTCTCCGAATCTCCCCTCTCTCTCTTTCTCTCTGTCTCTCACTCCCATCTCCTACCCTTCCATCCCTCTTCAGTTTTTAACAAGTAGGCCTATACCCTAAAAAGCAAATACTGGACGGAGACGATTACCTCTAGGTATCTGGCAGAGTGCTCTGTATTTCTGAGTACACTCAGCGTCGTTCCATGCTCCTGGATCATTTCCACTGTTATATCCAAACATGACGATACAATCCTCCTGTATGGGTGCAGAAGAAAGAGATTGTTGAAAATACACCGTAGAAGTCGCTGTATTGACGTTGAATAAGACTATGGATAACGTTAACATTATAATAATAATCTATTCTTATGTGGTGTTTATTTTGATAAAACATCGTTAAGAGTTCCAAAGAGCTGTCAATGACTCTGCCTTAGCTCCGTCAACAACGGTTGGTGTAGAGTGCCTTCAAGGAACTATCATATCAGTATTATTACACCTGGGTTGGGAGTGGCATTTTGTAGATTAATGTCTTCCTGGGGACATTGATTCCGTACCGGCGCTGAAACCCACTAATTCCGCATCTCTATTCAAACCTTAAAAGAGATGTGATTTGGCATTGGGGTGTTGTGGCGTGCGCCTGTAATCCAGCTAATAATGGAAGTTACAAAGTGTTGCCGAGGACGCAGTTTCGAAACTGAGTCACGTCTTTCGGATGGTGACGTTAAAAGTCGTTCCCCAGACGTAAAATATCATATCTGATTGATACACGTCTGTAAAAAAAAAATACACACACATATAAAAATCATTTGAAAGGTGTCAGCCCCCTTTTAATGGCTTGTATTCCTAAACGCAGAAAATAAGTCAACTGAAAATCGCTATCGACACCAAACAAACTTTTCCTACAGTAACTATTATGATAGAGGAATGATTACGTACACCATCGCCATTATCGTTGGGTTCATTTGTGTCCCAGTTTGTGTAGAGGACCTGAGTACCGTCAGCCCAGGTGAAGCGACCCTCACTGTCACGGTCATTCAGCCCGATCCAGACGGGGTCAGGAACGCTCTCCAACAAGGTCACGATGTAAGCTGGAACATGAAGGTGTGGATAAAGATGAGGCGTGAGTCATGAATCCTACCGTACTTTATGTTGGTAAAATATTAATCCGTCTACATGGTAATATATTGTTATAAAACGTCAAGCACACTGGCTTCAAGATTCTGAATGTTACTATAGTAGTTCTATTTTTAGTAACATGTTAATATACTCGGAGAGCAGAATAGGATAAGTAAATTGATTAATGAATCATTTAAAGCTGAAAAAGGACATCTCCTTCATTGATGATCATTGGCAAAATTTGTATCTTGATCCCAGATCATTCTAAAGAGAATTTACACCTAAGTAACTTATGCTAATGAAAAATAAACTGTAAGTTTTTTTTTTCTTTAACTCCTCTAAATGCGAGTAATGAAACTGGTATAAGCCGCAAACCATGTTAAAGCTTATCTGTACCAGTTTAAAGGAGGGATTAGAGCACACTGCATGAAGGGTCACTGCACAGGTGGTTATCTCACCAACTCAGCTCTCAAATAACATAAGAATAAGTTGACATGGGGGACCAATGGTCACCGATTAGGCATTGTTTGCTATATAGAGGGAACAAGTAGCTACAAGTAGGACGGTATGGCTTTAAAGGAGCCCCTGGGCCTACACTGAAGTGTTGTCAAGCGATGGATCGAGCTATGATGGTAGTTCTTGGTTATCTACGTTCATATCTACAGGAGATTAATGAAACGCTATATACATTCTCGAAATCCAGCATCCTTCGTAAGGAATGTGTTACAGAATCTTCCTTTAGGTCATCAGCCTTGGGCCCGTCTTACAAAGAGATGCGATTAATCGAAACCAATCGCAAGTCCTCCAATCAATCGCAAGTTTGCAGTCTCCTATCTCTTATGTACATGGTTGCGATTGATATCCATCGCAAATAAGTTGCGATTTATATCAAGTCTTTGTAAGACGGGGCCCAGACCTCTTTACATTTTCTTTTCCCTTTTTGTAGAGAGCAGTGGAACCAGTGCCATTGATTAGGAGAGTTTGGCCAACCCAGTTTGAGTTGGGTAAAATATGGCGAATACACAAAAGGATATGCGCCACATTATAACCAATACCGAAACAAAGTTCACTAAACTCTGTGTATAGATGGCTCTAAGTGGCACTCATTGACAACACCTTCTGTTACCATTTTTGTAAGAAACATTGCTCAATTCAAGTAGGGTCCGCAGAAGTAGAATACACGTCTATGCCAAGGAAAGGGGATAGTGCAAGTCACAATGTATTCTTTCATTAACTATTTTCCTTTGAGAAACAGCGTATACTACAATTTCCCGCAGTCTTCAGAGATACTGTCTATACCACAAAAGCTTTAAGATAACCATATACCTTGCTCTGTAGAATCTCGAATACTGGCCAGGTCTCCACCGAGGGTCTGGCACGAATTCCTGTGGTCGGTCCACGTGTTCCAGCTATCTAGAAACTGTAGGCACTTGTTTCCCCACGTGAACCAGTTCTTTGGGCAGAATCCATCGGCTTGCTTGGTTGGAGCAGGAGTGTAGCTATGCGGGTCTGGGGTTCGCTTGCAGACGTACGCCATCTGGGTGTCGCATTCACCAAGCCTCCAGCCACCTGAATTAAAAAGTAAAGATGTGGCAATATTGCAAGTAAACATAAGAAACCTATACCATCAAGGAATCAATGTATACGTGGTGACTCCAGGAACAGTATCGAAATATGTTGATGACTAGGTACACAAGACTAGATATTGATATATTTCCCTGGTTTTTTCTCCAGAAGTGTTGGGATTTTCCTGAATGGACATAGAAGATGATTCCTTTAGGTTTACTCCCATCTTGGACTATTTACCGTTTTCACTCCTGTATTTCTATAGAAATCCGGATTTAGTACATGTACACAATTCTATTTGGGGTTTTGGTATGGGCATAAATGTTATAGATTAAATTTACGAACGATACCGCTACCAAGAAGAGAAAACAAAACCAGCTTTGATCTACACCCACAACAAAAAGTGAGTCATTTGACACATTTAAGCATAATTTTCGTGAGTCAGGTGTAAATTGACTCATTAGTAACAACCAATGAGTCTCTATTGACTCATTTATATTTCACCAGTGTGTCAATCATGAGCTGACGCATTTGCAAAATGCTTCGACTGACTCACATGGTCGTAAAAAATGAGTCAAGATCGACATAAGAGCATTTTAGAAGAAAAAAGTGAGTCAACTTGAAAGTGAGGCTGTATGCATGCGCGCGCATGCTTTCGTAACGTCATCCAAAATGCGCATTCTCGAGCCATATTTGAATTCCCGATCGACGACGCGACGTCGCCATCTTATATCTTGGATTCAGAAGAGTTTTGACTGCAGCTAGTGAAAAATTGGTACGCATAATTATTCATATGGTTTTAAACGATGATTTTTATGACTGGATTCGTGGGCTGAATCTTCTGATTATTATACAAATGATGCATGCGTTCATTTTACGATATCCGCACTCGAGTTGATGAGGCTGTGTGTAACTTAACTATAGATTCTACTGTATCGCACGAAGCCGTGTCGAATGAAAACATGCATGATCTTGCATCATTGTTTTATACAACGAAACTCCTAGATCCTTGTTATTTGATGTAAAACGAATTAATTCAAGATTGTTTCGTGACAGTATGGGTGACAAATAAATCTCAAGTTAAGGCTTAATTTAGTGCGTACAAAGTAGATTTTTCAGATTCGGGTAGCGGGACCACCGATTACATCGCTAAAATGTGATATTTTAGGATATATTTTCCATTGCAAATGTGGACAGTGACTCTGGCATGGTATGGTATCACTATGAATATGACAGACAAAGAAAGCGGACAAAATATACAGTTCTTCAGGTAGACAAAGGAACATCCCTTCACTGCTATTATGTAAAAATGTGTAGAACAGGTGAATACGCATGTGACACCTGTTCTACACAGTTTTACATAATAGCAGTGAAGGGATGTTCCTTTGTCTACCTGAAGAACTGTATATTTTGTCCGCTTTCTTTGTCTGTCATGTTCATAGTGTATGTGTGTGATAGGCCTAGGGAGTAGGGGGGTCTATGTCATGATGCACCCTCAACAAAAAGTGAGTCACCCTTACTCAAATTGATGAGTCACTGGTTTGTCCGTACAGCGAAACACTTGAAGGATCATGTGAGTCACTATGACTCGATACAAATGAGTCTCTTAGATAAATAAGACTCATTTGTATCGAGTCATAGTGACTCACATGATCCTTCAAGTGTTTCGCTGTACGGACAAACCAGTGACTCATCAATTTGAGTAAGGGTGACTCACTTTTTGTTGTGGGTGTAGACGTCCGTTCGCCTTTCCTAAATCACATATGCCAGCTGTATCTTAGAGCATATGGCACTACCTCTTTTATTTTCCAGAAAGTAACATTACTTTTGTCTTTTGAGTTTACCACGAGCGTATAAAGTGTATATAATTTTTCTCACCCGTTGTAGCGTCCATTTCGACACACATTTTGAGGCCATTTCCAGGTTCATGCTCATCCCAACTAAAGTAGTCAGCGGGTGAATCATCCGACCACCTGGTACAAAACATAAATGTGAAGAAAACCAATGTGATGAGGGGCAAGTGGAGTAAGTAAGTGGGGCACAAGGAGCAAGTGCCCCTTCCCACACGTAATTGTATTTTAAAAATGGGTAAAAAGCGAAAAGAAAGAAGTGGGAAAGGGAGAGGGAGAGGGAGAGGGAGAGGGAGAGGGAGAGGGAGAGAGAAGTTGAAGAGAATTTTATACGACTGTAGGCCTATCATTGCTCTCTTGCATTTTGCTTAATACAAGATCATTCTCAACCCCATATGCAGCTCATCATTTAGTATTATTTTCTGTACCCTCGATCTCTCACTTTTTTTGTCATTGTCTACTCTTTGTATTATGACCGTGTTCTTCTATCTTTGTCGTGTAAAGTATTGTCTTGTCCCTTTCTCGTCTCTGTTGGCATCCCCCTTTTTCTTTCCCCTATTTCGTAGTTCCTCTTGTAGTTACAGATTAGTTAATTTAATTACTCATTATTCCTAAGTTTCATTTGAGGTGTTCATACTTGTACAAGCATTGCTTTTTAGGGGAACCTTCTGTTTCTCTTTTCCTTAAATTTGTTTTAAATGCTTATAATTGATTTGTAATGTTTTGTTGGAAACATGAATAAATTTGAAATTTGAAATTTGAAATTTGAATTTGAATTCATCTTTATTTCCAGGGTGCCCCCCTCCATGTATAAACACACGCTATGCCACTGATGAGAGACGGAGGGATGAGAGTGAGTGAAATGAATGTGCGTAGGATAGAAAGAGAGGGAGAAAGAGGAGAAGGAGGACGAGGACGAGGAGGAGGAGAAGGAGGAGGAGGAGGAGGAGGAGGAGAGAGAGAGAGAGAGAGAGAGAGGGCGGGGAAACATTATTTCATTTTTGGGGACATTTTGTAACATGACGAAAATATTTAGTTTACACGGAAGTAACATCGAATTGAAACACGCCCTTATCGGAATAAACTTAATGAGGGAAAGTATTGTGACTTGAAAAATTATTGGAAGTTCTGGGAAAAAAAAGTAAGGCCAGTAATGGTTTCCTGTTACCCAACTTACTTATGAAAAGGTATAACCCACTTACACAAAACCCCCTCTGCCTGTGAAATGATTATTCAAACCGGTCCAGACAGCGTCAAAGGAATTCCTGTTCACCTGTGTAATAAATGTACCAAACATACATAATTGTAAACGTTTTATAACAGTCCTATGCTTTCTTACATCACAATGACACATCACTTGTAAATTTTAACACTCTGTTATATACATGTAATTAAAAGATTATGTATTTTTCAGTTATTTTTAAAAAGTTATATATTTCATGTAAAGCGCTTAGAAACTATATAACATATGTTAAGCGATAAACTAATGTTAACTAGTGTAAGAAGTGGTAGTATAATGAAGTGTAATCATAAATTTGACGTTTTAATGATTTAATCTCATACAGTTAGCTAAGTCATTTAGCCACACAGTGTCTGTATTTACCATTTTCTCCTCATTTACCGTACATTATGATCGGCGTAATTTGTATCTTCCCGGTTTATTTTGTAAACATTTCTTCAGTTTGTATGAATCTGCATTGTTTTAATGTAGATGTGGAACAAATAAACTTCAAGCTTCAAACCACAGTATTCCCAATGTTTCTAAATTTACTTTTAAAAGAGAAAGCGCTAGTTATTGTCGTTGCATTAGGCCTATTTATTTAGCATTTAAAAAATTAATTACAACGAGATATTTTAGAAATTTAAAATTAGGGCTTCAATTCAATCCAATTCAATTCAATTCCATTCAATGCAATGCAATAGAAGACGTATTAAAACAAAAATTATTAACGCATTACTCAAATAATAAATGTATACATGAACAATTCTAAGAGCATATTTAAATTCTTAACTCAAAGAATTGTATTATTAAAAGTGACTTCAAATTGCAGCCTCTCACCATATCCTGTACAAATTTATTCTCCTCTGGACTGTGTATGGAGACCAGTTGAGCTTTCTCCCCACCGCAGGCATCATTAGCGTCCATCCAAAGGGCCCTTTCTTGTTCCGTAAGTCCCATGAACCTATAACAGGTGCCCAGGTTAACATTGTATGCCCAGTTCTGCCAGTTCTCCCCGCACTTCTCAGCTGTTGAAATGAAACACGATTATTGGTGAATAATTTTCAGTAATCACTGGGTGTGAGGTATATTGATGTTTTCACTTGTTTAAAGCTCGGAGACCGGGAGTATATCTTTATTAGTGAGCAAAATCAACCCGGAAACTGTTATGTGGTACGTAATAACGTGAATAATTTGTTGTAAAAATGGCCTGAAAGAAACAAGATTTTACCAAGCTTGCCCCCCAAATAGCCTTAGCATATTATAGAATATACGTATTCACCCGAGTAAACACCTTGCCTCCAATTATGTCCAACATGTTCAATCATTATTCTCCTTCCAATCGTCATCACAATCACCATTATCACTTCCAACATAATATTAGCCACTGACATCGACATTCACACTCATTAACTTTTCGTCACTCAATGCGCTCGGCCTGATTTTTGGTGCACGAATGTCTAATAAAAAAATCTTGAAAAACAAAAGTAAACAGATTGTTATAATTATATTTCCCTTAATTTGAAGCTAATATTTATTTCTAACTTTCTAAGTACAATGTAATAAAGATGTGAGTGAGAATTTGTGTGGTAATGAGGAGTGAACGTAGTATACTGGACAAAAGATGACTTTACATTCATATTCTAAATGCAATGCATGCGTATATAGTTTGCGTAAGAACAGTACTTACACTGGCCGGGTGATACATTCGGAAGCGTTGTCATCATGTAGGTGTCTGTAGCCACACACAAAAATAAAAAAATAAAAATAAAGCAAAATATCGATTACTCAAATATATTGTAAAAACATTGTTGTAATAAACGAAATTTGTGTATCACACGTTAAACTCATCACTTGATCGTTCGATGGTGTTGTTCAACATAATGCTAAGAAAAGATAAGGTATACAGTGATATGAATGCAATAGAAAAGTAGTATACGCCTGTCGCACGTCCAGAAAGGTTGGTTGTCCGGACGGACATCTTTCAATCACCTTTCAACTTTCAACTTTTCTTCCCATTAAAGGCTTCATGAATATTTCACGAGGTATGATGACAAAATATGAATAGCAAATTTGTGTAGGATAGAAAGTTAGTTGATACGTGTATAAAACAATTTTTTTAAAATCAACGACACAGCTTAATATTATTAACCGTCCGGACATACAACCCCCTATTATATGGGACAATGGTACCTTTGGGTGTCTTGCAGACCCAATTCCTCTGGGCGGTTGCACCAATGAAGTCCCATCCATAGTCTTCAGATGCTGGGTATGCTACTAGTCCAATATAATATAGATCAGGTCTTCCTTCAGGCATGTTAACACCCCAATTGACATACTGCAATGGACTGCCATCATCCCAATAATAATCTGTTAGAGGCGCGAAAGAGAAGAAACAAAAAGTATGTTTAGAAAGAGAAGAGGTGGAAATTATACTGGGGCCCGCAAATCACAAAGTATTTTAGACCTCTGGGCCCCGTCTTATAAAGAGTAATGTTGCGATAGATCTAAATCGATGGCAAGTCCTATAATCAATTGCAAGTTTGAAGTCTCCTATCTCTTATGTATATAGTTGCGATTGATATCAATCGCAAATAAGTTGCGATTAATATCCACTCTTTATAAGGCGGGGCCCTGAACATACATGTATATTGACATCGAATGTTTATCAACTTTTCTTAATATTTTGACTTGATAAAAGCCCCAGAAAGGCGATAGAAGCTCCAGTATGGCTATGAAATTAATTACAATCATCAGAATGATAGATACTGAAATCTGAGATGTAGTTTGGTACACGGGACGGTAGTATATTTTTTCGAAGGAACGATATTATGTATTCACTAATTACAGAAACATAATCATATCTAATCACTGCACGGTAATAGTGACATTTAAAGAACTTTCGATAAGTTACTTTTAACTGAAAAGGCGCTATAATCCCTAAGAGCTTGATAAGCATACCCGTTATGCAACATTAAAAATGTATCTATTAAATAGCCGAAAGATTCAATATACCACACCTTTGGATAAACTAGCCAAAAATCATTTTTATATTCTTTTAAAATTTGGCTATACATAAACGCATTTTTATATAGGATTCATTAACTTTTTACATATTGAAGAAAAAGAAAAGAAAAATGAAATTAAACATCTTTAATTACGTACAATTATCGGTGCTTGTTAATGACATTCCTATCCAGAATTCCTCCACAGGATCAACACTGTAAAAGGAAAATCAGTAGAATAATGAAGAATTCTACTTTTTTCAAGATTCTATAATGATTGTTTCGTAGACAATGATTTCAGCGAATAAATGACTAAAAGATGTTACCCCTGACATTTTTACACCGAACCGGTGAGGTAGGTACCTGGCAGGAATTAATTCATTGAAATGCTAGAGCGCCATAATGGCAGCCATGCTAAGGCCGGGGTAATAATTGTGGTGCACCACAGACTATTTTGACAAACATGAGCGCTATATAAGAACACACTTGTATTAATATCATTCCTATTATCAGGTGGGCTGTAGTTAATACAGACCACCTTATATTTTCTTATTTCTGTACATTTTTTTTGTGAGCAAGATAACTTGAAAATGGCTCAATCAAATGCCTTGAAATTTGGCACACATAATGTATAGGCATATGAACAAAGCACAATAAGGTTTCCAACCTTGATCATGACTCATGAAGTCATCTAAGCGCCATTTTATGAATTTTTCGAAAATCACCTCATGATCATATCTTCATAACGGAAAGTCATTGATCAAGGACAATATCAGTCCGGTCATTTTCAGGTCAAAATTTTAAAATGCTCCAAATCGTTTCAAATTTATTTTGCACACGTTTAAGGCCATTTTGAGCATTTGTCAACAAAAAAAGCGCACTGACGCGCATAACGCCATTATGCAAAATAGAATCGCCATTATTTTTTATTTCATGATATTTCCCATTTTTTCCAAACAATTTGATACCATGTTTATCTCTTTATGATTATTAATAACGGAATGAGCGTCCGTCAAGATAAATGTCTGTGCGCGCGAGCTCTTGAGTTGCAAAAAAATGCTTTAGGATGCACCTGGACCATATTTTGATAGAGTATGAGTCGGAAATATGATTTCATGTCTAAATTGACCAATAAAAATATTCCGACGTCACTATCATAATGGCCTTTGAACTCAAAATACGAATTTGCATATTATGACGTCAGCATATTTATGGACAATTGATTGTATCTCTGTAAAATGATATTGATCGATTTTCTTCCAAATGTTGATATATTGTAGCTAAGACAATTCTCTTCAAAGTCAGTCACCACCATTTTTCATTTTGATGACGTCATCATAGTGAAAATTTCGATTAAAGGCCACATGTCTGAAATATTTTTTTAAAGCAGTATATCGCTTATTTTTGCTTTATTTTGTCTCAAATTTTAGTTGGAACAGCCCACTTATACTTGTTTCAAACAAGTATTACATGTCTAGTTATTATTGTTATTAATAATTTTATAATTATTATTAGTTGGCTATTATTATCATTATTAGTAGGCTATTATTATTATAATTATAATGAGTATAATCGTTGTTTACTATATCTCGATCATTATTAAAAAAATAATAATAATATGTGATAGTTATAATAATAAATGAAAATCTTTTTATTATTATCATATTATCATTCACCATTTTTTTATTCATTATTTACTATAATCATTATACATGTACATTGTTCTACATGTTGATGAGCATTGTTATATTACCTTTATCTTCTTTATGATATCAGTAATAAACCATACTTATTATGATATGATAAAATAGTATTCTTGATACTGGAGATAAAGATCTAACCTTGGTTTCAGGTCTGCGACCAATCCTGCGACAAACTGTTCCTCTTCGTAACTATGGAAACTAGCAAGGGTTGTATCCCAGGAAAAGGTTCTGGAGAAGCAGTCGTTGTAAGCGCCATTGAAGTCTTTACGATTTGCCTCATTCGTCTCACGAACCACCTTATGATATAAAATGTAACCAATCAATGTCAAAAGCACGAACAATCTCAAATACCAAAGCAATATAAAATCAAAAACTCAAAATCGTTACTCTGGCGTTACAATATAAATTTGATATAGGCCTACTCCCATGCTCATATTATATATATATATCTCTCTCTCCCTTTCTCGTCCAGCATTTTTCAGTCGACCGTATTTAAAATTAGCATGCTCTCGCAATTGTATGTACAAAATAAACTTCGGGGATTGCTATGACTGAGTATCACAATTGCGCTTGACATAGCCTATTCCAGCATGTTGATTTTGGTGACTACCCCGAAAATGATAATTAGGAATTCGTTGAGAAGAACACGGTATACAGGGGAGCGGATAGTCATTCGGCCGCACTAAAGAATCCTCTCTTATACCGTTCATCGATATATGGATTTTTTAAACCCTTAGACCACTGAAATGCACCAAGAAATTAATCTTTTCACCCGAATCCATGATCTTTAAAAACACTGTATACTACTTTTGATCATAGATTACATGCAGTGGCAAAGCGCGAGCCCATCCACTGAGGAGCACCGAAACGATTGTGAAAAGCGGTCTTACTTGGACAATTGTAATAAGCGAGTGGGGGTGCGGGAGGCGGTGCTCGTGTTTTCTTTTCTCGTCTTTTCCCCCTTATCCCCATCACTTTCTCTCTAATCTCTTTTTTTCACCACTCGATGAGGCATATTGCTCCGGTTGTCTCATTTTCGCCATCACAAACGTAGCTAGTTCGCCGTCTATAGAACGTATATAGCAGACGGCAATCGGCGAATCAGACGACACTTGAAAGTGATTTTGTATGTGAGATTGCTTTGCTAAATATAAAATACAAGAACCTTTTCCATATCTTTAAACTATCATTGATATCTGATAATTAAACAGTAAGTAAAATAAACCTACCAAACTACATAATACAATGAAATACTTGACTGAAGGTAGGGGAGTTTGATGTGGTGCACAATTGCACTCCTCTGTTAATAATCGAATAGTCCACGGTGTGTCATGAATATTCATGTTTTTGCTCACCTCGGCAAAATTTTTGCCTATACTAAATGGAAAAATTACGGTGGGGGTTGGCTGAAGTGGACATAATGAACCAAGCTGAACTGATCTATGATAATTCATGCTTCTTATCCTTAGTGTGCTTGACCTATAATCTTACAATCGCGTGGTAAATTGCGTCCAAAGTTCGACTTGTTAGACATGCGTTAAATATGCAATGGCGAGCTTGCGACCTATTTTGATCAAATTACGGTGAGTGAACTTTCAAAAGTCAATGGGACATGAGGGTTCCAATGAAAAAGCTAGTGTCAACGTACGTCGGGGTGAATATGCTTTTCGTTTAAACAAAAAATGAATTTTTAACGATTTTTTTGGTAAAAGTCCATAGGCTAACATGTTTATAGGCTGCTGGACTCTGACGATAGGGGGCGTTGTCAAATGAGACTAAACGGAGCTATATGAGGGGGGGGGTGCCCCATTCCTCCCTCCTGTAGCTACGCCACTGTTCATACCAGGTAGCAGTAGCTTCCAAATGCACTCCAGCCATCAGGACACGATCCTGTAGGTGATGGTGTCGGTGGTAGCTCAGGATCAACCCCGGTACGTCGGGGCTTCTGACATATCGCCGAGTATTTACTGCCACAGTCCTGGTCGTCCCATCCCCCTGTGTGAGTTGTACCAGCAGACATGGCTATACACGGATGCTGGTCATTTCCTGACAAGAACAAAAAATAGACTCATAAAAAAAAGTTCTGCAATTCAAGTTTGAGCTTTGAACTTTCTCTTCTTACAGTATACGCATACTTGCATTTGGTATCACTGAAAAGCCTACTTATTTCTCTTACAACGATGTCCCGTTTGCAATAATTATTATAATCACTGAATGCATGTGCAGTACACCTTGAAAATTGGGGCGAAGTAAAAAGTTAAATGCAGCAAAATGCATTTTTAATTAGCAGCAGTGAATGTCCCATTTGTCTGGAGGATCGATTGTATTTGGAATGATATTGAAGTTGTTATTCATGAATGTAAAAATATTTGTTTGGAAGATGTGCCTTGTAGGACTTTTACTTTAAATCTTGTAAGCTTATGTCATTGTTTTGAATAGAGTAATTTATACTGCTGTGGAGAGAATTCGGATTGGGTGTTTGATGCAGTGGAAAACAGACTATAATCTGTATGAAGTATGGAATTACATAATAATCTCACAGTCAATGTAAAACGCATTGCACCTTCCAAACTGACCTTCGTGAATGACCAAAAAATCTTTCAAACATGTTTTCTTTTCCAAAACAGGAGAATTACAATTGACATGCATGCATGCTTATCTCAATATCATTACAAAACATTGCAAACATGATAGGCGAATAAATGTTGGGCGAACCAGGGTCGAGAACTGAACTGAAGTATTCGCTACTGGTTTAAAAAAAATAGTGTCATAGTATTATTACATTGACGACTATTGAATACCATGTCGAAGACACCCCGCCCAAGGCCTTCGCCTTTTGTGTACACGAATCATAACCCTGTAAGTAATCAACTGTAATTTCAATGGTCTTCCAATTTATTAATCCAATACATACAATTATCTGCAATCCCCATTTACTTCATTCCTTTTTTATTATCAGTTTCCCTAATATATTTCGATGGTGCAAAGACGTATATGACATCATATCATATAAACATGGCATACCGGAAAAATGTTACAAAAATCTTAAGACGATCGCAAAAACTTTGTTTAAAAATCACGGTAAGGAGATTTCAATAGCCGTGTCGATCCCCCATTGAAATGTGAAATAATAACGTAATCTGAACAGATTTTCTATGAATATAACGGGGTATTGACATTACCGTCGGGTTGACTTCCAAAAGGTCTTTGTAATCGTGGTAACAAAACGCCACATGTCCTGCCCTTATAAAATCAGGAAATACAAATATACATTTCAATCTCAAAACTGAAAGTTAATTAATATACCTGGCTGGTCTTCGTCCCAATGTGTATAAGTTACGGGTTGTCCAGTAGCCCATTCATACTGTGTTCCCTTGTGAACCGTTCCATGCAGTCCAATCCAGTATAAACCGGTTAATTCCAGTAGTGCTTCACTCAGGGCATTCTGCTCTATACTGTAAAGTTCCATTCCAAAATATGACAAATGATGTATTGGATAGATCGATAAATGAACAAAAAATAAGTAAATATATAAGTACAGAAATAAACAAGCAAACAAAATAAGTAATATATAAATGAATGCGTAAAGCATGGTGCAAGTCCAATTGGAACACTGGGTTAATCATTTAGGGGAAGGGGACGGCTACTGAATATTTATCCACATTGAGGGTATTGATTATCTATCCATTTTACAGAATACTATAAAACTGATTGATAAATCAGTTTGAATATTTGAATCCATTTTGTAACGATAGTTTTATTGACTACATGGAAATGATACAATTGCAGTCGTTACAGCTATGTAACTAATACCTAACATAATCATAATCCATTTAATTGCAATAGAAGAGATATCATCTGGACAAGAAGCTTAGGTTCAACCTACTAGTTTGGTATGTAGGCCAGGGTGGCGTTGGTTGTCTTGCCATGGTCGCTATCTCCAGCACAGGTCGTCAAGGCTTCATCCCATGTCATCTGGCCTTCCAGGAGTTTATAACAATACATATCACTTCCGGTCCAACCCTGTCGATGAGTGGCAAAAGTTTTGTTTAATTCGGCTTATCATTTCGATTATATTTTCGTTAATTACAGAAGACATCATGCATTAATGCCTATTTTGTTTCCATTAGTACTTATGAAAAGCAATATATTTGTTACATTCAAGAAGGTGCGGTAGCTTAATGGTAGAGCGGTTGTCTCGTAACCAGGAGGTCCCAAGTTCAAAACTAAGTTGATAAGCTGATGCCCTTTGGTAAGGCATTCATACCTATCACCTGATCCATCGGAGAGGACTTAAAGCCATTGGTTTGACACCATACATATGTTTTCTAAGCAACTTGGTAAAGGAAGATCATCAAACCATACACAAAAATCAATTTAATTAAACTGATTTGAAGTCCTGAAGAACAATCTCTATCTCGATGATCTTGGTAACATGTTGAAGTATTGATTTCTTGACACGTACAAAAGATTTGACGCAAATGCTACCAGTAGCAGAAACGATTAAAGGAGTTCGCAAAACAAAGGTGTTGCACATCTTAAGTGTCCGTATTATATTTGCTCCTATAAAGCTGTGCATGATTATTCAATAAAAGGGTAACTGAGAAATATATATCCATGCTGCAATTCAACACCATTCTCTTTGCTTCCCTTTCATGGTCTTTGTAGTCATGGAGAAAAAAAGAGAAAGAAGATGAAAAGAGGAAGGAGAAGAGGACGAAGAAGAAGGGGAAGAAGAAAAGGAAAATGAAAAGGAGAAGAAGAAAAGGAAAAACGAAAAGGAGAAGGGTAAGTACTGAGCATTGGAGTAGTAGGAGTGTGAGCGAGATGATGAGAGAATGAGTACAGGAAATATTATGGGTATAAACAATAGTAAAAGAGTGAGTGTCGTAATAATTGTCCAGGCTTACCATAGGACACTCGTATTCCGGTGGAGGGATCTCCGAAGGGCTAAAGTGACCCTTGTCTTTTTGACAGACATAACCAAAATCCTCTGCTTTGCAGTCATAGTCGGCCCACTTCCCCGCGTAGTATTGCCATCCAGTGCTGTCTTTCCCACTCTAGGAACATAACGAGATTGGATGTGAAAAAACACCGTTGTTCAAAGAATGCATAATCAAGGCTAAATGTCTATACGTCAATGATCAATCATAGTATAATCATTTTCTTTCGGGGAAATATTGTGACGGACAGAAATAAAAGAACAAGAACAGAAAACGTGGTAGATTTAGAACAAGTAGCTCTCTCATACAGATATTCGATCCATTAGCAGTAAAGAAATATAATCCCATCTTTTGAAAATGGGACATCTTTTCCTTCCCTGCCCTTTTTAGGACCAATAAATTTACATGATTACGGACGTTTATGACCCACTAAATACTTCCCCGAAGCTAAATTAAAGGTACTGTGTCCCATTTGCAGGCCAAAAAAATGAAAAAGTTAAATTCCAACTGCATTTGAAAGATAATACTAATTTAGAACTTCCCCAAAAAAGGTGGGGCTTGAAAATGTCTTCAAGTGAGAAAATAACGACTATTAGTTGTCAAATCGACTTTAGGGCTATAGAGCCCAAAAGTAATAGTCTTGATTTTCAGACATTATTGTACCGAATCGTCATACGTTTTATGCTGCGCAAAAATTCAATCAGTTTAATCTTGGCCATCACAAGAAGTGGGTTATTGATGTAGACAAATGCTCATGTACCCTTTACAACTCTTTTCATGTATGTTATTACCAAAGAAGAAAAAAGCCAGTCAGTCACTCAATAGTGTCTGACAGTGAAGTCTAGCAAGTAAACGGGTTTCCTTGCATAATTTGAATATGAGGACACTGCTAACGTCTAAATTTCACAGATAGGACATACATGACATATTCATAATTCCTGCAAAGTTCTACAGAATTTGAGGTTTGCTGTAAAAGGGACAGAGTATCTTTAAGACCCAACATCATTTGTATTCTTCATTCAAATGTTTTTTTTCCTTCCTGTCCACCTAGTTAAATCCTTACCTTCCCTACCCAAAGTGCTCTTACGGCGTCTTTGGAATTTTACCTGTGAAAACGCGAAGACACAATCCTGAGAGTCGGTGAAGTCATCAGGTTCTCCTACATTCCAGTTGGTATAAGTGACATCTGACCCATCGGCCCATTCAAAGGTCATCTGATGGGAAAGGTCATTTAGCCCGATCCAAGCCCCTTTACTCGATAGAACTGCATGACATAAGTACATATTTATCACTTGTTTTATTGTAGATTTGAATTATTCTGCTTTAGTATAATATCTATTCTTTCATCTGTTGACTCACTGTTCAGCAATTCCGACAGTAATTAATTGTGTATAACTGGCAGGAATTGGCAGTAAAAAAAAAACATACTTGCGTTTCTCTTTGTCATCGGACATTTTATTGTAAAATACTACAAGAGCTACATTTTATAACGCACATATTCCAAGGGAAATTCGGGTTGCCTACAAGGTACTTTAACTGTTCATCATTTAGCCAATCTAACCTTGGACGCTGTAAGCATTCAAGGAAATTTCTTCCTACCAGGTACCCGTTTACTACACCTGTATTGAGAGTGGCAAATAAAGATTGCTGTCTTGCCGAAGGACGTTGGTGTTGGGTTTGGGACTCGAACTGCGAACCACGGGTTGCACAATCTGGCAACCTGTCCAACCTTTTCACGAGAACACTTTACCTCTTCATACAATGATTGACAAGAAGAAGTAATAATACACTTACGTTGCTCTCTGTTATCGGACAACATTTCGTTGATGACGTGCAGCTGGTCTGGTGAAGTCCGGACCTGTGCCAAAGCACCTCCTTTCGACCTGCAGTAGGCGTCTGCCTGAGACCATGTCATTGCCTCGTTCACAACGGAATAGCGATGGTCTGCAAGAAGAATTACGACTTTTAAATCCTTGCTACAAAATCATCTCTTGCATATTACCGTAATTCGATCTTTGTGTATATATCAGAGCTATATTGTGTAATCAATAATTATTGTTGGTACGTTGTTTATAGATGTTTTCATTATTTTCTTTGTTATTCTACAGCTCTTTGAACTATTCTAAAAAAATGCTTTATAAATACCATGTAATATAATTATCATCAGCATTTGATAGATCCATGTGCCTATCGGAAAAACTTTGATAATTCGTAATTCATCCAATTGGAGGCAATAAAAATACGTTTACACATGAAAGTTATACGCAACATGAGAAAACGGATGAATAAATAATGAAAAGAAATGAAAAGGCACTTTCGAAAGAAGGAATTTTATGTACAGGTAACGACGGACATTTAGGAAAATAATAATCCAGTTCAAATATCTGATGGATAAAACAGTTAAGGTGTCCTATACGTGTATTTTTTTGTCAGGAACGAGAAGGTCATTAACTCTGTGTACAAGGATATGATCTAATAGCTTATGTATCCTACCAGACGATATAGACCTACTAAAATACATGATAAAATCGAGTTAACTGCAAAAAGAATGTTTGAATATCTTACTTCCTGATCCCCCATAGATACTGTTAGGGTCAATGTCTTCACAGATGAACCTCTCAGCATTGTCACATGACCAGTCGTACCATTCAAATAGGTAGTTCGTAGGATCGGATTCGTCAACAGGTCTGCGCCATGAAATGAACAAAATTAGGCAAATGTCACAATTCTTTCTCCAAATACCAGTTATTCAAGAATGCGTTGGTCGTTACAGTAGAATACTTAAACAGTTGGCAAAATTACATAAGAAGATTTGTAGAAAGGTTGTACAGAAATCAGAGCGACATTTTAAAGCTGCCCTTGTTTAATTTGAGTTATGCAATTCGAATCACATTTATTTCGACCAATCACAACGCTTGATATCATAATACGTCATCGGTTGGTACGTCATTTCCGTATTGGATGGACAAGGCAATTGGAATTGCCTCGCATGGGTTGATTTATCGAATGTCTTCGCGATCGTGCTATTTGAGTTGTAACATAAGACTTACGCCATGAGACCGCAGTGCTCTCCAGGACTCATGTAATTGTTCGGTTCGCCTTCACGCCATTTGAAGAAGGTCTGAGTGGTCGTACTATCAGGGTCACCACCGGTTACCCATTTGCCCTCCTGGTTGATATCATTCACACCAAGCCAGAAGATATCAGATTCTAAAGAGTTCCATGTGTGAAAAGGAAGAGAAAGTATAGGTTAAAGTGAATAGATAACAGATTCAGAGTCTTGTTACAGGTAAATTGTGAAAGTAATTCCATCAAGTTGCCTGAATGATTGTGAGCGAATTTGGGGAGACAACTTTAATATATCGACATCTTGTTCTTTATAAATTATTAAATCAAAAGTGCAAAATCGATCTTTTTCTGTAAAAGAAAGTGCTGATGGAGATAATGTCACAAAATGAAGCCAAGGTGTTTGGCCCTCTGGATGCGGCTACCAAACCTCAGAGTGACGGGAATGCTCTCTTTTTCTGAGGTATTACGAGACCAAAGGCCTTTCAGACCTAAAATTCAGTTTGCCGACCCTTTTGACAGGAATTGAAGATTTCCATAAGACCGAAAACCATTGACAACCTTTCTCGCCAGCCAAGAGACAATATCGTGCAGGAACCTAAAGACGTTGCACAGTGTATTCACAGGAAGCGTGACAATGTAGGCCTACATAGTACTTACTGAAAGGATCATACATGAGGTTTAGGAGTGAGACCATGTCTTCCTGGTCCTTCTCGCTGTTAATGGTTGCCATGGAACCATCATACTTCACACAGTGGGCCTGTGCTTCAGCGTAGGTCATGGTATCAACATGAGCTGTGTATCGGCCTAAGCTTGCGTCACCGTCATTGTTCTCGTATTCACAGACCACCTGGAACTTCTTCTCACACACCTCATCATTCCATAACCAGTTATATACGTATCTAGGGGTGAATTGTAGGGAAATAAAGCAATGGTTATAACTGAACGGAATCGAGGGATATCTTTGAGTCGTATCCGGACGCCTACCCCCTGGTCAACCACTCCAGATAACTACCCCCGTAATACTACCCCCAGAAAACTATACCCATACAAGTAACCCCTAGGATAGTCGTCCGGGGGTAGTTGTTCTAGATGATGGTTGTCGTAGGGGGTAGTTGTCTGTGGATAGTTTTCCTAGGGGGTAGTTGTCCTAGGGAGTAGTTGTCCGGGGGTAGTTGTCCTAGGAAGTAGTCGTCCTAGACGTTGGTTGCCTTGGGGGGTAATTGTCCTAGGGTGTAGTTTTCCTAGAGGGTGGTTTTCCTAAGGGGGTATCCGGGGGTGGTTGTCCAGGGGGTTGGTGTCCTAGAACCCTTTATTTAAAAAAAAAAAGGTGATTGGAAAAAGGATGGACAATAAGATAGAGAAAGACATATTGCAACAAGCAAATTGATGAGTACTGTAGTGAGGTGGAAAAAACCGAAATATAAGGAAATTAGATGTACTTAGAATACAAAGAAACCTTTTTACAGGAAATTTCGCCAAAGCAAAGAATGGCGAAGACAAAAATCAGTTTAATCGCAAACCCCGACACACCCCTGATATAACACGATTCAACTTACTGCATACTAACACAGTCTTCGCCAGAGCCTCCTACATTGTCTGGCTGTCCATCTGCCCAGTTGAGGTAGGTGAGCTGTGTGTCTTTGGTCCCATTCCCGTACGTCCAGGTACCATGCTTCTGAATGTCGTTGGCTCCAAAGAAATAGTACTGACGGCTCTCTAAACAGTGAGATATATCGGGGAGTAGCCATATAATAAATATATGCAATCTTGTCGCTTTCGTATTATATCAAAATATAATCAAGATCTATCATTTTGATAGGTAAATTACAAATAATACAAAAATACAAATAAGTGACGTCACATGAGAAAGAAGTTTTCTTGATCTTCACGTGTCGTTTTGCCCGCTCCACTGCACAAAGTTGCCATCACCGCAATCGTTTTACATCACTTGATTTGTAGTGACGACACTGATAATTATGTCTCTCGAGCACACTGATGTACACAAACATGCACACGCACACGCACGCACACGCAAACACGCAATCTCTCTCTCTCTCTCTGTCATTCACATTCTCTATCACACACACACACACACACACACACGCACACACGCGTACATACACGCACACACACACGCACACACACACGCACACAAAGCTCTCTTCCTCTCTGCGGCAGCATACCTTTTGATATCAGACTAGCGATGTGTGTCATCTCGCCTTCGCTGTGGACAGTGGCGAGGGAAGCACCCAGTAAGTCGCAACTTGACAGAGCCTTACTCCATGCCACAAAGTCCCGCTGCACCAAGTAACAGTGAGAACCATAGCCTGCCCAATCCATCGGGCACAGAGACCCTGGAGCTGTAGAACATACATCACATAAAAAAGAGTCTTGACTGGGTTTAGGGTCTAAGTCGGGCAAATCAACTGCCGCAATTCCGTAACAATTTTGCTCCGAACCAAGTAAATGCACCGATTCAGTATATGACTAACAACAGTTACCGTGAGATGTTACTGTTAACCCGTTCTACAAAGCAAAAACCATGCAGGAGCATTGAACGACATTCAGGATTGAGGGTTGGGGCGACAGTCACAATGATCGGAAGTACATGAGGAACATAAAAAATCTTGAATCATGTAGGGGAGGGAGGGAGAGATGGGCTGCCCGCAATTTAATTACCCCAGAATCGACGCCCATGAACTGACGCCCATGGAGTAATTAGCTAACAAGCACGTTTATAAAAAGTCGAGTTGAGAAGCATTCTGTAGAGCTTTCCTACCTCTGATCCACTATATAACTGACAATGGAAAGACCTTTGACAGTCGTGATTTGTTAATTAAAAAGGCCATTGAATGAAAAGATATGCAACTATTGAAGATATGGTTTAAGAAAATGATAAAGCGAAATCTTGAGGTGATTACCTAGGGTTGTTGGTGCAGAAGAAGATCCAATGCTGCTCTGACCTGTAACACACAAAAAAGGAAATTTTTATTCAGATTACAAAAGGAAGAAGAGAAACAGTATGAAAGTTATTGCACGTTATTGAATTGCAATATTTGATTCAATAATTTTTCTTGTATACTAGTCCTTTGCGCTGACTAGGATGGTGAAGGAGTAATACTACAATAAAATACCATTACACGAATTACATGAACTATACTACCATTGTGTGTATGAATAGATATATCATCTCCCGATTTTTTTTTCTCTCTCTCTTTCTCACTACTTTTCTTTAAACGAGAGAGTGAGTGTGCGTGTGTTCGTGTGTGCGTGTGTGCGTGCGTGTGTGTATTATATTTGAATCCATGTGAATTTGATTTTAAATCTGCTGATTTCAGAATCAGTTACTGCCTTACTGGCAAATGTTAATGATGGAAAGCGTGATATTAAAAATGTTTTAAGATCAACATTCAAGAAGCTAACGCAGTTCGAATCTTACTCCTTTTCTTGCAGATGTGAGGAAACGTGAGATGACACTGTTCATCCATACAATAAAAAACAATCTAACGAATTACATGAACTATAACACCATTAATTTTGTGTATGAATAACTACAGCATCCCCGATTCTTTTTTTCTTCTCTCTCTCTCTCTCTTTCTCACTACTTTTGTACAAGTAGAGTGAGTGTGCGTGTGTGTATGTGCATGTGTGTTTGGATTATGTTTGAATCCATGTGAATATGATTTCAAATCTGCTGATTTCAAAATCAGTTACTGGTAAATGTTAAAGATGGAAGGCGTAATAATAAAAGCGTTTTAAGATCAAAATACAAGAAGCTAACGCAGTTTGAATCTTACTCCTTTTCTTGCAGATGTGAGGAAACGTGAGATCACACTGTTCATCGGACCACATCCCATTTCCTCTTGCCATGAATACACATTCTTCGGTACCCATAAGATTGTCGGGTTGGCCTAGTCAAAGAAAGAGACACAACACATATAAATCTACTTTTACACAATTTAATTTTCCAAGAAATGTTGTGCATTATGTTTTGATCTTAACATGTATACACAATCAATTCTGGGAAGCTTATAGGTTTGGCCTACAGTCAAAGAAACAGATAATATATTTAAATTTATGAATTTCGAAGGTCGATGTTTCAATGACACATTGCGACATGATAGCATGTGTCGGCACACAATGACCAGCGCATATAGATCAACTATGATGATCGACGGACACTCGAGGTACTTTTAACTTTATTAACCGATCTCCGATGATTTGTTTTAAAGCTATTTTCTAAAACTTCCTAAAATATTTTGGGCTACGACCTACTATCGATTCGGGTAGTTGTAAACATGATGCATGATGTGATTCCAAATGCCAAATTTATTTCTTCATCATAATACTAACAAGCGTTCTCGTAAATATGCGTTTCGCAATTAACACAAATTAAACAAGAACGTTAAATTATCGTTCTTACGCAGTAACTGATAATTGTTATATCTTGAAACTACCAATTGTGTTACGTCAATCATTTTTAAAGTACAGACTAACGTTCAACTAACTCAAGCAGTAATTTTCAATAGGTGAAATAGTAGGCGAACACATCAAATTTCATTTTTCTAAAGACTGTGTAAATGTCCGCTTCATATTAAGCGTCTGATTTAGTGAAAACGAACTGATTGTTTTCACCATGAATTGTGGTGAAATCTTTTCAAGTTATCAAACGCATATATTTTAATCCATGGAAAAATAAATCAGACACAAGAACTGAGGTATACCTGATTGCCAATTTAAGTAAGAGAAAGGACTGCCATCTGTCCATTCCCAGCCTGCCTCATGAAAGCGATCATTAGCTCCTATCCAGAAACCATCCACCTCCTCCGAAGAGAGCATGCCTTAAAAGAAAAACAAAGATATATGATCTTGAATGTATTTACAAATTAATGAAATAAAGTTGAGAATAGTAATTATAATGACTAATTTGCACAGATTAAGATAGCTTGGACGATTAATCAAGCGTTATTAACAAGTCAACTGGGCTTGCTGCGTTTCGCGTACACTTCAGGACGCTTTAGCAGGCATGCTGGTCTTTGGCGGCAAACGTTGTTGACCCGTGATTTGTTTATAAAATTTGATGTTATAAATGTACTACCGGGGTGACTTAGAATATTCAGAGATATACCATCATCGACTTAATGTGCGCTTGGGTGTGGAGGCAATCCTTTGAAATCAAGCGCAATTGTTTATCAGGCAGCCTCCAGAGCTACGCATGGGCTTTGTCCCTTGGAAACTCCACGGGAGCTCGCCCTTATATCTTCTTTCGTGAGTGTAAAACATCAGATAATATGATGAACTAACCAACGATAAGATTTGATTCTGCCTCGGATCCGATACTTAAGAGATTGGCATCCTCCTTCTCACATTCGTCTTGGGCTTCGTCAAAACTTAGCAATAAATCCTTGTCTATCTTATAACACCACTCTTCAGTAGGGTCTGCTGTCCATCCGTCACCACCGCAGATCTCTGCAAGGTTTCAGAATGAATGATAAAATATTCGAAAATTTAAGAGTGAAATGCGATTTTACTTGACAAAAAATCAGAGGATGAGGGGATAATAAGGGCTTGACCCTTACAGATCTCTGTGATACAGTTTTAGGCAAAAAAATGTTGGAAATTTATGAATTATGAATTGTGGAAGATTTTACCATGAACATTTTTTTAAGAGGAAGAAAGACCATATAAGGACCTTAATTAAAATAAATAACCGTTTATGATTGTAATAAAATATACATAGACGAAATGTTTTTTCAATGGAGGAAAATATGAACTTATTCGTCCATTTTGAGAACAAGTTGTATGGCATCGAGAAAAAATGATTAGATGAATGCATGAAAGAAGAACAAAAATTCAAACGAGAGATAAAGAGGAGATGCTAGACATTCCATAAATAGCAAGTGCGCTGGCCATTGTGTATGAGCGATGTGAATAGGATTTTGTACGTACAATATTAACACCAGTCACAAAGGTCGGTTTAGCAGACGACATTTTCGCAAAATCCATAACACTAGCTACCGGAAGTTGACGATATTTAGAGGTCAAAGCCTTAACACCAGCTGATTTCCTTCGGTTGTAGGGCTGGTGTTAGTGTTTATTAAACACTAATACCAGCCCTAAACATCCATTGCAACTTGAAATCACCCATTGTTACCTTTGTCGTGTTTATTAGTATGATATACATTTACATTGCATTATCAAAAGAGGATAAATGGATAAAAACCCTGTGAAATTTACTTTACTTTCATTGATTGACTGATTATCATCAGTTTGCTTTAAAAAAAACAGGTACCGTTTAGTAGAATGTGCCTTAATGAGATGCACTGTCTTACCAGAAACCGGTCTTACCTGCTATATCACACTGTGGAATATCACATAACTCTCTCGATAAGCCGTGAGTTCCTTGATACATGCAGAATGGTGCATCCATTCCTGCTAGAGTTGGGTTACGGCAATAGTTCTCATCCAGACCTAGAAAAAATTATCACGAAATCGATTAACAATTACAAAGTGAGACAGAAACATCGTCAATGCTCAAAAGCACTCGAAGTTGAAAGATCAAACATGTCTAATTTTGACAGATTTATTTTCCAAGAAAACACGGCTAGTAAGAAGTAGAAAACTGGATCTCTGACGAAGTTGATTTGATCAAAGAATGATGAATTACCTTATTAGGTATTCAGGCGCGGATCCAGGATTTTCCAATAGGGGGGGCCGGAAATTTGAAAATTGCGCAGACCTTTTTTTAAAACTCAACAAATCAATACTTACAAGGTCATATTAGAAGCACCATACCGGTACGATTTTTGTCATTTCAATCGGGGGGGGGGGGGGGGGGAGGGGCTATAGCCTCTTGCCCGAACAAGTAATTTTCTGGTTTCACAATTCGGCTAGTGAGCGAAGCGATCGAGCAAAAATTTGAGCATAATATGTACATGTATATTATGAAAGTGTTATTTATCACGAAAATAAACGAGAAAAAAAATTCATATTCGTAACTTTGACCTTTCATAGTTTAATGAAATGATTAGAGAAAGAATTAGAAGATTCGTTGTTCCATTCTCGACTCTAAATCCTTGTTTGAATTTAGTTCGTCACCCTCCCCTCTCGCGCGAAGCGCGGAAGCTTTGACCTTTCATTAATTATTAGGCAAAGAAGAAGATTTGTTGTACCATTCTCGACTCTTATTCCTTTTCTGAATTCAGTTCCCCTCCCCTCCCGCGCGAAGCGCGGAATCTTTGACCTTTCATAGTTTAATGAAATTATTAGAGAAAGAATTAGAAGATTCGTTGTTCCATTCTCGACTCTAAATCCTTGTTTGAATTAAGTTCGTCCCCCCCCCCCTCTCTCTCGCGCGAAGCGCGAAAGCTTTGACCTTTCATTAATTATTAGAGAAATAAGAAGATTTGTTGTACCATTCTCGACTCTTATTCCTTTTCTGAATTCAGTTCCCCTCCCCTCCCGCGCGAAGCGCGGAATCTTTGACCTTTCATAGTTTAATAAAATTATTAGAGAAAGAATTAGAAGATTCGTTGTTCCATTCTTGACTCTAAATCCTTGTTTGAATTTAGTTCGTCCCCCCCCCTCTCGCGCGAAGCGCGGAAGCTATGACCTTTCATTAATTATTAGAGAAAGAAGAAGATTTGTTGTACCATTCTCGACTCTTATTCCTTGTCTGAATTCAGTCCCCCCCCCCCCCTCCCCCGGGAAGTGCGGAAACTTTGACCTTTCATAGTTTAATAAAATTATTAGAGAAAGAATTAGAAGATTCGTTGTTCCATTCTCGACTCTAAGTCCTTGTTTGAATTTAGTCCGTCCCCCCCCCCCTCTCGCAGGAAGCGCGGAAACTTTGACCTTTCATAGTTTAATGAAATTGATAGAGAAAGAATTAGAAGATTCGTTGTTCCATTCTCGACTCTAAGTCCTTGTTTGAATTTAGTCCGTCCCCCCCCCCCCCCTCTCGCGCGAAGCGCGGAAGCTTTGACCTTTCATTAATTATTAGAGAAAGAAGAAGATTTGTTGTACCATTCTCGACTCTTATTCTTTGTCTGAACTCAGTCCCCCCCCCCCTCCCGCGCGAAGCGCGGAAACTTTGACCTTTTATAGTTTAATGAAATTATTAGAGAAATTATTAGAAGATTCGTTGTTCCATTCTCGACTCTAAATCCTTGTTTGAATTTAGTTCGTCCCCCCCCCCTCTCGCGCGAAGCGCGGAAGCTATGACCTTTCATTAATTATTAGAGAAAGAAGAAGATTTGTTGTACCATTCTCGACTCTTATTCTTTGTCTGAATTCAGTTCCCCTCCCCCTCCGCGCGAAGCGCGGAAACTTTGACCTTTCATAGTTTAATGGAAATATTAGAGAAAGAATTAGAAGATTCGTTGTTCCATTCTCGACTCTTAATCCTTCTTTGAACGTAAAGCGCAGAAGCTTCACGTTTTATTAAATTATTAGAGAAAGAACACGATATGTTGTACCATTCTCGACTATTGATCCTTATTTGGGTTTAGTTTACCCCTCGCGCGGAAGCTTTGACATTTCATTTAAATTATTAGAGAAAGAAGACGATTCGTTGTACCGTTCTCGACTCTAAATACTTGTCTGAATTGAGTCCCCCCCCCCCCCCCTCCCGCGCGAAGCGCGTAAGCTTTGACGCTTTATTAAATTATTAGAGAAAGAAGACGATTCGTTGTACCATCCTCGTCTCTTAATCCTTGTTTGAATTCAGTTTCCCCTCTCCCGCGCGAAGCGCGGAAGCTTTGACGTTTCATTAAATTATTAGAGGAAAGGATAATTCGTTGTTCCATTCTCGACTCTAAATCCTTGTTTTAATACAGTTAAGCGAAGCGCGGAAGCTTTGACATTTCATTACATTATTAGAGAAAGAAGGCGATTCGTAGTATCGTTCTAGACTTGTCAGAATTTCAGAAATATTTCCTTGTCTGCTCCTTTTTCGTCTTATGTCCTCTCACTGCCCCTACCGCCCCTGGCTACGCGCCTGATTTACAGGGAAAATGAACAATCATGATTGTGATAGCACACAATTAGACTAGTAGAAATGAAAGATTTATTACACCAACCATGGATAAATCCATGGTTTTACCAACATGAGTTCAAATACAAGCACAAGCGAGTTGGTATGAGCTGAATCCAAATGAAGGGCAAAATAAGAGTTGTGAAGCGGCCCTACCGCTAATTTAAAATTTGACTGTTGAGTATATAGCTTCTATTTAAAAGACATCCAAAATAGTGTGCCCTTTTCAAATTTCTCACTAAAGAGTGGTGACCTTTGTAGCGCAGGGGCTGTTTTTAACGTTTAACTTTGAATCCGCGGCTCGAGATTTTATGCGACCGGCCCGGCCCCCTCTATACAATGACGTTTACCAAGCCTACTGGAATGACCCCAAATCTCCCGATTACAGTTTTTCCCTTATTCGTTGTTACTGTCACTAAGCGCCATTTCCTCCTCCTCCCCCCCCCCCCCCATCACTCAGTGTTATCTAGGGTACGCGCAATTATGTTCCCTCTCTTTGAAAGCACCCCTCTATCTCCGGTGTGTAAAGTCAGTACGGGCCGGACTTTGTTGCGTGAAAAGTAACCCTTTTTCGGAGATTTTGGAAACACAAATTGGGGGGGGGGGGGGGGGGGGCTTTCTTCGTTATCATTTCTCCTTTTTTTCTCTCTCTCTCTCTGTTTCTTTTCTCTTCTTTCTTTTCACTTCTTTTTTCTTCTTCTCTTCTCCTTTCCTTTTTTTCTCTTCTTTTCTTTCTCTTTTTTCTTTTTTTTGCGCCGCCAATAGGGGGGGCCGCGGCCGTTTCGGCCCCCCCCTGGATCCGCCACTGGGTATTGAAGGGGTGTCGTGATAATATATTTCTCGCTCTTCGACAATTTTTCCAAACGACCCTTCTATTTTTGTCATTGTCAGGGACTTGGGGATTGGGTGGATTGTGTGGACCCTTAGATTGCATGAGATTTCCGCGAACAACTATTATTTGTGCGAACGAAAATCGTTATCCTTTGTTATTGTTAATGCTATACTGGTGAATAAATTCATCAAGAATTGCATCCATATTCTATAAAATGAACGCAAAGACCTTCAAGTAATCAAGTCAAGGGTGATATCCATACCCTTCTGTATCACCGATATTAATCATGATCGCATATTTCCATAGGTGACGCAACAGGCCGTTAGAACTGCCTTTGGTTGATACTCTGAAAGTCAATATGAGATCTCGTTCTTCATATCGACGTGTTTGTCGACTTCTTACCTGCATTTGGATATCTATCTGGAGTATAAAATGTGTCCTTCCATTCAACACAGACGTGACCCGATACTGTGGTGCGGGCCGGACCACGGTAAGCTGTACCCCTGACCCGCGGATCGTAGCATCCTACATCTTCAGCTGTTGGATGGGAAAAGAGGGACAGAAATCAAACAGAACTGAATGAAATAATATTCTGTTGGAAGGCTGAAAACGTTTGAAATTCGGCGTCACGCTATGAACACATTTTTTGAAGGAAAGAAGATAACGTTTTTTTCACGTCTCCAGCAAAATGACGTATAATAAGGACGTAAAAGATTGCGTGTGTGTGGCGTGAATTGTGAAGGAATCTTAAAGATGACTCCTATATGATTTAGGTAAACCTTCGTTAGCGTAGTACAGTGTAAAGCGTGAACGATCATCCTAAGACATTTTTACCTGCGTATAATTTTTACATACATATGAAAGTAATTTGAAATGGAATAAAAAAAAAACTGGTAATTGGGGAAGTGAAAGTTCGGACTTAGTTTCATTCTCACTGTTTCTTTTTTCAGAATATACATCTAGCATACTTACGGTCGTTGAATAAACTTTATGAATAAACCATGGGCCTATTTATTATCCCGTTCAGGAGCTTTATACAGTATTTCCAATCAGTCATATTGTAAGAAATATCATAGAAGTATAGGATATAGCACATTAACGATCATTTTCAGGCACTCCACATAGTTAATGACTAATTAGAAATAAGGAAACGTATTATTTCACTCCTGCATGCAATCTACACAAACTATGACCAATCAGAAGATAGTATACTTACGATTGCATTCTGGCACCCTGCATTATGACGAATCATTTTGGTTGTGAATTGGATCATGACCAATCAGAAGATAGTATACTTACGATTGCATTCTGGCAATCCGCAGTATGACGAATCGTTTTGGTTGTGAATCGGATCATGACCAATCAGTAGATAGTATACTTACGATTGCATTCTGGCAATCCGCAGTATGACGAATCGTTTTGGTTGTGAATCGGATCATGACTAATCAGTAGATAGTATACTTACGATTGCATTCTGGGACGCCGCAGTATGACGAATCATTTTGGTTGTGAATCGGATCATGACCAATCAGAAGATAGTATACTTACGATTGCATTCTGGCAATCCGCAGTATGACGAATCATTTTGATTGTGAATCGGGTCATGACCAATCAGAAGTTAGTATACTTACGATTGCATTCTGGGATGCCGCAGTATGAGGAATCATTTGGGTAGTGAATCGGATCATGACCAATCAGAAGATAGTATAGTTACGATTGCATTCTGGCACGCCGCAGTATGACGAATAATTTTGGTTGTGAATCGGATCATGACCAATCAGAAGATAGTATACTTACGATTGCATTCTGGGACGCCGCAGTATGAGGAATCATTTTGGTTGTGAATCGGGTCATAGAAGTAACACCATGGAGCCATCGCACCATTTGGGTTCCGGCAATAGTTTTCCTCCAGCCCTAGAAAGTGAAAAGGATAGTTAACTGTGCATAGATCCATTATTTCACCTCTTAACTGCTAACCCGTTATTCCGCGTTTAATTTACGCATTTACTCTCTAAAAAAAATCGAGTGATCACGGACGTCACTCCTCTGGAGAGTGAAAATGTAGTGAAAATAGAGTGAACATTCACTCTTTTCTTCTTAGAGAGCACTCTAAAATCAATCGATTTTCACTCCCAAACAAGTGATCACGGACGTCACTCCCAAGAAAGTGAAAATAGAGTGAAAATTCACTCTCTTTTTAAAAGAGAGTATGCAATCTCACTCGATTATGCGCTGTAAAATGCTGAAAATGTAAAATGCTTGTTTATCATAATTTCCACATTTGGAAGAAATTTCAACTGAATAGAAGTAAAAGTCGTGTGTAAAATTGAACTTTCCTTTTGGATGAGACCTAATTTTAATATCAGGGGTTTTATTCACTTTCGAAATAGATCTTCTTTCAAATCTTAGTTGTTTCTCCCTCCTGCCGTTTCTAATACTAGCACATTCTCTCTCTCTTATTATTCCATGACATTTTCCCTATTTGTATTTTGCAGAGATGTTAGGTCAAAGTACAATTTGAATGAAGCCTATTTATAAAAATTCCTTTGGTCAGGAATGGAAAGTCACCTGTATAAGGCAAGGGCTGCGTTACATCGGGAGCAATTCAATTTTATTTTACCAATTCCTTTTTTTATTTTGCTTATCAGAAATTTTGAGATTATGATGCACATTTCTCGCGCATGTCCTACATGTCCTAAGTGCTGTCTCCCTTTAAAATTACCCCCCCCCCCCCCCCTGGCGCCGCTCCTGTTCTCCAATATTTACCGTATGTTTGATTCCTCTCGTAATAGTCCTGTTGCGGATCGTATACTGGCTCCACATCGGCCCCGTTCATGGTACTCAAGGTGCATACTGAGTCATCCCCACCAGTACCTGTGTAATAATTGAATGCCTTACAGAAGAAGGCCTTGTGGTTGAGACACTCGTAGGCACACTCATCGCGAGTTTTTCCGTTAAAACCGGATGCCGCCCCCGTGATGGCTTTGTGCATCTGCATCGAGAATTCTTGAAGTGGTACTAAGACAAGGGGAAACAAAAGCAAGGGTAATCTTTTTTAGAAAGAAGCTCTACATCACACAACGTACTCTGCCCAATTTACTCATATAGTTAAATCTTATTATCAAGAAATAAACAGACGTTTTAATATTGGTATTAAAACATTCACATTATCTACGGTATAACGAGGTGCTACGGGTACATATCAATGTACACCCGTCTAATTCCTAGAAATTGTAGTATAGAGAAAAAGGGCAGATAAGTATGAGAAAGGAAAAAAAAAAACACGGACTAACTAGAAGGAAGAAGTGTTATTGATCATAAAAGTATAATCCTATTAATTAGTGAGAATGAGAATATGTTTAGAAAGTTTAGTTCATTAGAACTAGACCTTCAAATATGCTTACCAGGGTAAAATTCGTTGATAAAATCAACCCAGTCAGAGCAAGTTCGTCCTATAGTGACGTAATTGGCGTTTCCACGGTACGACATGCCTTTCCCGACATAGCATCCAACTTCAGCTGTTGTTATACATGAAAAAAATATTCATAAAGCCCCTTATGATTCAAACATGAAATTGACTACAACTTATGTTTAAAAAAAAAAAAAAAAAAAAAAAACCAAAAAAAACCACAAAAAAAAAATAAAATCTTTTTTTAGTAAATAGGATTAATTTGTTTCATGAAAGATCCCTTCGTTTTTTATTCCATCTTTTTTCGTTGTTGCAAGAATAAGTACTTGACTATGCACTTATATTTTTGACTACCTCTATGTGCAAATACATTTGACAAGTTACGAATTTCTAAATATTAATCTTGGTGCCGACTGAGAGATCTGATCTGGAAGTCTGCAAATAAAACAGTCAGGGTAAACATTTTTGGGGTAGAAGCATTCGACATGTTAAGAAAATGGTGATTCGACCATGTATATAGAACCATCATGTTGTGATTATATGTCCAGGAGCTAAACCCGGGACTCTTTTTAATCAATTTTTTTATCAGACACGATGAATTTAATGTTCTATGAAATGAATGCTACATATTCATCAAGACATCGTCATACGTCTAGTAGTTGATGGGAAATTGATAGTCAGTTTTCAATTTCATGAAAGACACGGTATGAAGAAGTGTCGTAGCCGAGTGGTTTAAGTACTTGACTTGAAATTCAAAGGTCGTGGTTCGATTCCCGATACGGCATTAATGTCTTTTGGCAAGGCATTAATCTTCATTTGCCACACCCGACCCAGCCGAGGTAAATGGGTACCTGGCAGGAATTAATTCCTTGAAATGCTAGAGCACTGTAATGGCAGCTAGGCTAAAACCGGGGTAATAATAAATGCGCCTCGGAATAGAATTTCTAGATAGACGGCGCTCTAAAAATGCCTATTATTATTATTATTATTATTATTATTAAACAAGGCTACTTACTGGCACAATGTGGCACAATACAATACTCCTGCACGAGACCCTGTTGATCGTCGGTTACGTAACACCAAGGCTCTGTGTCTTGGCTTGGGTTGCGACAGTAATTATCATCCAAACCTATCATATATTCAGTAAACATCAAATAATCTTTAAATCATGCGAGTACACTGGAATCATAACACAAATAACAATATTCAACGATTGCAGAGACAAATCGAAACAAAACTAAACAGAAACAAGACATAACAAACTCAAGGCTCAAAGGCAAAGTATATATGAACCGATCATAAATGTAAAAACACATAGGCCTATTTGTGAAATTAACGAGTTAAATAAAGTAATATTTTTTTCTTTATTTTTTTCAGAGATGTCGTGGTATAGTGGATCAATCCCTTGACTCTCTATCCAAGGGATAGGGGTTCGAATCCCAGCCCGACACTAACGTCTTTTGGCATGAAATTACATCATTATGCCCCTCTCCAGTGTAGAAGTGTAAATGGGTACCTGGCAATTACAAGGGTAATAATGAAGGGCCCTCGGCAAGAATATTTAGCGTTGGTGCTGTAGCTGAATATGCTGGGTAAACAAATTTTATTATTTGTATTATTATTGTTAATGTTGTTGGTGTTATTATTATTATTATTATTATCATTATTATTTTTATTTTTATTATCATTATTTTTTTAAATTATAATCGTTAATATTATTATAATAATAATTATTATTATTATCATCGTTATTAACATCATCATCATTATTATTATTATTATTATTATCATTATCATAGCCCCCAAACAAGTAGATTCTGTAAAGCAATACATACCAGCTAAAGGATATAACGTAGGGTTGTATGGCTGGGCTGTCGCGTCTTCCCATTTAACACATGTATTCCCGTTCTCCCCTTCATTCGCCGTCCCTCTATAGTTGGCACCGTTTCCCTCGTAGCAACCAGTAGCTGCGTAGGATAAGCGAAAAAGGTGACGTGCACATGTTTAGTATACCCTGTATGTATAGTATCGTTTATGTGTAATTTATATGTTATCTTCCAGAAAATACCCTCATTAGAATATCCAGGGTAGTGAAGACAGTGTCAGAGTATGCCCCTCCTTCGTTCACAGACACCGTCCCTCCCTAAAAAACACTATTCAAAAAAAGATAGCCCTTTAAAAAGATAACATACTTATTCAGTAGCCGTGGGTCTTTAGAACAAAGCTCAAATAGCATTGCTTTAATTTTTTCCAGAAGCCATTGAGATATAAAAATGTAATATTACTAATATAGTACCACGGCGCCAAAGATATTTTATGGTCTCATCAATTTACCATTATTTTTTTCTACAATATCAAAAAGATTAAAGAGAGATATCTGTTAATGTAAACAATAGGAGCTATTTTGAGGAATAATTTACCATTTCTCTCCCATCTCTCTCTCTCTCTCTCTCTCTGTCTCTCTCTCTCTCTTTGTGTCTCTCTCTGTCTCTATCTCTCTCTCCCCCTCTCTCCTCCCCTCTCTCTCTCTACCTCTCTCGATCTCTATCTCTATCTCTCTCTGTCTGCAATATTCATTTTATGTATTTAAGAATAGAGCCCTTTTGAAAGATTTGAAGCAATATTTTGTGCCGAAGTAGTAGTTGTCAGAATAAGGATACTTACTCTGACACTTGGGAATTCCACAACTTGAAGACGTGTACCAAAATGTGTCTTTGTGATAGTAGCACCATGGTCCGCTTCCGCTCCCGGATGGGTTGCGGCAGTAATTTCCCTCCAAACCTGTATAGTGATGTCAATTGCTTAACAAGTTCATCATGATGTTGTATTATATATATTTGAACAACATATATTGAGCAAGAGACGGTTTTACAGGTTATCCCCTTCCAACTTGTCTATTGATGTAAAGTGTTGAACAAGGTTACTATCAAGATGGTTTAGATTTGTATGGCCCCCCAAAAGCTAATTCTGACTAATTGCGAAATAAAGACCAAACAAAGAACAAAATAAGACCATCAGCTCATTTAATGATGAGGAGATCGCCAAAACGGCATCTTCTGTCGATCGGGAAAAGGGTGGCTCACTTCAACATCAATTCACAGACATCGGACATGTCACTGGTAAATAAATTATTGGAGGTATCATATAAGTGATTCTTAACTGTAGATTGATGATGTACGATATTTAAAACATTATGAAAGATAATAAGCTGTTTAAAAATAAAGGGGAAAACAGACGTATATGAATTTTTAGCACGGGTTCATGGTTAATAATACACTGTCGCTCATAAAGGTGGAATATTTTAGTTTTATCCCAATTTATGGAATTATTTTAAAAATTATTTAAAAATAATAGATCTAGATTATAGTATACATTCTCAGATTTTATTGAATTATAATTTGCCAATGTGTGTTTTGCGGGACTGCTAAAGCATTTGTATGCTACTATGCTTATTAATTAGGGGACCTACGCCCTCAAGTCATAAATGACAGTAATGAGGATTGATGCCCCACAAAAGGGCACTAATATATAGCACATCGACACGGTTTTGATCCTGGGGCCTCACAGCTATGAGGCCATTGTTTTGTCACTGAACCATGACTGTACGCAGAGGGGGCTAGGGTAGGGGGCAGTTTCCATAAAATTAAAAAAACGCAGAAAATGCAATAAATTTTCAATAATTTTTTGCATTTTACCCCGGTCCCCAACATAAAAAAATCCTCTGGATGGCCAAGCATTATGGCTCAAGGCATGGGCACACAGAAGATTTTTTTATGTTGGGAACCGGGGTAAAATGCAATAAATTATTGAAAATTTATTGCATTTTCTGTTTTTTTTTTAAATTTATGGAAACTGCCCCCTACCCTAGCCCCCGCTGCGTACAGTCATGGTTCGGTGACAAAGCAATGGCCTCGTAACTGTGAGGCCCCAGGATCAAAACCGTGTCGATGTGCTACATTAGTGCCCTTTTGTGGGGCATTAATCCTCATTACTGTCATTTGTGACTTAAGGGCATATGTCCCCTAGTTGATAAGCATTGTAGCATACACATGCTTTAGCAGTCACGCAAAACACACATTGGCAAATTATTATTCAATAAAATCTGAGAATGTATACTATTATCTCGATCTATTATTTTTAAATAATTTATAAAATAATTCCATAAATTGGGATAAAAAAAAAATATTCCACCTTTATGAGCGACAGTGTAATACTGGAATAATAAAAAACGATGATTGTACAGCGCTTACCACCGAAGTCTCTAAGCGCTATAACAATCAAAATACAATGATAAACAATTACATATTCAACAAAACAAAAAGTTACAAATACATTCTAGTTATACTAGGCTTCTAATAATATGAGACCACGTGAAAGAAAAATACTCACCAGCATCATTTTGGTCTTCCCACAAATTAACATTCTCTTTAAATTAGAGTGAAGTATCCTTTCTGTTTGTCTTATGTAAGATTAGAGAACAAATCTACACCTTCCAGTTCTTGTTTATATATTTATTTTTCATTTGAATATACAATCTCAAAAAGGGAAAAAAACTGAGGAGACATATAACACAAAGGATTAAAATAGCACACAAAGGGATTGAAATCGGGTTTAAAGAAGTAAAATAAAGAGGAAAGGGCTGACAAAGGGATTAAGCAAAAAGAGAACGTTTACCTTCTTCTGGAAAGTTACCAGGTCTGTAATAAGCTGAATCGTCAAGCGAGGCCCAAGCCAGACAATTACTACCATTCTGAGTCTGGGCCACCTTTCCTCGATACAAGTACCCATCACCTTCATAACAGTCTACAGGAGCTGCATTAATAGAGAAAGGGTATTGGTATAATTTTTAAAGGCAAATACGGTCAAAGACTAGCTTGCTATCAATACGAACAGAAAATTCAGTACAAATTAGGAATACCTCACAAATTATACGAAAGGTATGATTCTTTATTGACATGAAAAACAATGGTTTTAACAACAAATAATTTAGTAATGCACTCCGGTGATTCGGTATTCTTCGACTATCTTCTGGTTCAATTCCTGAAGTTGCTCACAAATCATGACGATGAACTATTACATAATGAGAATAAAATAGTTACAGCTAAATTATTCTTTAACAAAAACATGTCTAAATAGCTTCAAATATGCTGATTTATTTGTCAATCAATTATTTAATGCTGCTCCCTACATCAGCGTGATCATCGACCCTGAAATATACATCTTACCGTCGCATTGAGGAACATCACAGTCTTTAAAACCGAAGTCCACATAACACCAAGGCTTGGCAGCATTGTTTGGATTCCGACAGTAGTTCTCCGTTAAATCTATAGAGTCAAAAGAAAGTAAATGACGTAAGACATTTCTTTAAGAATGAATTTCAAACCAAATCTAAGAAATCTATTAAAAAAAAAAAAAAAATCTAAAAATGGGGTGGGTATCGCCCTGAGGACAATTGGTCATATTAAAAATTTAAAAAATTGTAAGCAAAACAAACTTGATCCGAGAATTTCATAAATCATAGCTGAAAGTATCTTACAAGAATCAACAATAGCGTTCATGATGAAATGGTAGACAGTTTGCAAGTTAACGAGCCAAGTTTTGACGATTTCATTTTCCTGCTGACGACTCTACGGCGTAATGTACAGATGTCTTCAAAAATGCCGCCATTTTATTTGTTATTTATCTCTCAATATTCCACTAATTGAAAATATATATTAAAATTGTCAGTCTGATACTCATGTTTTTTTCTTGGGGGGGGGGGGGGGGGAGATGGGGGCATGGAGGTTGTTGTATTCATATTCTACATGTGCCTTGCGTTTAACCCCTCCCTCTAAAGCCGTTACGACTTGTGATGAAAGACCCTTTGCTTTCTATTTGTCGATTGTGATTATGTAAAAATAATGTCTGTAAGTTGATTCCATAAATATCCCTTGAACATGCAAATCATATAAAAAATAGAAAATTAGCTCTAATAAATCAACTTACCTTTATCGGGGTAGTCGATAGGATTGTACTCTCTGTTCGCGTCTTTCCAATTGTAACAGAGATCCCCATCTACCGTCACTATTGCATTGCCTTTATACTGCTGGAAAGGCTCGTAACATGCCACATTAGCTAGATAAAACATGTAAAATGGCGACATATTTATGTGATTTCAACTTTAATCGTTTACAATGACGTAGCGTACGTTCTCGGTCAGTGCAGGGGCACTGGCATTACTACAACCTAGATGAGATACGAGAGGGCGAAGCGGCCGAGATGAACCGAAGAATCATTTCCTTCTCCTATCTTTCTTCCCTGGCCCTTTAATTTTGTTTCCATTTTGGTTAAAACTTCCCCTTGAACGCAGCTCTTTCTTTTATATTTGAGTATTTGACTAATCAATTTGATCTAGTTCCTGTAAAGCTGATCATAAATAATCAGTGCATGCCATATCTCTTTATTTTTCAGTTTGACATGAATTAGACATCGTGGTCTAAAAAAAATATACGGAAATGTATCTTATTATAATTAGTGTACGGGTAGAATAAGTTACATTTTTATTTCATTTTATTACCAACAAATTATAAATCAAAAAGGCTTCGCTAATTTGAATCATAGATCTTTAAATCTTTTGAAATACAATTCCGCAACAGCCTAAAAACTACAAAGAAGTCGGTAAGTTATTTCTGAGGCTGTCAATGTATCATATCGTAAAGAATGCCTTATTTTACTCACGTGGATTAGTCGGAGGGGGTGGAGTTGTCGCATCTGTAAAAATGCATAAAAAGAGGTCAACTAAAGATGAAACACAAATGTATTCTTGAAAAATAATTTTAATTATTAAACGAATCGACTCCGCTCCCCAATATGACCTTACTTGATTTTTCTTTCGAGCAACCATCCATTCTCCAGTGTTGAGTTTTGAAAAACACAATTCAAAAAGTAATCATAAGGAATCACATGTGGACAGTTTTACTTTAAAGTTGCGGAATAATTATTCATTTTTTATGTTTTAGAAGAAAAACAAATTTATTTTAGTTAAATACCTGCTGCTTTTTTGCAGATAGAAGCATACTCTCTGTCACACGAGATGTCGTTCCACACACCCGATGGATTGGTATAAGGCCCTCTAACATGAACACAATCCTCGCCGTTACCATAGTCATTTGGTTCTCCAATATCCCAATTGTGGTAATCATACTGTGGGAAAACAAGAAATTGTTACCACGGCAACGGATATAAATATATATATTGACAGTATTGTTGAAAGCTACACATTTCGCAAGTGTATATCTAAATTAAGCTCAAACATTGGGATTAATTAGTTAAAAACTTTAGAAAATGAAATCTAATTAATTTTACTATCTAGAGAGAGGTCTGTCCAGAAAGTAAAAATTGGCAATTACTCAAGACAAGGCGAATATTTCGTCGAATAATGAAAATTCATGATGTCGATCTAGCTTATCTTAATATGAAACTTTTTGTAATAAGTTAAAAAAATAACTTTATTTCCCTTTTCCACATGACATATGTGATATACAATGTCATCTTCGTGCAGTATACAGATGAACATGTTTTTTATTTTGTGTTTCTTTAGAGATACCCTTGTGAGGTTTGACTGACCTATGTGTTGTAATAAAAATGATCGTCTAAATTGTAATGTAAGAACAGTGACAGACTCATGACAAAATGGGCAAGGGCTGTCCAAATCTCTGAAATAAGATTATGTGAATGTTGAAGAGGTTTAAAAACGTTTAACACAATGATATGAAAGGTACCTGTGTGCCGTCTGTCCATTGGAAATCATTAATTCCAGTTCCCTTTCTAGTCAGTCCCACGTAGTAGTCATTGGCTTGAAGGTGCACTACAAATATGTATTAAACAATAATTATGGTGATTGTGCCGACAAATCATTTTTATAGAGAATTTATGGCATAAATGGCAAACTACATGCATGTATTTCTACAATAGATATCTACATAACACAGCATAATACATAACAATATATTACCAATTAATTTAACGATTTTTTTTTTTTTTTAAGGAAAACAAAATATTTAATTTTTTATAAAAAATAACTATGGTATGTCACTACTGCGGATATAAATGATACCTAATATTCGTCACGACATGTCAATGATAACGGCCACAAGAAGGATTGTAAAGAGTAAGAAAGAATCATTTTCTAAATTACATGAACGCTACACCAATAGGAGTTGAACACTTCGTAGGAGGTGCTTTTTATTGGGCGCGTATGTCTTTAGATAGGGCATTTCATGTACATTACTTTTCCCCACACAGATGTTTAAATGAATGAGAGATTGCGACAATGAAGCGGAGAGGATGCAGGTTGTAAATTGCGGAATTGATACGGAATCCGCATGACCGAGTCATGATACACCAAATGTGACGCGCGTTGATTGCGTCAACTACGTGATGAAAAAGGTGATTTTAATAATATCGTAGTAAGTAATGATAATTGCAATACATGTCATGCAGAACTAATAACAATATTTGCAATAGCTTACATTCTATGAATGACATTTCCTCTGTACTGTGGATGCTTGCAAGCTTGCCTCCCTTCTGGTTGCAGTTTTGTTGTGATTCGGCATAAGTAACCCCGTCTCCTTCATCCACGAAATAGCAGAAATCGTTGTAGAAATACCAGTCTGCCGGACAATATCCAGTCGCTGAAAAATGAATTGCACTTGATAATCAATGTAAAGCCTCGGTCACAAACACCATTACGAACTGCTACGAACGCCGTACGAATGATCTTTAGACCATTTCATAAGATCTTCTTAGAAGGCCATACGAAACCAGCGTTCGTAGACCGTTCGTAAGAACCACGCAAGATTTTCGTGCATTTCGTAGGATGACCGTAAGTCTGACGTAAGAAGACCTCAAGGCATTCTTACGAGAAAAAAAAACGGCGTCCGTACGAACTCCGTATAAGAAACTATGTCCCATTTACGGATCTCCACGAACTCTGGAATTCGTACGATGACCGTAGCATAAACTTAGATGTCAATCATCTCGGAACTTATACACTCTCTCTCTGCAGAGCCTTTCGAAGAATCAACTCAAGGTGATGGAAAAGTGATTGAAATTGACTTAGGTTGATGTTACGAAAGTCCTCGCGATCATTGGCAGTATGAGGCAAATGTAATTCAAAGTTTTGAAAATCAATATATTTACGAACATTGAATGAAACATTTTCCAAAATCAGGTATTCATTTCGCCAATATCTGTTTGAAACAAGTAATGAATTTAGATTCTTATTACAAAAAGGCGTCTGATGAGTATTGCTACTGCTCTTGTTAAAAAGAAATGGCAAATCAATCTCATATTATGAGTAACATAGACATCATCAACAATGTGTTATATACTTACGTTTCTCAGGATCAACGGGCGTTATGGGCGCTCCTGAAAGGAAAGCGAAACATTAAAGAGTGGTCTTTGATCCTATTGAAAGATTTTTGTTTGCAAGAAAAGAAAAGAAAAACTAATTTGTAATACACAATATTATGTATCATTTAATTCTAAATGTGCCGATGTTCATATTTCACCTCATAGCTTCAATTCCTCACAATCTCCCTTTTCTCCCATTCCCTTCCCGGCCTCCCTCCCCCTCCCTCTACCCCCTCCCTCTACCCCCTCCCCAACTCTCTCCCCCTCTCTCTCTCTTCCCTTCCTCTCCCCAACCACTCTTCATTATTTCGTTTTAGCTGTAAAAGCCAGTACACTTTTAGCATTAGGAATATTTGCCTAACATGCTCCAACATAATTCTAAAAGAGTTTTGGAAATGCTTCGACGAAACTTCATTATAGTGCCACTCGGCTTCAGTATTGAATAGGGTTACTTGAATTGAAACATTAGGGACTTTTAGATTTGCGTGGACTGATACGTTTGACTTCCATTCAAGGCAGTGCATTAAAAGGACGTCCATCGTAGCAATCCACATTGTCTTCGTGCGAATCTAAAAGTCCCTATTACCTTCGCGAATCTTGCAGGAGTAGTCAAAGAGATTGAAACAGTCACCATAATCCCACTGCCCAATCGAAGAACCTGTGGAAAGCCACAAAAATGAAAATCAATAAGATGAGGTTGTGAATAAGTTTCAATAGAGAGTTGTTGAAAGTTAAGTAAAAAGTTGTAAAAGCTTGTTGTGGTACTCCACTGGTACATGTAGAGATGTTCGTTCCAATCGGCCAATGAACATTGCAAAAGCATGTTGGGATTTTTATAAATGCGTTCATTTCAATATAAAAACAATGTCGCAGTGTTTGTACTTATCATCCAGAAATAGAGCCGTTTCTATATAATTCGGATAATGAGTACTGGAAAATTATTGACTATTAGGGTTCAACAGGAAAACAAGCACTTAGTATGTACATATTTTTTCTCAAATGTGTTACCAATAAAGTGATTCATACATGCTGACTGCTGTTTTCATCCTCATAACTCCGTGTAAAGCTCCTCTGCACTATATATAGCTACTTGCGCCCTCTATATAGCAAACAATGCCTAATCGGTGACCATTGGTCCCCCTTTTTTCTTATGTTAATTGAGAGCTGATTTGATGAGATAACCACATGTCAGTGACCATGCAGGGAGGTCTAATCCCTCCTGGTCAAACTAGCTTAAACTTTTTAGAAATTTTTTAGAAAAATGTGGAGGAAAAGGGGCTGTATACCAGCATAAATAGATCCGCATTGTGCCTCATCCTCCCTGTTAGCCGGTTTCTTGTGAGCGGGCCAGTTCTGGTAAGCTGTATCATCATACGCCGTTCCGTCTGTCCATTTCATTTCTCCGTCTGTAATGGTATCTGAAAAGAGAACAACCCCAGTTTGAATTGCAACATGGTATATGTATTACAGTCAGACTATACACAAAAGTCATTATTTAAAAGCTGACCGCCTAAAGAAGGTGAGTTTACATTTCATTGATTTAACAAACGGATACATATTTAGTAAATTCAACACCATAATGTCAGTGGCGTTAAAATGGAGGAGCAGGACAGCTCGATCATAATAGTGATTTCACAAAAGTGAACCTTCTCTAAAACAACAGATTTGAACATGAGGAACATATGCATTTTAATTATTCGTTTTGAGTTTGATGAAGAAACAAAATATTGACTGGTACAGCCATCCGCCTGCAATCAAATTAGTGATCAAATGACAATTCTTTTAAAAAACCTACTAAAAGCCAACTGACCTCCAACCAAAAGAGTGGGGAGATGGAAGCTGTGGGACCAACATGCTCCATGACAGCAAAAGTCACAGCACAATGTGTGTCAGCGAATGAGTAAACGATGACCCCCCCCCCGATGAATAAACTAAATAGCTAGGCGTGTCTGCTGCTAACTGAACACTTTAGCAGTATGTGGGAAATCTTACTCACCTGAGATCCCCAGCCAAATGTTTGAGATTCCAGTTTGCCAGAGGACGGGTAGCTGTTCATTGATGAAGTCCTGCTCCTTTTCACTAAGAAAAATAAAATATCGGATATTAAAAGATAACAAAGATCAACGGTCATAATGTTTCCCTTTTTACGATCCATATCGTAGACCTATGATTTCAATTAAAAATAAGTTACTATTCTAGGATAACCAACCCCTTGACTATAACTCCAGACAATACCCTGTAGGACAATAACCTAGGACTATTCACACAGGTGGCTCTCCAACAACCATGCTAGATAGTTGTTTTAGGGTATTTGGGGGTATTTATCAGAGGGTAGCCTAATTCCTGTGTAACAAGGGCAATTGTCCTAGGAATTATTGCCCGTAATAGTTGCCCGAGTGTACATATCAGGTGTACATGCCCGGGATGGATGTCTGGGTGTAGTTGTCCGGGTGTAGGTGTCTCGGTTAATTGTCCGTAGATAATACCTGGGTAGTAGATTTCTTAAACATCAATCTGATAAAATGTAGAATAAATATTGTTGGGGGTTGGTTGGTTGGTTGGTTTTAGCTGAATTCCCCCAAAAAGCATGTTTATGCTTGAAAGTAAGCAAGCAGCCAGGGGATCGATGGCTTTTACTCCTCTACAAGGACGTGGTAATGAATACTGCCTAATGACAAAGGGCACTAGCGCATCGAATTGGTTTCGCACCTAGTTCTTCTCGGTTGCGAGACCACTGCTCTACCACTGAGCCACAGCGCCTTACTAACATGTCAGGACACACTTTTATCAAGAAAACATTATAGATCAAGTAAAGAACTTCATGGACCTTAATGGCTTTATTGGATAGATAAAAGTAGAATGTATTGATTTATCGATGGCCTACTCTTTGATGGTGAGTAAGGTGGAACCCTGTGCTTCACACTGCTGTTTGGCATCCACCCACGTGGTAGGTGAGTATGCAACCATCTGATAGCAGTAACCATCGTATATCCGCCAGCCTGGATAACACATACCTGATAGGATGTAAAATAGACAGAGAGAGAGATGTAATGAAAACAAAAATGAATGGGCGCGTGAATGATATCGGGATTAACAGGGTTAAGAAAGAGTGTGTGTGAGAGAGAGAAAGAAAGAGAGAAAGAGAGAGAGAGAGAGAGAGAGAGAAAGAGGGTAAGGGAAATTATAATAATAATAAGTATAAGAAGAAGGTGAACAAGAAAAACAAAAACGGGAGAGTGAGAGTGAGAGTGAGAGAGAGAGAGAGAGAAGGAGAGAGAGAGAGAGAGAGAGAGCGTTAGAGAAAAAGATACGATTCAGATTCAAATCTTATTCGATTAAAAGCTAGATTTCTTGCAATGTTAATATCTTGATACGAAAAATTAGGCCTATCAACACATTTCAGTGCTGTATTGTCGAAATAGACCCTGTGTAATAACATATACATGCCTATAGTAACGGAGATGTATATATAGACAGACAAGATAAAGAGAAGTATGACCGGATTACTGTTCAGTTTTAGAACGTGAATTATCTCAATACTCAAAGTACGATATGTATGGGAAGAATGACATAGTTTTACACCTTTTCTTCCTATTCTGTATGAGAGATAAAAACATAATTGGCTGGAACATAGATATCTAATTACCAGTTGGTTTCTCGCAAATAAATCTCCTTGTCCACTGGCAGTCTGTCGTCGACCAGTTACCTGTCCCAGTGTCCTGATATCTCGCCTGAGTACACTTCTCAAGAGCACTGAGAGAACGAGGGGTGGTTGATAGACCGACATAGAGAGAGAGAGAGAGGGAGAGAGACAGGGGAGAGAGAGAGAGAAGGGAGGGAGGGAGAGAGAGAGAGAGAGAGAGATAAGGGAGGGAGATGGGAGGGAGAGAAAATATTACAAGGTAAGCATTATCAAATAGAAAAATGCAAAAGATAAACAAACAAGCGGGAAAAAAATACCCCCCCCCCCAAAAAAAAAAAAAAAAAATTGACGAATGTGTTGTTAAAATCATTTTGTATTATTAAGTTGGTAATACTTTAATTAATTTACAATAAAATAAAAATTTGGTAACGCTTATTATATCTTTTTTTCGAGATACATGTGTACTTACTCCATATTCGGTTCATTCACAGCCCATTGTTCGAAACCTGTTTCGAGTCCTGATGTCCACTTGAAATTATCCCTTCCAGCCTGATGTGAAGTAGAAACAAAAATGAAATCAAGAAGAATCAAGGTTATCTAGTGTGTTAAAGACGAATATATTTCTTGTTGAATGACCAGAATTTGTTTTGGTATTGTATTGTTGTAAGCAGACGAACATGATGAAAACACAGCTTTGTGGGTGTATTCGTGTGTACGAGTTTCTGTTACAAGGCGTTTATTGCTTGGATGTCTATGTGCAAGGGCTTTGGTCATCATCTTCTCATTTTGCCGTTCCCTTATTCCTCCTGCCAACGTTAAACATTCCCTCATTTTGTTGTGTCCACAGAACATTTCCTCCTCAGCTTTATCCAATTCTTGAATACACTCTATTTAAACCATAAAATGTTTTCCAAGCTCGTCATATTTAGTGGATCCGTCTATTTAATACCATTTTCTCCTTGAGTATGTTATGCTTTGAAACCAACATCGTAAAATATAGCTCCATAGTGACACAACTTTCCAGGCCAATCTTTAGCTATAGTATAGTATAGTAGAGGTGTCGTGGATGAGTGGAAACGTCGCCGGACTGTCGATCACAAGGTCCACGGTTCGAGTCCCGCCGCGGCACTAATGTCCTTTGGCAAGATATTGATCTACATTTGCCACTCTCCACCCAGGTGTTAAATGGGTACCGGTAGGAAGAAATTCCTTTAAATGCTGTGAGCGTCGAATCGGCAGCCTAGCATAGCCGGGTAATGTTGGAGCGCCTTGAGGACCTTGCAAGGTCGATACGTGCACTATATAAGAATCCAATATTATTATTATTATTAGTATTTATTTTCCGTTTTAAAAACAAACATATAATATATATATTATATATATATATATATATATATATATATATATATATATATATATATATATACATAACGTCAATAAAACGGCTGGATAGCCCATATTCAGCTGTGCCAGGCACGACACTGCTGATCTTCCATGGGGTGTGGTATCTATGATTGTACCAATGGCTTATTGTATTTCTTTCTTTGACTAATGAATACAATTTATTTTGTGTATTGTTCAGGTATACTTACTATTGTTTTGTATCCGATCCATAGATAACTCTTGGCTTCTTCTACAAATTCTACAAGTAACATCTGCTCATCTTCATCAGCAATGTCGATAAGGTTAGCATCAGAACGCGTGCATAATTCCTGACGAAAAGAGGTATTTATGAAACTCAACACAACAAGGCACTATGAATATGACGAACAAAGAAAGCGGACAAAATATACAGTTCCTCAGGTAGATAAAGGAACATCCCTTCACCAGGCGCGTAGCCAGGGGGGGGGGGGGCACGGGGGGGGGGGGGCACGTGCCCCCCTAAAATTTCCAGGATCGGTTGAAATTTTGTAGACCCCTTTTTTTGACCTCGATCGATTACATGTATGTGCCCCCCCCCCCCCGAAACATCAAACTCTGGCTACGCGCCTGCCCTTCACTGCTATTATGTAAAAATGTGTAGAACAGGACTGTCACATGCATATTCACCTTTTTACATAATAGCAGTGAAGGGATGTTCCTTTGTCTACCTTAGGAACTGAATATTTTGTCCACTTTCTTTGTCTGTCCTGTTCATAGTGAAAGTATCGTTCGTACGAACCTTTGTGACCGTAGCATAACTTGACTGGCAATGTCGGTCTCTTGGTCGTTTGTTTTTATGTCACATAACTAAATTATGGAGTATGGGCTTATATTGTCTTCAAATTGTTCACATCGAGTATGCAACATTTTTAAAAGTCTCGATATTACAGGCGCAGAGAGTTACCCATCACCTATTTTGTTTTTCAATTTTATATTTAAACTTGATTGGGTTCGTGGTTTTTTGCGAGACACATGATATTATGATAATCAATCATCTTCGTCAACAGCAGCAGCAGCAGCAGCAGCAACCCCAGTAACAACAACAACAATAATAACAACAACAATAACAAAAACAATAACAACAACAACACAGCAACAACAACAACATCAGAAAAAAGTGTGATGATGCGACGATCGCCGATGATCTTCAAAAGGTTGGATTTGTCATTATTCGTAGATTGAATAAAATTGCAAGTTGTATTGCTTTTTAGCTTCATTTACCTGAGCATCGTCAAAGGTCATCCATTTTGTTGAAAGATAGTAGCAGTTTTGAAATTTCTCTATCCATCCATTGCTCTCATCACACCGGACAGGTTGAGCTGCACTCGCAAAGAAAATGATTTCATTTTGGGTAAGAGGTGTTTAAAGGTACTATGTCCCTTTTGCAGCCAACCTCAAATGCTGTAGAACTTTGCAGGAATTATGAATATGTCATGTATGTCCTATCTGTGAAATTTAAACGTTAGCAGTGTCCTCATATTCAAATTATGCAAGGAAACCCGTTTACTTGCTAGACTTCACTGTCAGACACTATTGAGTGACTGACTGGCTTTTTTCTTCTTTGGTGGTAACATACATGAAAAGAGTTGTAAAGGGTACATGAGCATTTGTCTACATCAATAACCCACTTCTTGTGATGGCCAAGATTAAACTGATTGAATCTTTGCGCAGCATAAAACGTATGACCATTCGGTACAATTGTCTGAAAATCAAGACTATTACTTTTGAGCTCTATAGCCCTAAAGTCGATTTGACAACTAATAGTCGTTATTTTCCCACTTGAAGACATTTTCAAGCCCCACCTTTTTTAGGGAAGTTTTAAATTAGTATTATCTTTCAAATGCAGTTGGAATTTAACGTTTTCATTTTTTTTGGCCTGCATATGGGAGATAGAACCTTTCAGGGTCTCATTTTCAAACAGACCAGTATAAGTAAAAAGACATTTTCCAATTACTGTTTGTTATTGTTTGGGAAATTCTTTGTTTCATCCATTAGTTTCACCACACCGAACAGGTTTCGCTGAACTCGAAAAAAATGCAACGATATAATCTAAGGTTAGAGGCATGAAAATTGTTTTATCATAAATTGAGAAGGAGAAACAAAATCAATTATTTCAATTGATTTGATGGTGTTTAAGTTGTTATAATTTTTGCCTATAGTCGTGTCATATTTCACTGACTCTAAACGACGACTGGTGAGAAAGACTTAAAACACAAATATATGTACTATTTCGAGCTTGATCGTGTTTAATAGTTTGACGTGTTTTTTAAGAGTTCTTTTTTAACCTTGAAAGTTTAACATGTGTGTGTTTTATTGATGTGCCCACACGGATGTTGACATTGGTCTGGAAAATGATGATGAGACACAATCATGCAGAATCCATACTCATAACTAATGCGGCCGCCTACCACAACAATGATCAAATTTAACAAAGCAATAGATTTGATTGGTTTTGCACATTAAAAATCAAATATAGTAAATGTACACAAGCAATATGTTGTGTGTGTATGTGTGTGCGTGTATATGTGTGTGTGACTATAATCGTTGAAAAATTGTAGTTGTCAAAATGAATTATTAAAATGACAACGTGAAGGTGATTTTAAAATCCAGTCATGCAATTAAAAGACCGGATTTCAGTGATAATCTACATAATAATATTAAAAAATGTTAATGAATCTATTGGAGCTTTGCTTGGTTTGTAAGTTTCGTGTCTGGAATGGACTTACTGAGTGTCTTATGGCATACATATGCCTTGGCGGAACCACAATCTTCGTCGAGCCAGGCCCATCCCGGATTATAGCCCATGGCTACACAAGCCTTGGTACCCTTACTGTGACTGGGACGACCGCTATCCCAGTTCCTGAAACCAGACACACAAGACAACATTTAGTAAAGAAATGGTCTGTGAAAATGTAAAAGAAGGCTTCAGAAACCTGAAATTTAACGCTTGTATAACTGTTTCCATAAGCATGTCAACCCGTTTGGAAAAAGAAAATTGTCAACGAGTTCAGCAGAATCAGACAGTCAATGAATTAGGTGTTGCTTCTCTATCTGCATAGCTTCTCGCTCAACAAGAATCAAACAATTTTGGACAAATTAATAATGGGTATAAAATATGTCATACATGTCGTCTGCTTTATTCTTTTATTTAAAATAAAAAGAAAATGCATTCCTTGTTGAGTAATAAATGCTTCTAACTTTGTAATGGCTTTTAAAAAGTAAAGGGTGCCATACATTTGTCACATTGGTGATGTACACTTAAACAAAAATTCATGACGTACACGTAAAAATTACCAGCAATAAATGAGTGCTCTTAACTCCTTTGTTCTCAATCTCATTTACACATGGTAGTATTACAACTGAAGTTATATGATATTTACTGAATGTATAGAGCGGAATAAATGTAAGTGAACTTCATTGTGAACACTTACGCCAAGTTTGGATCATATATTGATCCATCACTCCAAACATAAACTAGATGACCGAAGGGATCACTTAATCCAATCCAGTAATCGTCCCTGATCGATGATCCAGACAGTTGAGAGATTACCCATTCCTGTAGAGAAAAAGTAATCCCCCTTCCATGATGATACATACATTTTAAACGGTCAAATCATAAAACTTCAAAGGATGGGGCAACTGTCTCACCACGTAATGGGTAGTTAATGATTTGGCAGACTCCTTCAACCTCCTTTTGACGTGCATATATAGCATTTTTCCGACAACCAAGAGTCTACAAAACTCCTGATCAGTTTCTTGGTAAATTATAAGCTGCCCCTATGAAGAAGAAAAAATTGTCTGTCATAATAGATTAAAATTAAAGCCTATTTGAGATATAGCTAGAACAAGCTAAGTGAGTACCTATCATTGCTATCAAACCACGTTTCACTATGTATATCACGGTGTATTCTATGTTCAATATAGCAATTTTTTGCAAAATATACTAAATTGAAAATAAAGAAGTTTATCCTTTTCACCTCAAATCGCTGTCACAGGACAGCTGTATATATTTTTCATTTAATGAGAATAGACTACATTATTAATGTAGATGCCATTCTTCTTAGTACATGAACCCTAGACAAGTCCTCCCTACTTAAAATTAGTCATTTCTAATTAAGTGCAAGTAAAAATATTACGTTTTCTCCTGCTTTATCGAGTGAAGTGAGGTCTGCCTCTTGGGTGTGGCAGTTAGCCCTTGCCTGGTCCCATGAAGTGGTGTCTGTTTTGAACTGGTAGCAGTCGTATGTCCCCTGTCGCTGTACCCACCCACTCGGGCATGACAGGCAGGAACCTGTCTCAAAACAAAATTAATTGGTTTGACTAGATTCGATTTGATTCGATTTGATTTGGTTTGGTTTGATTTGGTTTGATTTGATTTGATTTGATTTGATTTGGTTTGATTTGATTTGGTTTGGTTTGATTTGATTTGATTTGATTTGATTTGGTTTGATTTGATTTGGTTCGATTTGATTTAATTTGATTTGATTTGATTTGGTTTGATTTGATTTGATTTGATTTGATTTGATTTGATTTGATTTGATTTGAGATTTGATTTGATTTGATTTGATTTGATTTGTGATTTGGTTCGATTCGATTCGATTTGATTTAATTTGTTTAAATCATCAATTTAAATCATCTAAAACTTAAGAAATAGCTAACGTAGATAGGTACTTTAATTTTTTACAGGATAACGCATAGAAGCTGACAATTAGCTAATGGGGTCCACAAATTTCATCGGGTCATCGAATTTTGTTTAATACATGTATAGTGAATTATCCAAAGTTTTTTTTCTGGAAAGCAGCAGACAAATCACAAATAGTCAGTGGTAGTTTGAAAGAAATATAAGATAGAGAAATTAAAATGATTTTTTTGTTAAAGCTAATATTTCTCACATATAGAGAACTTTCATTTGGCAACTGGGCCACAACTTACGATATTAAAACTGAATGACCTCTCCATTCGATGTGTTTACTAAAGCTCGCCATTTTTTAAATGGAACAGACGTATTTTTCTGATGTAGACTCTCATTGATTTATTTTAGTTTTACAGGCTATCCCGTGAAATGATCTATATCTAATTATTTGTTTAAATGAGAAAAATAGAATTCGTTCTTATTCGATCGTAATGAAATTTACATTATGCGGATGTGACATACACTTCCCCAAAGTACTGAACATGGATTTGGGCGGGCTCAAATTTCGCCTAATTCCTTTAATTTAGTATTTATGTCATCATTACCGAAATATATTATTGAAAAGAAAGCAGAAGAAAGATCTCCCAACCTTTGACTTTAACCTTGACTGTTGATTTGTGTCTTAGTAAACAGTGGTTTGTCACGAGGATCTATAAAACTACTTCACTTCGTCTTCACGAACGTGTTTACAATGAATATTATCGAGCAAGACAATGCTATCAAAAAAATCATATTATTACCCTAGTACCATCGTGCTACTGGTAAACCTGAAATAAAAGTTTTATTGCCAGGTATATTGTAAATCTCAGTACTTGAATAATGGAAAAGGGTAAAGGGCCTATAAAAAGTGTTTAAGCTTTAAATAAACGGTATAGTACAAACATAAAATGATAATTAAATGAATCTTGGCTACGGCAATGCCATCCTGCTATGAACTTTTTTTATTGCAGCATTCATTGGCACACCAAAATGTGCCCATAGAGTTATTTTATAATTTAAATATTAATACAAATTCCCATAAGCTCGGAAGTCCCTTGAAACCAAGATTTTGATAAGTCGCTTTATGTATATAACTTTTTGTTTAAATCTTTGTATTTCTATCTTGTTTTTAGTATATTAAAGAAACTTTTTAGGTAAATTTTATTATTTTTGGGAAGAACCTTGATAGGTCATTGGCCTCTGTTTTTCCCACCACATTATGATTTCAATTGAAGATGTTTCATTTAAACGTTTGTTATTGTATATATGTATATAAATCGTACTTGTGTTTTTTTAAATCAGATGTGGAAATCAAACTTGAACTTGAACTTGAACTTTTGTGTTGTAACGTGGATTAATCACTTTCCAGAGGTAAAGCGAATGTGTTTCATTCAGTATGGAAATCTTCAAGGTAATTTCAAGACCAATAAATATAAGAATTCTGTCGTGGAAAACAACATGGTATGAATATCAAAATAAATAGATTATATAATTAAAATAAGCATAAAGAAAACAGAGAGATATTTATTGTGTATGTCTGCCACAAACTCGAAATCTTGTTATGCCTATAATTTATTTTGATCCATATCTATCTATAAAAAAAGAAACAAGTGACAGAAAACAAAGACAAAAGCTAGAAATGTAAATTGTTTAAATTATTAAAGACTCTAATTGGATACTAGAGTTTTAGAAGCTAGGGAAGACAAACTTAAGAAACCTAGGGCGTGAACAAAAATGCAACAGTAATAGGGACAGGGGAGGGGTCGGGAAGGAAAAGAAAGTACAAATCCCACAACCTACCTTCTTGCATGAAAAGCACCAATGCAGCAAGGCTGAAAAGAACCTTCAAGCCTGCGCCGAAAGCCATTGTAGACAATGCTACTTTGCAAATCCGAAGACGCGTAAGCACCTCTCTCTGTTCATCCAAAAGAACTCCAGGAAACTCGAAAGAACTAAACTTAGACGTAACCTTCAATATGCATGGTCCATTTGTGAAAAGGGAGGTGATTGATTCAAATACATAAAAGTTACTAACAGCAGTATACAATATCCTCCTTTTACTCTAGGTATACTTTATAACAGTTTGACTTGACCGCAAAGTGCCAGACCAAACTCAACAACCTGTTGTGCGAACCTGTGTAATAAATATTAGAAGATAATCTCGAAAATCTTGCCGCAAATAGATATGATCTTTTGTAGGTACAAGGGCTAAAGTACATGCTTCTGAAATGCAACTACCGCCATGCAATCTGAATAGTACTAATTATATACCAGGATTGTTTGTTTTCATTAATGTTTGGCATTGAGTAAGTGTAGTCGTCCTCTCTTTAACCCATGTTAAAACACAGTGAGTACTAGGAAAGGATTTTTTAAAGACAAGAATAATGAAGCAAAATGTAAAGTTTTAGAGCAAAAAATGTTGGGACGGAGCACGATTAATCTGAGAAGTGGCAACGTGTGCATTTCAGAAACATTCAATTTATTAGTAAGATATTTTGAATGATCGGATGTGTGATTTAAAGATTTAATAAAAATCTCGATGACAAACGATCTGATTTTCCAACGAGATTCAACTCCCAAATATGATGGACTTAGGTTATCAGGGAATTTCTCGATCAGACGTATCGTCAATCGTCATTATTAGTATTTCATATGTATACGCTGTTTAAACTGAAAATCGACATTTGGGCCAAAGACGACACCCCGACTAATATGGGTTCATGTCCATATTAGGTGTGGTATAGTGGTGGTGGTGGTGTTGTGTTTGATGGTGTTGGTGTTGTTGGTGTTGTTTTGGTGTTGGTGGTGGCTGTGGTGGTGGTGCTGTATGTGTTGGTGGCTGTGGTGGTGGTGGTGTTGGTGGTTGTGGTGGTGGTGTTGGTGGTTGTGGTGGTGTTGGTGGTTGTGGTGGTGGTGGTGTTGGTGGTTTTGTTGGTGGTGGTGGTGGTGAAAGTGGTGCTGCTGTATGTGTTGCTGGTTGTGGGGGTTTTGGTGGTAGTGGAGGAGGTGATGGTGGGGTGCTGTTGGTGATAGTGGGGTTGGTGGTGGTGGTGGCGGTTGTATGGTGGTGGCAGCGGTTGGATGGTGGTGGTAGTGCGTGTATGGTGGTGCGTGTATGGTGGTGGTGTTAGAATTGAGAGAAGACTCAATAGGAGGGGCTACAAGGTCATCAAGTGTAATGTAACAATATATACTTTCATTCTCAACATGTGTTTGACTTCATTGTGAAACAAAAATGAAGTTGCATAGTACAATTATTATTATTCTAAAGGACATACTTTGTATCGAAAAGAAGCATTGATATCAATAATGCTTTGATAACAAGACGTGTGCCTAGAAAGATTTTTTTTTCAAAAACAAGTATTTTGCATATATTATCTATAGGGCTATGATGTAATGTCGCAATGTACACTATCATAATCATATTTTTTTCGTTACATGGTACACAGCGATACATGTAAGGGGCGGGATGTGTTTAATCAGTAAGTTGATTTACTTAAGCATTGATCTTTCCTCCCAGTGACCCGAAATGATGATTTTGTTGACATTAACAGGTTAATATCGTACAGTCTGCGCATTGCAGTCAACTAATCAAAGTGACGGACCTTATTATAGTTCCGCAAGATGACTCACAGTGAGGTATGATAATGAATGTATGCCATTGCTTATCCAAATATTTTTCACATTTATTACTATAGATTTTTATTTTTAAGAGATGATAATATGAGAATAATAATAATCATATTCGGAAGGGCAGTCTCGTAAAAAAATGGAGAGAGAGAGAGAGAGAGAGAGAGAGGGGGGGGGGGAGAGAAGAATAGTGTAAACGATATTGTGTATAGTGTTATAAGGTTTATAGGTTTTACACTTAAATTCGACAAATAAATTACATGAACCAAATAAGTCAGCACATATTCACACAAAATATGTTTTATTTCATTTCATCAAAAAGAAAGTGTACAAAAAGAACTATCATTACACAGAATAAATTTACAACATTCAAAATGACACGTGAAAAGTTGTCATGACAAATCTATATCGCCTGATGAGGACGAGTTTCATCTTCAAACACCACATTTAGGAAAAACAGAGTTGAATAATTTGACTTACAGCATAGATTTTAGTAAATCGTCCTGGTACCAATACTGAACGTCTATTTAAGAGTTGATAAATTAGTGGAAGTGGTAGTAATAATAGTAGTAGTGTGTAGCAGCAATCATAGTAATACTGATGTTATAACACAGAAAGAAAATATTAATCTTATAATGTTTCCCCTATGATAACGGGATAGTTTGTATATTGAGAAGAGTAAAATAACAAAGTAGAAGAAGGTGTGAACAAAACCTCATAATAAATATTCATTTCTAAGATGCATAAACAAAAATGGCACATAAGTAAATAATTATGCTAGGAGCAAGACATGTTTAGAATCTAAAAATATACAATGTATCATTTAATATGCTTTACTCCCAGGGATGCAGGTGGTATTCATTTTAATATAGTTGATATCATATGGTGTACTTTATTCAACTAATAACATACATTTATTGTATTTTTGAAGTAAACAGGTAAAAATATATCAACATCTTTGCACAATGTTCATACAAATTTGAACGGTTGACAAAAAACAACAACTTTAACATTTGTTAAACTTAGATAGTCCGCTGCATAATCTACACTATTCTTATTTCAGCGAATCGAAGCATTTTCTTTCTAATTTCTGACTTCTAACTAGTATTATGATGTAATATTCGATGAAAATAGGTAATAACTACGGCGAATCAGCTAAAATACATACATGTATGATTATGAAAAATTAATAAGTTTGAAGAAAAAAATTATATTTTAATCAAATAAATTTAAGTATAAATATCTACATTACAACTGCATAATAAAGGGCCACCTGCTCTTCATCATAAACATGAATATAACAAATATGTTCAGCTTCAGCCTAAATGTGAATCATTGACTGAATTAGAGTGACGTCAGCCTGATTTTATCATTAATGTCTCCAATAGCATTGCATAATTCGTCTCGACTGCAGCTCACGAGACTGACAGCTCACGAGACTGACAGCTCACGAGACTGACAGGTCACGAGACTGACAGCTCACGAGACTGCACAGCCCACAGGACTATCTCACAGATATGGCCTGAAAAGTTATCTGAGGGTTCCCTAGACCAAGACACAAGGAACCGACATGTCGAGATGGTCGGTATCGGTCTCATGGGCACCCGGTCTAGTGGGCTGATGATCTACCTTGATGTTCCGATTATTCTCTCTATTTTTTTTTCGGTCACAGCAAAGCTTGTCTTGTGGTTCAGAGCAAGGATCATGACTAGCAATGCAAAACGTAACTTGCATAGGTTATCAGATAATAAGGCACAACATTGTCACTGAAAGAAAACTGATTGTTTACATACGTGTAAGTATCTGTAAATGGAAAAAAAATGTTCAGAGAGTACAAAATCAAACGTTATGAGGATTGGGAAGATAACTGATTTTGATATTAATGAATGAGCGACCTCGGATCAATTTTGAAGCGCTGTAACTCTTATTCCACACTGGCTATTTCAGAGCAAACGAGAAAATAAACGAGATTTAAACATATGCCGATCACGATCACAAATGTCATTAATAATGTATGGATATCGATTTACAAACTGATACACATTCATTCTTAGCATTGCATTTTGAAAATCATGTAAGGCCTCTTTAAATGCAGCAGCACAAAGTTAATAAAAATGATTTTTAAATACACACGAACACGGATGGTACATAATCAAGATCCCATAAGTAGAGATGGTGATGTTAAAATTTGCATAGTTCATAGTCGAAATGCATCAACCAAAATAACTTAAATAAGTTCTATTCTTAAGAATCTAAGGCTGGAGATTGTTCAAGATTGCATGGATTTGCGACCAATCGCAGATAACTCAAAATATGGAAGACTGCCCAGGACTTCGGCATTATACCTGGTACTTGACGAATCATTTCTCACCCGAAACGGCTCTGGAAAATTGATTTTCACTAGCTTAAGGATATAAACTTGCAGAAGAAGCAATGTTTAGTGCCATATTTTGCTAATATCGATCGTCGAAGGCAGCATAATGGCAACATGATATGGAAGATATGTATTATTTCAGTTTTATCAATACAGGTGTCTGAACAAACATGATAGTAATTTAATAATAGCATTTTTGGTTACTAATTCCCAAGTCTTTTATCACGAACGAGTTATGTTTTGCATAGAATACCCCCTTTTCTCCACAGTACACACAACGGCCTAATATTCACATATTCACAAAAATGCAATATAAATATAAAAACGAGCACCATTTTCAGATAAAGTCAGTTTGTAAAATAGAAATCATCAATTCCATTATTAAGAGGCACATCATTGTTTCCACGTTGAGTAAGAACTGTGATCGGCATGAGCGCAGAAGACGGACTTTTAAAAAACTTCCGATCTTGATCAACCGTAAGGGGCGCATTTATAACCGGTCCTTCGATTTTGGCGGTAACCAACTTGATAAATGATCCTGTATGAAGAGAGAGGGAGAGAGAGAGAAATTGATTATTTCCTTAACATATATCATTGATCGTAGATATGCATATTATATATATATATATATATATATATATATATATATATATATTTGATAAATAAACTTTAACTTTTCTTGAATGGACTTTAGCAAGCAAAATTGTACACAAGTCATGTTGAACCGAATTTGAGTTGTGATCTGCAATAAATATTTGTTCTATCCTTTACGCTAACCAGATGTGGTGCAATCATTCAGAATTGGAGAAACTAATAAAGACAATAGGGAAAACATATTACTTACAAACGATACTTTGGGGTGACACTGACTTGCTTTATTATTACTTCTACCGCTACTATAGGCTTTCCATGGTGCCAAAAAGTATTAATATTATTTTTTTCATATTATCATTTTCTACAAATTTACTTGTATATAGAGTACCGAAGCTGTGACGTCATAAAAATCTATTTTTAGAATTTCTTAATTTTTTTTCTTCATTTTCCGAAAGAACATCAAAAACAATGTCCAAAAGTCGAAAAACCAATTGAATATGTTAAATATTGGCTGAGATATGACCATCTGAATAAAGATACTCCCCATAGGAACTCAGTGTTATATGCTCTGGCTCCTAATGGTTAGGAGCCAGAGCATATAACACTGAGTTCCCATAGGACATATATTCATTCGGATGGTCATAACTCAGCCAATATTTAACATATTCAATTGGTTTTCTACATTTGGACATTATTTTTGGTGTTCTTTCGGAATATGAAGAAAAAATTGAGAAATTCTAAAAATAGATTTTTGATGACGTCACACTTCACCACTCTATATCCTTAACCCATTTTAATTTAAAGGCTATTTTGAATATTATGATTTTACCTTGTTGATTCGCATGTTTTTAAACCATATTGTCCGCATCGCACTCTGTACTTCTGTATAGCTGGCTTGATGTATGTGAAAGTGTACGTCTCTATAAACGACTGCAAGGGACACCACTGTCTCCTGTTATATAACATAAGAATAAACACATTTCTATTAAAGCCCATCTGTACAAGTTTGGCCAGGAGGGATTAGACCACCCTGCGTGGTCACTGACAGGTGGTTATCTTATCAAATCAGCTCTCAAATAACATAGGAAAAAGGGGATCATGGGGGACCAACAGTACTGCTTTTAGGCATTGTTGGCTATTTTGAGGGCGCAAGTAGATATAAGTAGTGCAGTCCCACTTTTAAGGGAAATCCAACCCTAATAGCAAACAGCTCTAAAGCAATGGAGAAAAATCAGAAAAGTAGACTGGTGAAGTTTGAACGAAAACTGACAAAAAAAATAAGAAATTTATACATTATTAAAGTTGTAATCACTTTTGCCAATTTGAGATTTGCATGGATGAAGTGTTTTCATATTTCAAACATTTGTATATTTCTTATTATAGGTCCGATTCATTTCAAACTTTCATCGTTCTGTTTCTCAGATTTTTCTTTCACTCAAATGAACTCATTACGAGGGTTGGAATATCCTTTAATTCCATGTTCAATGTTTTATCTTCCTTCTCGCTAGTATAACTTGGCAGAAACTAGCTTGAGTATGGCGTAGGTTAATGTGGACTGCTCCACTACCAGTAAATAAAAGAAATACCCTTTAATATTCCTCCGTGTAGCCTTATCTTATCTTTATGAAAATGACATTGCATTCAGACATGATTCATAATTTATTTACAGTGGAACAGTATCGCATAGACCCACTAAAAGTCGTATTACCATCCACCTCTAAGGTATGCTGCAAATGATACACCTTTGATAATGATATACGGATGAATACGGAAAAATCCGCATTTCAACCAGGGTATAGTAACACATTAGTTTTTAGAGTGTAACACTTTTACAGTACTATTTTGATAGAACCCTTACGATGGAAATACAAATACTCGAATAAGAGAGCTTTAATGACGTTACTCGTTGCCTACCTCCTCGTCGTTGATGATGATGACACCACGTGACGTCCAAATGATGAACACAAGTTTTGGCCAATACATTGTGAATAGCCTGGGCAGCCTCCTGGGCATTTACCTGGAAAAAGAAATAGAGTAAAAAGACAGTTCAAATTAGTTAATTTATTCAATTCAGAAAGACACTTTTATAAAGATAGTGTTTTCCATCGTTATTTATTTGCAACTGAAAAAAAAACAACGAATTAAATTCGATATAGACAGAACCTGATATATATAAACGTGCTATAATAGCCTACGAGATCGACAGCCCAGGCCCATGAGACCAACAACGCCAGTCGCATGGACCTTCTGAAAGAATTATTAGAGGGTTCACCAGATTGACGGCCTACGAGACTGACATTTTGGTCTCGCGAGACTTCTGACAATTTTTTTCGAGGGTTTACTAGACCACATTGTAGGTGGATTTCCCGATATACCGTTATAGAGATAAATTTTGGAATACAATATTTATGTAATATAAAAATGAACAAAACAGGGATAAATTGAAAAAGAAGGGTTGGGTGAAGATGTAATATTTACTTTGTCGACACAAAGCACCAGTGTATCCTCTCGGACAGGTACAGGTATCTGGACCAGAACATCTCCCGCCATTTAAACACGAGTGTCTGCAGTACGCTGGAAGATTAAGCAAACATTATTATAAAGTTAAAAAATAAAATAAAATAATATTCCTCAAAGAAACCCTGTACAACCTTCATACATACACGCACGTCGTGAGTAGCCAATTAATGACGTGGACATTTATTAACAGATATAATATTATTCGCTATGTTCATAATGATATGGGTATAATTTTATAACAGACATCATAAATACAAGTTGCCATGAATTATGAATCCTTGGAAAAAGAATTAATTAGTTTAAATATTGATTATGATCTGTCATGTTGGCAATTTGATGACACCAGATATTGTAGTATTTTATGTTTATAGACAGGTATAATGTTTTAAAACCTGAACCAATTGATAGCCAAAAACCAGCTTTCTAAGAAAAGCAGATAATAGGCAAAAATGGAGGGCCGTGACTATTGATGTCATTAAACAGACCTTGCACATGATGATAATGATAATAAAGTTTAATAAATCATAGCACTGCCACAAATCTAGTACAGGTAGTCTAAAATACATAACTTTAAAAAGAACTAATGGATTTAATAATGATATCTACTTACCTATTTGACATCCCATACCCCTGTAGCCTGCTGGGCATCGACAGAACCCTGCTCGTATACAAACACCGCCATTCTCACACGGAGGACTACATTGAGCTGTGAAAGTGAACCAAAAATATTTAAGTCCTACATGATACAGAGAAACGCATTATATCATATATCCTTAATATATTCAAAGTCCATTCATCAAATTGTTTTCTTTGTTCATATTTTTACTACCTTTGTTGTTATATCAACTGAGTCCACTTTGCTCATCGTTACACTTTATCTTTTCTCATTCCTGATATTGTCTATTTGTGTGTTTTTGGTCTTTCTCTTTTCTTGATAAATCTTTTATATTTTTGAAAGAATTGTTTGTTTCGATTGGTAGAAGCCCTCTGTTTTATATTAGATGCATGCTTATCGAGGTGTTCTTTTGATTTACCCTCAATATTCATAACCGTGTTGGATGTATAGAACAAATGAGACGTAAGACCAAAGGAACAACTAACTAAAAAATAAAACGTCTAATCTGTCCTAGACCCACAAACTTAGACTTAAGTCCTATTTACAAAACTGTAGAAATCCCCAGGGTAAGAGACTTACGTTTACTACAGTCTGGTCCAGAGTATCCGGTGGGACAGTGACATCGGTCGGGTGCCACACAAATGCCGCCATTCGAACAACCAGACCGACAAATCGCTGTATAGATGAACATACAGGAAAAAGAAAGGTACATAATGATAATAATATGTTTTAAGAAGAATTTTTCATGGCCCCTACGTATTTCATGTTAAATCAAGGAGAATTCTTTTCTCCTCGATTTAGTCTTCATCATTTGGCTTTATATTTTGTATATTAACATCGCTGCAAGATAAAGCATGCTCCGTACGCTTGTGAGAAACCTAAATGCATCGGCCAATTCATGTAATATTTCAGTGATTGTAAAAGGAAAAAAGTCCTGAAAATGTTAACGTGATAAAATAGGTATCAATTAATGTTCTCATTAAACATGGCAATATAGTGTCCCCAAAATCGCAATGATTTATGCGATGGTATATGAGGAAGCAAAGTAGAAGGATTGGGGATACTGTGAACAGGGACGTGGGAGGACACCTCCCTGCCCTTACCACTTTTTGTATTTTTTAAGTGTGTGAAAAATGGATTTGACCCGATTTATGTTCTTTGAGAATGTGACGTATTAAATCTTGCATTTAAAAGTAGTCAACAAAGGCACAAATTCGACCAGTCTATCCTTCATTCTTGAGTTACGAAAAACACAAAAAAACATTAAAAATTTGAATAATTCAGTTGTCAACTATAACTAGCTTACGTTTACTGCAAGAAGGACCAGTATATCCCTTAGGGCAGACACACCTTCCAGGGTGGATGCATCGTCCATTGTTTTGACATGGAGGGTTGCAAAGAGCTGAGAAGAAAACAAAACATAGCAAAATAGAATAAAATAACCATGATAAAGTATATAATAGTCATCGAAACAACGAGGGCAAGAAATTGAAATGGAAATGTATTGTATTTCTATATCGCCATTGCAGTATTTTGCATTATTTAAAAATATATATAGCATTAACTGAATATAGCGCCACAAAAGTTTCATTCTTCTTTGTATTAATAGTGAGACTTGACAAATTGTTTTATCAAGCCTGCCGATTGACAGGTTTGAAACACTTCTTTTCATACTATTTTCAAGATGTTAAAGTACGGAAATAATTTTTTCTTCAATGACTATTTACCAAATCAATTCTTCATAACGTCAATGAATAACGGATCTAATGTGTGACTGGGTGGTATTCATGTTGTAACCTTCAATGAGTACATAAACTGAAAAGAACAGAAAACAGGCACATGTTTTACTTTCAACTTACGCTCACAAAACGGTGGTAAATGACCGTATGGGCAGAGACACTTGTTCTTTCCCACACACCTCCCACCGTTCTTACATGAATGCTGACAAAGCTCTGATGATAAAAATAAAATAACATGCAGCAAACTTGTGGTGAAATGGATGGAAAATGAAGAAAAAAAAAATATAAAAAAAATAAAAATTAGTAAAATTAACTGAAAATGTAATATTATAAAGAGGAACATGAAAATGAATTACAAACAATTACAAGCAAATGATAGATAACTCCTGTTGCCTATCAAATGACTGGCATTAATAATATCTTTCTTCTTGATGTCAGAGTACAATTTAGAAGGGGATATGGGAAAGAAATGCAAATATTTCAAAGTTAAGTAGCATCAGAACGAGAGAGAGAGAGACGGGGGAGATGGGGGAGATTGGAAAAGAGGCGGTAAAGAGAGAGGAAGTGAGGGAGGGAGAGAGAAGAGAGAGAGAGAGAGAGAGAGAGAAAGAAAGAGAGAGGGAGATGAGAGAAATTAGACGAGATAGAGAAGTGTTTTAGAAAGAGAGGTGACAGAGATAAAAAATAATTTGTAGCTGTTTGTAGAGCGCTAGTATACCTGGTGGATACCGGCGCTATATAAATAGTAATTATTATTAGTATTATTATCATATAGCAAGATTTTATTAGCATAAATTATGGAAATTAAAAATAGTGAGATAGAAAAATAAAAAATGACAAAGAAAAGGAAGATCATATCTCACCTGTCTCACACACTCGTCCCTCATATCCAGCAAGACATTGACACACACCTCCTGGCATACACGTTCCTCCATTCAGACATCCACCAATACAGTAATCTAGAATTTAATTTAGAAAAATGAATTAATCAATGATCAATTAAGCTAAATTTATTATCAATTAATGTATAATTGTTGAAGAATACCTCACTTAAAATATTCAGTTATTTAATATTTAATACACATCTACGACAGCACTAGCAAAATCTCATGATCCCACGTAACATTATTCTTCTCAGACTGCATTATAAACAATGTCGGTTTGTTCACTCGAATTTATCAACGTTATCCATGGTAGTGATCATGTAAACACATTCTTTTAGAGGTAAAGTCAGTTTAAGACTTAGGTAACTTCTAAAATTAATAACGAGAGAACTTCGTCACCATAACGAAATGTAAAGGAAAAATGAGGATACTGATGAGAAATTACAATTAAGGAAAAGCTGATGAGGGTAGTAGTAGTAGTAGTAGTAGTAGTAGCAGTTATTTTCCATATAAAAAATAACAACATGAAACATACAAAGTGAAAAGATATACATTATAATCAATACGGATGGATATCCCTGCTCAGTAATAACAACATGATGTCGCTGATTTTATATAGGGGTCCATATTTACTATACATGATGACTTTGACATAGCATGATGTAAGTTTTCTTTACTTCTGTACTATCTATTTTCATGTTTTCTATGTCTATAGGGACCCCTCTGTAAAACAGCATTGTTATGCTAACAACGCTGAGTAGGGCCATCCCTCCGTCTTCTTTTTATCTTTCAATGACCGAAAAAATACAATACAATACAATGATGACTCTACTGATAATAGTGACAATGATCATGTCGGTGACGATGTTGATGTTGAGGAACTTGATGGCGACAATGACGTTGACAATGACGGAACAAATATTGATGATAAACAAAATGTAGATGGCTTACTTGGACATTCAGAGAGTCCCTCACATCCCCTTCGCTCGATCATCAACTGGCCGACCTTAGTACAGTTCTCATGCGAATCGATGTCTCTGCAGATGGCCACTCGAGTCTCGAATCCTGAACCACAAGTCTGGGTGCAGGCACCCCAATCGCTCCACCTAAGTACACCTGTTATAGTCAATTCGAGAGAGAGGGAATGAATTCTAAATTCAGTATCCTAAATTTCTAAAAATGGCATATACATTATATTGCGGTCAGACGCGTACGCAGGATTTTTTCAAGGGGGGGGGGGGGGGGGTTAACATTTATAAATCGGTCCGAAAATTTCGCAACGACTCAGCCAGCCGCTGAATAAGCGAGGGGGGGGGGGGGGGGGGGGGGGGGGTAAGAGGACACTTTTTTTCTTTTTTGGGGGGGGTCTCGAAATTTGGAAATTTGACATTTTGCTCAATTGGGGGGGGGGGGAAGGTCACCTTTTTTAGGTCGGCCGTGGGCATAATTTTTTATTTATTTATTTTTTTTTTTTATTATAAAAAAAAAAAAAAAAAAAAAAATCAAAAGGGGGGGGGGGGGTTTTAGGTTTTTTTTTAGGGGGGTTTACAAACATAAAATTACCAAAGGGGGGGGGGTTTACCCCCAACAACCCCCCCCCCCTGCGTACGCGCCTAATTGCGGTTAAATTGGCGTGATGTATCAAAATAAAATACTTTGATATTTTCTCTCAAATGTCTTTTTGTCTAACTTTTCTTTCACTGCTTCTTATTCGTTTGTCTCTTTTTAAATGTTTCACAACAGCTTATAGTAGCCGATGCCTGTTCGATCCTCCTTCTCTAGGAGAACCATCTACGATTTAAATCGTTACAAACCTTTGCAATCATTGTTGAGTTGACATGATTTATGTTGCGCTGCAATACCGCGTCCAGTCCTGCAGTCGGGCAGCTTCGAATCCGGGCTGCATACTGTGTACCGGTACCGGGTCCCAGAACCACAGGTCCGACTACATGTGCTCCATGTCGACCAGTTCGCATTTTCTAGTCATGTAAAAAAAAATGTTTCAAGTGATCAGAAAAAAAAAACCATTTTGAACTCGATTACGGAAAGGGAAATACCCGGTCAACACGGTAAATATAGGATTAAACAATGAATTGTATGAACGGCTTTTATTTGGCGCTATGCCAATGCATCTGGACAGGGCACTTCCATAGGAAGCGAAAATATCATGTATTCATTCTGTAAAAAAAAATTGTTCAACAGCGTCGAGACATCACATTGTTAGCGTATATCTTATAAAAAAGGGTTATTATACGGTTGTACAGGTAAAATTTACCGAGAAAAGATAAACTTCCAAATTTACGCCTACATTACATTATTACCAAAATAAATTTATTGTCTTTACATTACCTAATACATTTTTGTGATATTTTTAAAAAGTAATTATTAGTTTATTCATCCATTTTCCTTGGTAGGGGACCTCATTCTTAAAACCGAGAAACACATTCGATGTTATGTACTTGGTTATAAGATATTGATTCAAAGTTACATACCATATATACATATACATACCATCAATTGGTCTACCATGGTAGATAGATGGACGCTGAGCAATAGCAGGAGCAACAGGTGAAAGGGCATCACCAGGGGGAGCAGGGATCAGACCGTCATTTAGTGGTCTTTCACTGTTATTATCAACGTCCGCATCACCAAGGATATCATTCATCTCCGACGTCGACTTCATAGAGACAGTCGATGTCGTCGACAATGGGGTGGTTGTTGGTATAGTTCTTGTTGTCGGCACTGAAGTGGTTGTGGTGGAAGCTGGTGTTGTTGTCGTCGCGGGAGTGGTTGTCATCGTTGTTGTAGCTTTGGTAGTTGAAGGAACAGTGGTGGGTTTCTTTGTCGTTGTCGTCATCTTGTGTGTTGTTGATTCCGTGATCGTCGTAGGTAAGACCTTGACCTGCGAGTACGCGCTTGGTCCTCGCCGCGATGTCGGCGTCGTGGGCGTTATCGTCCAGTACCTTGAGTCATCCGTATACTTCTTGGTAGCATCCGAACGTCCAGCTGAACTCCGACTGCTGTCATCATACACAGGTTCGGCTGTCGCATGATTGTTGTCAATGGACGATTCGCTCTCCACTCCAAACTCTACCGATTCCTCAGGATCCATGATGTCTTTGATTACATCACTGTTTGACTGGTTGGCTCCAAATGCTCCATTGTCCAACTTCACCGTCAATTTCGTCAACGCAGGAGTTGATGTTCTTGGTCTTTGAGTCATAATCTGAAGCATGAAAAGAAAAAGAACACGGCATATTCCAGTTTGCTTCATCTGCTTCTTCCTTCATAATTTCTTAGCTCTCATTGCTTTCTTCTAAGAAATATCTTTCTACATCTTCTCTCTCTCTCCCTCCCTCTCTCTCTCTCTTCAGTGGTCAAACTTGATCATCATTTTTGTTAAAGCTGGAGGTTTTTTCCCCTTCATTGAATCATATTTTGTACTGTGTGTTTATTATTGGCCCTAATGTTTTATTAGTCTATCACACCTGTCCAAATAAATTATTGATCTTGAAAACTTAATAAAATTGTATTTCTAAATCATGTTCGACACTGAATTGCAATAAAAATCGTGTTTCTCTGCAGATATAAGGATTCTATTAAAGTTACTTTACTTTTTAGTTATCCTTCGAGTGGTCGAAGGCATAGTCGGAGGCTTAGTCAAAGACCCACTCGCTTCGTGCAGTCCATTCTCAGTGATGTCGGGTTCCGAAAACGAAGGAAACACGGTGTCCATGGGCATTGACGTAGTCGTTTCCGTGTCCATGAAGAGGAATGGATCGAAGAGGTTGTCGTACACGAGATCGATGTCGAAGGATGTATCCATGCCGTTCACTGAGCTCGAGGGCGGCGCGGTCGATGCAATGTCTAGCAGGTCGGGAAACTGGGAGTGAATAGAGAATCCAGGTTAAACTCCACCTGCTGCACAATTTTGATGACTTAAAGGGAATATAGCTTGGAAAATACTGGTTAACGCCATCTACGTCATCTTTTGGACAACTGCACGTAAACGAATGGACTTGATTAATAGTAGTCAGCGACTTAATCTCTAAATGGTCAGCGTTCGCGAAACAGATCGAACTTCTCCTCACGCTCCGGTTTTGCGTATGATGCACGCACGTGATTACTGCGGCCGCGTCGTCCGTAGTCGTATACCTGATTGGCCCCTGACAGGCTACACTCCCTTGAACAATTCATGGTTAAGTAATATTCATTAGGGATAAATAAATGTGGATTCCCCATGATCATGCCTTGTGTTTCTAAATTTAATAGTACGTTTCCTGACGAGATGAAGTAAGCTCATACGACTAGAATAACACTACAGTTTTCATCTGGTGACTAACATCTGTTCTTATCATATCTTTCCAGGTTTTAGAAGGTGTTATAGATGGTCTTGCAAATTGAGGGTCTCGTTGACTGACTAGATAGTTTCTAAAAGCTCATAAGTGTGCATAAAAGTAGACCATTTGATTGTGCATTTAATGAGCAACTTAGCGGCAAAGAAAGAAAAGGAGACTCACATGGTATTGAATAACACAAGAATTAGGGGAGCGATATATTTATATAGAGAAAGAGAGAGAGAGAGAGAGAGAGAGAGAGAGAGAAAGAGAGAGAAAGAGAGGGGAAGAGAGGGAGCGGGGGGGGGGGGGGGAGGGGGGAGGGGGGAGGGGGAGGGGGGTCATGGAGCAGGGCAGAGAGAACGATAGAGTATGCGATCATACTTACACGTCTTTCTTGCGGCAGGCACTGAAACTCTGCGGTTGACGAGTCATTCGTCAAAACCAGTTGATCGATATCACCCTGAAAATTAAATTCAAATATTTAAATTGCAATATATCGACTTGTCAATTCAAGTTCAAGATAATATCAGATAAAGATAAGGACTCTTCTGTAATAGCATAATCATGAAATTAAATAATATTTTATTATCCACGATTTTCGTTTTACTAACTTTTCTTTGACGCCATTAAATTTCATTATGTTTTGAATTGTCATTAATATTCCACTGCTTATTTCTGGTTGTATATTATATTATTAATGTCGCTTTGAGAGAAATAGTTGTTTTTATACGCTCAAGGGAAGGTTAGAATTGTGATATTGCCCCGAGGTGTGCCGAGGGCAATAGCCCAATTGTAACCTTCCCGAGAGCATATAAAAACAACTATTTCTCGAATATTAAAGCAGTCATTAATACTTTTATATGCCGAAAAAAAAAAAAAATAAATAAATAAAAAAATAAAATAAAAAATAAAAAAAACTTTTGTCGGGATGGGATTCGATCTCTTGCGTACAGAAGGTGATGTAACTAAAATCACCGCCTTAAACCGCTCGGCCATCGCGCTCTGTTACCTTAGCGAGCAGTTTTCTTTAATATATACATTAAAATGGATTGAAAACGGCTTCGCGTGGTGGATGCTTCGCGGCTGCTCCATTAAACGGGCCCTTTTTTTACTTTTGCAATGCATATTGGCACGAACTTAGATCAAGATCTATCGGCAGATGTTGTTTTGGCTTAATGGAAGTTTATTTTCGTCTTCATGTCAACAATGCAAGATAAAAATTGTCGGTAAGATCGATCGAGATTCAATTGTATTGAAATTGCCGACCAATTCTTCGCACACGTACGGTATCCTCGATCGCTCAGACCATTTTTTAACATGTAAACCTATGGGGTAACCATGGAGACTGAACTATTTTCCCGGTAACCATGGTTACTGGGATTTTAGAACTGTTTTAACCATGGTTACTGGGAATTTTACAGAAATAGTTAAAGTTTATGAATGCAATTTCGACCAATCAGATGGCTGGATTTCTTAAGTGAGGTATATAATGCAGTATAGATCACCAATGACATATCGAGGAAAATGTGATATTTACCTCAAAATAAGCACTATTGACTGCTCGATATCCACCACCGATTGATGCCGTACCCGTAGCATCAATCGTTGCTCGATCGCTCCTCTCAATATTGAGTGTGAACACTTGCTTACAGTCTGCAATCAACGTTACTGTATGCTTGTTAACACTAAAAGCCATGTAATGCCAACTTCTATCCAAAACATAATCGGTGAAATTGAGTTCCTTGAGCGTCCCGTCCAGTTGACTATACACGACGGAAGGGGTCTTTGCGAGTTTGATGCCAAATTGAATGTTGCCACCAGCGTCGGTGAAAAGCAAGGCGTACGGATCTCCGCGGTTTTTGCGTAGCGTAACCTTGGGTTTGACGGTGAGGAGGACTGCGAACTGGTGCGGGAAACTCTTGCCGTAGATCTCGCTGGTCGGAACACGAAGCGTTCTGGCTTGATGCGTGATTCTGTAAGCTGTCCACCGGCTTGGAGCCCGTCGAACCCCGGGAGGAAAGTCATCAAGATGAAGGATCTTCTTCATGTCTTTCACATCTGAGAAGCGGGAAAGAAAAGAAAAAAATGGAAAGAAGATAGCGAAAAGTTTGTGAGAACAATGCAAATTCGATACTTTAAAAAGTCTAATATTGTGGATGACGTGTTCCATAAGTCGACAGAAGCAGCTAAAAGGTTAAGAGAACACCAAGTATTATTCCCTCCCTTTAACAATAGAATTTAAGTTTGAAAGTAGGCTTCAGTCCACCAAAGTCATTATTCTTAAAGGTACTATGTCCCTTTTGCAGCCAACCTCAAATTCTGTAGAACTTTGCAGGAATTATGAATATGTCATGTATGTCCTATCTGTGAAATTTAAACGTTAGCAGTGTCCTCGTATTCAAATTATGCAAGGAAACCCGTTTACTTGCTAGACTTCACTGTCAGACACTATTGAGTGACTGACTGGCCTTTTTTCTTCTTTGGTAATAACATACATGAAAAGAGTTGTAAAGGGTACATGAGCATTTTGTTTACATCAATAACCCACTTCTTGTGATGGCCAAGATTAAACTGATTGAATATTTGCGCAGCATAAAACGTATGACCATTCGGTACAATTGTCTGAAAATCAAGACTATTACTTTTGGGCTCTATAGCCCTAAAGTCGATTTGACAACTAATAGTGGTTATTTTTCCACTTGAAGACATTTTCAAGCCCCACCTTTTTAGGGACGTTCTAAATTAGTATTATCTTTCAAATGCAGTTGGAATTTAACTTTTTAATTTGTTTGGCCTGCAAATGGGACATAGTACCTTTAACGAGATAATTCTTAAAGTCATCCGGATCTTGCAAAAGTTTATGACGTCCATTTTTGGGTGTGTTAAGTGATTTTGGGTTTTTGTTAAGTTAATATAAACATATGAGGTTAAATGATGTTTCGAACTATCGTCGACAAAGCCCTCTGTCTAATCTAATTTTAGTTTGATACAGGAACATAATCATTTATATAAAGCAATTCATCGAATGAGTGCCAAACAGAAATAATTCAATCTATCAGCAACCGTAGCAGGAAAGATAGGCCTATCTATATCAGAAACTGTGATTTTCACATAGAACAAAAACAAAAAGCCATTCTGTTAAACCTTTTTTTATCAGCTGTTCAACTTTTTGAGCAACTTCCAAATTGTGGATAAGTATCTATAGGCCTACAATTTTAATGTTGCAGTTTATTGCGGAAGGGTCCATGGCTTTACAAAGCATTATGAGAAGTATTTTGATAACCAGCTCCCCAATCGGCGCACCTCTCCTCCCTACAAAGAGTTTTAGTCAAAGAAATATTTTCCCAGGGAATTTTATAAATAAGCATCATGTCTGAGTACTATTCAATCAATATTGATCGGACAAATTATTGTTCTCATACACGACGCAAACGTCATAATCATATACTTTGAATGAAACGTCATGTCATATATTGTTTACAATTTATTTTGTATTTAATGATATTTCATTTACGGATATCTTATTTTATACCGTTGCACAATCTTTCAATAATTCGGACAAAATTAATCGTAAAATATTTGTTTTGTTTTGAATATCATAATTATGTCTGGCAAATATAAAGTTCAAGCTCGAGTCAACTAAATTTCCCGCGTAAAAAGAAAGAGGAAGTGAGCTCCAGTCGAAATTGGTCATAATACCCGTACTTCCATCCTCTCCAAACCGACTTTGACTGTACTTTCGACATGTTCGAGTTAAATGGTTTTGTTGTTATTGGGCTCTTATGAGATGTTTATGAATTTAACAAGGTAACAGAAATTGACACCAACAAAACAAATTGAAACAGTTTTCTCAACCACTTATTTCCACCTGGTTTGTTCATCACGCGATAGAGGTGTATCAATTGATGTAAATGGGATCTAAAGTTCGCAGACTGGTTAATTGACCTACTGTATTGGGGTGTGGGAAAGATCTATTTTTCAACAACAAATGCTATGTTGTTATTTTATCACGAGGTAAGTGGAGAGGTGTGGGTTGACTTGACTGTTTTCATGTTTTTTTTAAGCGAGGGAAAGTAGACAAGAGTTAGATAATGTAGGGCCGACGTGAAAAAGGAGAAAGGGAAGGAAAGCAGGGAGAGAGGGACAGAGAGAGAGAGAGAGAGAAAGAAAGAGAGAGAGGGAGAAGGGAAGAAATAAGAGAAGAGAGAGAGAGAGAGGGAGAAAGGGGGATACAGAGAAATAAAGAGTGATAGAGAAGTGGAGGGAGAGATAAAGATAGGAAGAGTGAGAGAAAGAGACCGAGATATTGGAAAATGAAAGAAAAAGAGAGAGAACAAAATATATATATTAATGGAAAAGAGAGAAGAAAGGAACAGACGGACAGTGAAAAAAATTACATATTTAACATTTTTATTTCACCTTTTCTTCAAAAAGCTTCTTTGATGTATTTATCATAAATATACAAAATTTGTGATCATATTAAGTTTGACTAATAAGGTCAGCATGAACCAACTAACACTGATACCGCGTTGTTAAGTTGTTAAGTGCCAAGAAAAAATATAAACATGACTATTATTTCATATAATTTGTGGTTCATGAAGATTGTCAAAATAAACAGTTTGATGGGTGAATCACTTGTTGATGTTTTCAGCTTGGGGTAACCCCAGTCTCTCCGACATCTTTCTCATTGAACTCTCGTTCCAACAGTGTTTCGTACTTTGAGAGATCATTAGTACCTCTCCTTCCTCAAAACAAGGTCGCGGGGGTTCAGACTTTAGCCCAAAACTTGACACATTCAGTTCCACCCGACGAGAGGACTGTCAGTCAGTGAGAATCATCAAATTGACATCATTCGAGGTGAAAATGTTTATTCGAAGAGATACCCATGAGTAACGTTTATTTCATCTGTTCACGTGTGGTGTCTGGAAGAGGGAAGGTTCAACTTGGGGTTACGACGTTGTACAGAAGACTTTGGAACTTCTATCTCAAGGGCATAATGATTTCAGATTGATTCTTCTCAAATAAATGAGAGTATCACTGGTGGCAAAAAGTACTAGGTGATGGTGGTGGTGGAATTAATAGAGTTGTTTGTGGTGATGGTGGTAGTGGAGGTGATGGTGATGGTGATGTAGGTTGTGTTGGTGGCGGTGGTGGTGGTGATGATGGTGGTATAGGTGGTGGTGGTGGTTGGGTTGATGATAAGGGCAATTTCAATACCCTTATGTAGAAATCATTTTCGGATTACGTAACATTTCATTGTCATGATCTCAAATTTCAATAGGCGACGCTCAAAAATGTTCTCAGGTTGATTTCTTGAAAGTCTTTGCGATCAGATATAGGTCATGTTCCGGTCATGCTCCTATTCATGCATTACGCCACGCCATTCACCCCTATCGCTTTCTAGTACAGTCTGGCGTGATGTTTGGAGAATACATGCATGGAATTCATCGCTTCCGAGGGGAATGATACCACCGCTTAAGCGACAACGCTATCTTCTTACTGAGATGGGGGCAATGGATGCCTTGTGATGACGGTGAGGAGGTGGTTGATGATGGCCGGTGGTATCCAGATATCCAGCGGTAGCAGAGTGACGATCGGGGAGATGAGTAAGATCGCGATAGAGTTGACGTTGAATTTGACGGTGATGACAGGGATAATGCAATGACACCAGTCTCATTAAATTGGTAATTGAAGTTGTGCTATATGTCTTGCTAAGATCATAACCATGTTGGTGGTGGTGATGACAACACGACCAATATTTTAATGGAGAAGAAAGGGCAACACCCCCAAAATGATATTTTATAATTAAGGAGGAGAGGAAGATCGTAGGAACTAAGACGTCAAATGATGCAGCAGTATAAAATGAATGGATAATTGCTGCTATATTTACAGCCTTTGAAATAAACTGTCTAACCCCGAAATCACATTTTATCTAGAGCATTGTTTCTTATATCTTTTGAAGTGCATAAGAGCCGACAAGAATATCATTCCACATTTTCGTAATCAATACTCGAAACCAAAAAGATAAAGAGCATATATTGATTCCTTTTTGTTTGGGTGTAAGAAAACATAACCACCTAGCTCTATTTCTCTTACAAGAAACCATGATCTCGGAATGGTAAATCGATCACATCCGTTCCATATGATTACATTACACGTATCACTTCAGCTACGCAGATCACCATGGGAGACAAAAAAATAGGTTAGACGGGTAAGGCTTCGACGCGACACATAGTTGCCCTCCTTCGCGCCATTTCCTTCAAAACTAGGGTTTACAAACCTCGGAAATGATTTTGACATTTACAATTCCTATTCCCTTTAGTATATCTTTGTACAGACATCGAAGAGTAAGCGCATTGTTTGAACTCACCTGAACAGTCGAAGGTGTTGCATTGTCGTTTCTGTTTAGCATCTCCCTCGCATGCATTGGGGACATCGCGAACGCACACTCGACGTCGAGTCTGGTGTCCAGCTCCACATTCCTTGGTACACGATGACCACGACGCCCATGGTCGCCAACCTAGATGGGAGAATTGAAGAAAAAAATAGAACATACAAATCAAAAGGAAACGTCTAAAGCAAAAGAAAACAAGTTAAAAAATACAAAAACAGAATTCATTAGAAGGCAATGGCAGCGATGTTCAATGAAAACATGTCGAAGTCTCAAATAGAAAGTCTAATGATATGTCATCACAAAAGAAATTTACGGGTCACAAAGTTATATATGTACATATATTATGACAAAAACTATATACCCATAGGTCCGCATTCTTATAGGTTGGTTACACTCGACCCTGGTTTTAAAATCACGTTTAACAAAAGGAAAACTTAGTCCTTAGAATCACTTCCTTTGGTAAACCGATTTTGAAAAAAGCCTAACCCAGCGTCCGTTTAAATTTTTAGAATTCGGGCCATAAAGTTTTTTGAAAATATCAAAATTTGATCTAACCTGATACCAAGGATACATCTCAAATATTGTATTCTCATTGCCCTCCTTTATTAAACCACCCTCTCTTAATCACCTCAGTTTGCTTTCTTGTCCCATTAATGAATCATATTTCCAACAAAATGTATTTAATACTGGTGCCTGGAGCTCAAAATAATGGAAGCCACTTTTCCCTTTAAAATATATTCGTCAAGCCTACGGTGAGCTAGGTTCAAGCATTTCCTGCCGAGACACCACTTGGGTGTTTGAGAAAGATCATTGTCAATGAGTGTAAAGAGAAAGGAATATAAGAAGTATTTCCACTCGATATCAATTTTCCAACATCTCTCGTCAAATTGCGCTATTAGTCATTGAAAAGCTATCCCTGAGCATGAAAGCAAAGATCAGATATTTCATCGGCCTGTTCAGTGGACATCATCAACTGCATCTTAAGTAATACATCGTATCATGAAACGTGTTATTTCTTAGCATTGGTGAATGGTGAGTGAAAGCATGGACCTACTATGGTGAAAGTGGCTAGAGCTTGTTTAGGTCAACGAAGGTAAGACAAACGATATACAATCATGATCTTTATATCATCACCGATGTAATAAAATCACCTGGACGTGTGAGTATCTCTATGAAGATAGCCTTCGTAAAGACGTATTGAATGATCACCATGACCAGAAATAATAAGCATTTTCGTAAATCAATTCACATGGATACCTTGACATGATTCAAAGTCAAACTCACAACCAGTCACGGTTCTGGAATAATTTGTTTTCGGGGGGGGGGGGGGGGCTAAGGGGTGCTTTGTGGGCTGGAGGTTTTTGCATTAATTTTCAAAATGTGTCTCTCAAATTAATTTAAAATCAAGAAAAACTAGGGGTTGACGAATGTTATTTTTATCTCTTGGTATGTGTGTGTATGTGTGTGCATGTGTGTGTGTGTGGGGGGGGGGGCGGCTAGAGCTTCAAAAGCAGAACCACTAGTACTGCTCACGTCACGTTCTAATGACCTCTTTCTCACTTTGACCTTTAATAACCAAGCCTGGTGAATAATCCTTGAGACGAGCACGCTGACGCACGATGGACGAAGAGAGAATATAATACAGGATTGTGGTTTAGAAAATCTCTTCCCTTATTAATTAGTTCCTCAAATCTTAAAAGACATTACAATTATACCAAACCAACCCAGTTTTATGCTCTAAAATAGCCAAGTACAATGTTGACCTGACAGAATTATAATTTCCTGTGATAAACTCTATATGATGGCTCCAATATTACAGTGGAGTATAGTATATGTTTTTAGTGAAAGATGTATACATCTGATGTTTGAAACCATTAATATCAATAAATTATATGTTACGTTTTCACGCACGATGTCCAGTCTATTAAAAGGATAGAGTTGAATATTGGCTTATTGCATTTGTATATCTTAAAATGAATAATATCTTCAACATAGAACTGAAGATAAGATGCTACGTCAGTTTTTCTTTATTTCTAATATTACAAAATGTCTTTTTTGAAAGGTTGAACTGTCTCCCATAGATTTAAAAAACATACTTCGTTACAGTCATGTTATTGTTTCGAAATTAAAGGTCGTACATTTTCGGCAATAATTGCAATTTATTATTCTTCCATTTTAACTTCCAACATCCCTCCTTAGAGTACAAGGTCTGCGCTCTCAGGCAAATTGTCCTCAGAAGCGTTAAACTCCAACTACCGGATCGGAAATTACCATTACAATTCCATTCATAAAAAATAATCAACTTGTCATTTATGATCATAAAATGGTGATATCAGAAGAAAAATAGAGTCAAACATCAAAAGTTGGTAGACCTTGTTAGCAAGAGGACGAACCATGATGGCGATGTTTTGCTAGCAGCGTGTGTTGTTTGTACACCCTGTTGGCGAGTGCTTGGAGCTTGAATTGCAGTCTGGGGTCGATTACTTGTAAGTCAACATGGTCAATGGCTGGAAACATAGAGAATATTTTCATATCGCGCTCTTCTTCATCGTCAGCCTCAAGACAAGACCGACTGGAAGCCTCTAAGGAGGTCTTAGAAGACAGGGGCGGCGTCGTGTGGATCGTTTTTCCTTCTTCGAGGGGGCACAGGACTAAAAACTAATCTCCCATTTCGGAAGTAGTTTGTCGTTACGCTTGCCCCCCCCCCCCCCCCCCATCTGAAAAGGGGGGGGGGCACGGGAGATATTGTCAAAGAAGGCAAGGATGATATCGTACAATATCGTGCACGTAACTAACTTAAAACTTAAATAAACAAACACAATATTAAAGAAAGCCCCCCCCCCCCTCCAAAAAGACAGAAAGAGGATTATTTGGTAATGAGGGCGTACGAACGAACTTTTCGCTCATTGTATAAATTTATTCCAATGATTAAAACACTGCATTTTAGTTGCGAAAGAACGTTACAAATCATATCGATAATCACCAACCTTAAAGTTCAGATAATTTCAAGCGATTTACTCTCAGACTAGTAATAGTAAGCAATTGTGTTTGGAAATTTGAGATTACCTAAATCAGGGACTTGCCTAAATGAAATCGAAGTCGTGTAGAGAGAAGAGGATTATGCATATAGACACGATGGACATAATAGAAGGGTGCATGTGGATATATTTATTATTTTTACGTTATATTATTAGCGATTGAGACAATCATCTAATCAAACTATTGTGTGATCCAATATCGCACTCCCCCCCCCCCCCCCGAGTCCAGTATCGCGACTATATAATTATCTCGAGCCAATATGTAAAATCACACCACCAGTCTTGGTCTCTCGGCTCATTCTGTATTTATAAACCTTGTTTATCTGTCTATAACTGACTAAAAATACCATAATAATCTCTACAATCGGAATGACAGTTTATCAACCCTATCCAGGGAAACAATATGTATTCAAATCTTTTGTTATTAGTCTAATTATTTACATTTCGTACGATTGTATTGCCTTTCTAAGTACTTCTTTGTTTGCTCTGTGTAATTAGATATCAATTTGATGACTTTATTATAATCAGTATTGGAGTACGATCTCCAAAATCTGAAGATAGTGTCTGATGAGCATACCAATCCACATTAAATGGTAAAACCAGGTTGAATTCGCGTTGATCTAATAGGGGGCTCCGCGATAAGATTTCTTTAACAGATGAAGCAAATTGTTAAACGTGAGTAATATAGAAAAACATTTCAAACTTTACTTAGCCTATATTGATTAAAGCTATATCACAATGACCACTACATTCCAACCGTTCTCACACACTGTGCAACATTTTCGGGCAATTTCAAAGTATTTTAGAAACTGTGAATAAAACATTTCATAGACACATTCATTTCGTTCTCACAAGAATCACCCATATCGGAAAAACATTGTTCACTTTTTTATAATAAAAAATAAAGAGATATAAACTTATTTTGAGTGATAGACACTTCACATTCAAGAAAACAAGGACATTCATATTCTTATTAAAGTATATTGCTAGAAAGGTGTCATAAAGGAAACCCTTATCAGTTGATAGGTTTCGACTAAAAACGAAGAAAAGAATTAGTCTGCATACACCTGGAATCTCCTTTCTTCTTATTAATTGCACATTTCCTTTCAACTTCATACCTATTTCCCAAATATTTAGCATTTATTAAACACACACTTTACTCCTGACCTTTGATTTCCCCCTTGTACCATTCAAATCCATCTTCTTTTATACTAACTCCCAACTTCTTCTCGGGGGAGGAGGATGGATGGAGGGGGGGGGGGGGACTTGAACCCCTGTCTCCTCCAATCGTGCATGACCATGCCCACTTCTCCCGCAGAGTTTCTCGTTTACATTACCCACACGATAATCATCCCGTTATCATGTGATAAGAGAGGTGCAAAGATTGAAATATTGGATATCCCCCATGTCTTCTAAACAACAGTGAGTTTATCTCTGTGTTGTATTTACTCTATATTGAATATCTCCATGTCTGGTAGACAATAGTTTATATACTAATATCATAAGTGTAATATCATGGACCTTCAAATTCCTTACAAATTCCGAACCACTTTATCAAAATCAGTATTGCAGCATGATGCATTGAATAAGAATTTACAATACCGTTCTTGAATTCAAAACTTGTTTCAACGAAAATAGGATAAACGTGAATTGAAAAATCGTAATTCAGAGTAATTTATGTACTGTACAAAGAATGCACTTTTCGCGTGAAGCGTTACATGAAATACAGCGGAAATGGCGTTTCTAATTTATAAAGGTGAAAATGGGTGATCGCTATTGATTTCGTCAGCGGTATATGATAAAGTGACGTTTACTTAAAAGAAAACCGGGGAACATTCTGTTGTAAATGAGAGATAGTAAAAATCTTGAAGAACGCTACATCTTTTTCGTTCATGGTTCAACAGGAAAAAAACATCATGACGTCATTGAGAAACATACATTTTGGAGAATGTTACGCTTCTGCCATGTTTCGGCTCAAAGCTAGCATGGTTCTCATGTTGCTATGGGGAAGGTCTAGTAAGTAGTATAAACTCCTTTTAACGATGACCCATGGCCTGGAGCTCTTGACATTACGATGACCCTGGCTTT